TTAAATACATTTTTATTCTTGTCAATGTCTATCTTATTTCTTTAAAGTTTCGCTTAAGCAACTGATAGCCAATAAAACCTCATACGCCCGTTTAATGATATATATTAAAATGATAACAAATATGTATATAGGGAGAAAACGATCGCTTACTGTGATAAATATGTTTATTTTTTTTCGCTCTTCTTATAGAGCTATTTAATTTCATTTTCATTTTTAAATTAGCGGGGTATAAATATTATTTGATAAAAACATCTTCACATGACGCGGTCAAAAAGAGATTGTTCATTGTATGTTGCGATTTCTCGTTGTCAATAGAAAATAGCGAATCATGGTTTATTATTTAATGTTATATAGATGTTTTTTATGTAAATTGAAGCTTATAGAAGATATTTATTAACACATAACTGTTACTCTGCTGAAGTAAATAAAACATTGAAATGAAAAGTCGGTTAATAAGTCATAAAAGAAATTAATGTACATGTAATACGGTTGTGGTTTATGAGACATTCGGTTATATCAAAGACTTGAGAAGCTGTTAATATTTCTTCTTTGAGGCCGATGTTGTATTAAAGGCACATTAGGCCTCTGAAACAAATACATTTATACTTCTTTAGAAAGGGGCAAACATGATTTACTTTAGAGTTTTGATAATGGTTTTACAGGTATCATCAAATGTTAGATGCTTCCTACCTGAAGAAAGTAGCGATAAATGTGAAATAATTTGTCGTTAGAGTAGCAAAATGTAAACAAAGTAGTATTTTGACTTTCATACAGACAATAAGCAACAGATGAAAAAGATGGTCTGGTATTGATCAAAAGGTAACATTTTGGATACTATAAAAATAAACAAAAATTAAAAAGCTTTTGGGAAATAAAAATAAAAGCATTTCTGAGGCATGATGAGCCTTAAAGTTTTAGCATTGCTCATCTGTATTAGATCATAACAAAGCAGTATCGTTGAAACACATCTATGTATGTTTCTAAATAAAGTATCATTTTCATGTTTTGCTTAAACCGGTCCTGGGGAGGGGTTCGTTGACGGATTCCTGCTTTCACAACTACCCTCTATGAACAGGCTTCATCATACTAAGCCTGCAGCATCTGTTTGGACTTGCTGATATGCCATATTAATAACATAACAAAATACTGTACTTGACATTCTATAGAAAGTCGTGAAAAGCCATTCAACTGAAAATTTTTACTTTCATTAATTCTGATTGATTGATTGATTGATTGATTGATTGATTGATTGATTGATTGATTGTGTTTATTTGTAACTATTATTTATTCATTCAATTAATTTATTTTATAGGATACTTTTTTGTGTAATTGGAGACTACTTATAATAATTAAAGTGCTTAAGATTATAAGAGTAGTCTACCTTACCATTCTGAAAACTATCAACTTTAGTCTGGTAGGAAGAAATGCCGAGTGAATGTGCTTCACTTTTAATTCTTCTAATGAATTCAGATTTGAAAGCAGTGAATTTTATTTTCAAAGCCTTTAATGATTAATGATCGATGACTCCTTTCTAATTATGTCGGTATTTTTGTAAGATGTGTACGTTCAATGTAGTTTTAGTGTTTTTGCATGAATATTTTGGTTGTAACATTTGCATACTAAAACGCAAATCACGGATATAATTACTATAAAATTACAACAAAGAATCATAGGAAATGAATTGTTGTCAGAAAGAAGAAATTAAGAGAAATAGGTGTATCAATGAATGACCATTCGACAAATCGCAGAATATTCGGAAATAAGTAAATCTAAAGCCCATCGAATCTGAAGACATGCTTACGAAATGACAAACGTTAACGTATGATTGGGTTCCGAGTTAAGTGTCGAGAATAGGGTCTCTGCATCCCGATAACTCATTCTAATATCCAAGAGTGGCTTATCGTACGTTTCCCTCTAGAACAACCACCGCAGACGAAACATTGGTTCATTACTATAAGAGAATGTCCAGGATGTTGAAGGATCACAACACCAGGCCATGACCACAAACTTTGAGTCAAAGTCCATTTGGAAGGTAATGTGATGTATGTGGTCTTCATTGATCCTGCAAACGGTGAAAAGGGGGCAGATTGTCAAAGCATCCTATAATTCTGAAGGTCATTGAAATGTCAATTTTCATTAAACTAAGTGTTTGAGATTAGTTTTGTGTAAAAGGATTACAGTCGTAACATACTTACTTTATGTAAACCGGCTTCTATCAATCAGACCAGTAAAAATATTTTCAACCACTAATTAAGTCCATCAGTATAAGTATTCACATAATAAGTTTGACTTATACGAAAACTCTTTTTTATTTTAACATGCTACAATTCGCGTTTTTACTGACGATTATCTGACTTAATTAACTCATGCACACTCTGCGCCATGACCTGATGAACGTTCAGAAATGAACGACTACGTTGAGCACGCAATAGTTCCATCAAACCACACAGCGACAACGACGCATGCGATTGTGTGACAGTGCGGGAGACCCAGCTATGTTCGTTACTCACCGAACTTAATGCTATTAGACTTTTCACCAGTTAATGCCTTTCATGGCGTTGCTAGGTAAGATCTTGGCCATAGTGCTGATATAACGCATGCCAAAAAAGACATAAGTATGTGCCATTTTAAAACACTGGACAAATACTGATTTTTTCAATGAGAAATGCGTCATCTTAGTGGTTAACTGCTATTTAATTTAGAAAAATTTATTTCGTTGTTGCACTAAGGCGACGAATTATGGACATTTTATTAATGTAATACTTAAATTAAAAATATTTCAAAAAGCATAATAAACATTAAGAACAAAGACCACAACAATCATTTAATGACAAAATTTTAAAACAAAAGTTTTTTGCAGAAGATCTGATACCGGATTCTTCTGTAGTTATACCAAAATACAACTTAAAATCCTTGATATTGGTCTGAACAGATTTGAGCTAAAGTTATTTGGATATGTAAGTATAATGATAATAAAATGCTATTCTTAGCACAAAACAAATAACTTAACATCGCCATATCCTATATATTTATTGTGTAATAATTTTATTAAGGTAGCCTAAAAATGTAAAATTTAACATTATCGCGTACCACGCTACCATTATAATTTTATACTGAACAATAGAGCGATAAATGACGCAATACATTTTGGAAATTTGATATTCTAGTTATACACATCATCATCAAAAATACACATTTTATTACGTATACCATAATAATTTCAAATAAATTGAATTGTCACGTCATGTTTGAGTTGATCTATCTCAATACTCAAAAATACGCAATATACAAAGTTGTCAAACATAATAAAACAATCAAAGCTCTACTTGTGCACATTTTTCAATATACAAAAAGAAATGTACCAGTGGGAATTACCGTAATGATAGTCTTCTGTGTAATAGCTATTAACATATTTAAAATGTTTGTGCTATAGTTAGATTGTGAAAAAAATTATCCTTCAAACTTACAATCACTTTCGTGTCCGCTTCCTTTTACTAACCAATACTGGTTAAGGAAACATATGGTCATGACCCAAGTAGGGCTCGAAACAATGATTCCTATGCTGAGAGGCAGACAGTTAAACCGATATCCCACCATTCTGTTTCGAAGGAGACTCAATGAGAATGTCTTAAACTTTAATTTATCTTTTATTGCGCAATTATGATAAATAACAACGGAAACTTAATAGTTCAAAAAGAAACATTTGTATACACGAAGATATTAATCCAGATAACAAATAAAAGCACATGTATAAATATTTTTAATTGATAAGGTAAAATCTTTAGCATAAAACATCTCTTGATAGAATAAATTTCCTAACACCGTATAATTTGCTATATGTATAATTCTAAACAGAACGGGAAAGGCTGGTCAAACACATCGATTCCACAGTGGCGGAATATATGACGACACTCGGTATGACTACAATTAAAATACCAATATCCTTTCAAAGGCACTTTTGCCTCAGAAACATGGCAATATTTCCTTCTTTAGAAAAGACAAACACGAGTTTTATACCTTTTAGATTATGGTTTAAGAATATTAGATGCATGTAACCTGAAGAAAGTAGAAGTGAATGCGAGATTGTTTTTCATAAAAGTAACAAAGTGTAAACAACATAGAGTTTTGACTTCCATACAAAATACCAAATCACTCTAACTTTACTCATTGTCAAAAAAACCAACAGAAGCAAAAGATGGTTCAGGAAACTGGCCAATGAGTAACATTTTGGAAACAATAACAGGACACCAAAAATAAATAACTTGTGAGAAATAAAAACACTTCTGGGCATAATGAGCCTTGAAAAATCAAATGAAATAGATTGTCATAAAAGTAGCAAAATGTAAACAAAGTAGTATTTTTACTACCATGCAAAATACTCAATCACAGTAACAGTACTAACTGCAAAAAAGCAATAGAAAAAATAATGTTCATGCAATTGGCTGATGAGATTATAAAAAGTATAAAAAATAAGTTTTTGAGAAATAAAACTGAATGCATTGTCTGTCCTGGGACAATAAAAAACGTTTTTTTTCCCAGCCTTGGCAATGTGCCTTTAAAGTGGAACAATACATTTTTCTTGCTCGAAGCCACCAGTGCATATATATTATATAGATCAGCAGGCACGCCCATGTACTGATATATGCAAGCTATCATCTATTTGAAAAAATATGGTGAAATTTAGAATTAAGAGACATTTCGCAGATGTGATCATATTTTTGGAACCTTCAATGTTACAATTTCGTGCCATGAAATTGCGTACGATTCCACTTGATTGATCTAATTAGATCAATAATAGTAGCAATAATTAACGTGCGCACGTGATTTTTTTTCGATATCCCCTCTCTGCCACCGAAGTTGTAAAAGGGCAGCGGAATATTTGAATAAAGTACGGCTTCTAGATTTAAGAAACATCCTTTTTATATATTATAATCATTTATATACTTTTATTCAATTTACTTTATCATGTTTATATTCATATTTAATGACGCAATGCATTCCGGCATTACGGTGCGGACAGGTTTTAGGTCATCAATTTATTAGTCAGACAGTTTGGGACACGTATGAAAACGAAAGTAACAAAAAGCGATTAAGCAAGTTTATCAGACTGTATTTCGTATTAACGCAGACTTAAAAACAGATCTACTCAAGGTTAGTTTTAAAATAAAATAATAACATACTTTTTAAGACGACTATTATAATCATTTAGCCAAATATAGACTGATAATTTATGAACTTTGTTTTGTATTGTTGTCGTGATAGTTTCCGTAAACAGGTAAATTGTCAGTATTACTGTGTCAGAAAATAAAATTCAATATAGAGATTATGTTGGCAATTATGTAAGCTTATGACTGACTTTATCTAACTCTTTGTCATTCTCTTTTTGATTATATATTAAAGTTATTATTTTGAAATTATGTTAATTATTGAAATGACCTGCATTTTTATTTTGATGTAAACTGCCTTTTCAACTGGTAAAAGCCTTGAGATAGGCCTTCAAATATCATATTCTAAAGTAGTTTTACTATTTTTCAGGGATATTATTTTCAGTGATAACTAGAAATCAACGAAAATGATGGGCAAAAGTTTTTTCATTGAACTTTTATGTGTGTTTATCAGCGTGCATTATATATCAGGTAGGCCCTAGGTGTTTACTAAATTGTCGTCTCAATATTTCGCCAGCAAGACCAAACAATTTTACAGACTGATATTTACGGAAGCTTCCTGGTGCCAATTTAACATGTTCTATAAAAAAAGATAACTCCTACGTAGGACTTTGTAACTCCTACGTAGGACTTTATAACTCCTACATAGGACTTTATAACTCCTACGTAGGACTTTATAAGTCCTACGTAGGACTTTGTTACTCCTACGTAGGAGATATAGAAACCTAATTAGGAGTTTTGAAGTCCTACGTAGGACTTACAAACTCCTACGTAGGACTTTATATCTCCTACGTAGGAGTTAAAAAAGCCTAATTAGGAGTTTATAACTCCTACGTAGGACTTTATAACTCCTACGTAGGAGATAAAAAACCTAATTAGGAGTTTTAAAGTCCTAAGTAGGAGTTTAAAAGTCCTACGTATGAGTTTATAACTCCTACGTAGGACTTTATATGTGTTCCTCTATGTAGGAGTTATAAAGTCCTACGTAGGAGTTATAAACTCCTAATTAGGCTTTTTTATCTCCTACGTAGGAGTTAAAAGTCCTACGTAGGAGTTATAAACTCCTAATTAGGCTTTTTTTATCTCCTACGTAGGAGATATAAAGTCCTACCTAGGAGTTTGTAAGTCCTACGTAGGACTTAAAAACTCCTAATTAGGTTTTTATATCTCCTACGTAGGAGTTACAAAGTCCTACGTAGGACTTAAAAAGTCCTACATAGGAGTTATAAAGTCCTACGTAGGACTTACAAAGTCCTACGTAGGAGTTATAAACTCCTAATTAGGCTTTTTTATCTCCTACGTAGGAGTTACAAAGTCCTACGTAGGAGTTATCTTTTTTTATAGCACATGTTAAATTGGCACCATGGACGCCTCCGTAGATATAAGATTTACATTGATAACGGTTTTTCGCGAAGGGTGACTATCATCTCTGTAATAAATAGCCCTTGTGGACATTTGGTTTGTAATAAATAGCCCTTGTGCACAATTTGTTGGGCTACTAAATGTTTACTGTTTTTCTAGCAGTTTCCTGACCCTGGCAGTTTTCTAGCTGTTTATTTTTTTACACAGTATGGTCCATTTTTACTGTTAAAGCATTGATTTTTCTTCATCAAATTAGAGTGATGTTTGTTTTCTTGGTAATACAGCAATTACAATAGAAGAGTGGTTATATATTTTGAAGATTTACCTGTTGTTTGCAGTTTCCTACATTTAAAAACAAGCAATACATGGGGAATTTAAGTTAAATGCTCATGTGCAATAATTGAGTCCCTATTACATGAATCAGTACTTTTGAACAAGATACTTGCATATGGTACATGGTATATATATATATATACTTTTATCACAAAGGATCCAAATCTGACCGTGTACTCCTGACTGATGTCAAAGCCTTAACATTGGAAAATGGCAAGATGACAAATTATCGAAGAACTTCACCAGTACCACAAGTTAGTCAGATGTTGTAGTTTGTTTTTGTTGCAATTTATTGGTAGATGTTAATATAACTTTTTATTTGTTTGTTCTTAATTCTGATATGAAGGTTATCTCTCAGAGATAAATGATTTTCTCTGTAAATAAATGACATAATGATACAGCACAATAGACTAGCAAAACATAGAAAATTCAAATTTTAGATATTCATTTTGATGGATAGGCAACTTATATTTTATCAAAATATTTATGCAGAAAGCAGTGAAGTGATCAAATGATGTAATGAAATATTAAAAATCAACATACTATTATATAAATTCAGTTTCTAAGTATTATACCAAATCTGTAAGTCTAACTTTGTTGTCAGTACCTGGTATTGTTCATTGAAAATAAACATGTATTTTACATATGGCGTAAAATAATGATGATATAACAGACTGAATGAGTTCATGTTAAATAGATCCATTGAATTTTAGCGTCTGTTTCATGAACAATACATATTGTGGATGAATTCTAAAAAAACTTCAATTATGTTTAAAATGAATGTTTTCAGTTGAAATGTGTTGGAGGGAGTGCTTCCGGGGCTTTCAAGCCTCTGAGAGTACAGTGTATTAACCAAGGCTCTGATGGTAGTGATGTTCAGGTATAAATCTTATCTTTACCACCTTAGTCCACCTATATACATGTAGCTCTCTATTATCCCGAGGGTCATTTTACTGATCTAATAACAATATAATAACATGTGAAAATGCATATACAATGAACAGTGTAATACAAAAATATATTAAGATGTTAAATATTAGATATTAAATTTCAAGTATCAGTATTCTTCATTTTGGATGAAAACGTGGTTGCTAAGCAATGAAATTGGTCTTAATGATGATTAATATAAGTTGAAAGGACTTGCTTCACAATCTAGAAAGATATATCTGAACTGAAAAGAAATTTTGAATTCCTACATGTATATTATAAAATTTGAACAGAGATGCATTCATAAGTTAAATTTTCACCTTGTCATATTTCATCTAATATCAAAAAGATTGGTATGCTACGGATATTTCAGTGTAACACTTAATTAAATATGTTATATTTTAGTCTTAAGAAAGTATGATAGGGCATTTTTTCAGTCTTATGATTATCATATGCCATACTGTATATCAGTAATATATATATCATCATTTTGTGAAAATATATCAGTAATATAACATCATTTTGTGTTATATATCAGAAATTTAACATAACACATCTTATAATCACTAATATAAGTTCATGCTATTTATCAATAATGTAACATCATTTTATATTTCAGTGGGAATGTAAGACAGATATGGATAATAGTTACAGATTTGGCAAGGTGGAAGTAACATGTGAGGGATATGACTATCCTAATGATCCTTATATTCTCAAAGGCTCTTGTGGGGTATGATATTTAATTCTGATATATTTATTCTATAGTTTTTGTGTTCAAACTACTATCATCAATGCACATAGAATTGATTTAAATTTTAATGATTCTACTATAACTTTTATTTTACTTACAGTAATACCCATTGATAAGAAACACATAACAGTCTTGAGGTCTGGAAGTCTTCTTTCATTTGAAATATTTTCTGTCAAATGTTACATTCATGATACTTGGAATAGAGACTTGATCTATAAATCATTTGATTTGGATGTTTTAACAATTATATTGCTGAGTTTCATGTTCTTACATGCACTCTGAAAAGAGAGACTACATTTTCTATACACCAAGACTGTGGTATTTTTAAACAGATTTGATTGTACAGTGTATTGGATATGTATGGTATATATTTGTTTTAAATTTTCAGTTGGAATATACCATAGATTATACAGAAGAGGGATGGCAAAGAAAAAATCACGGTGGAAGTCATCAATATTCAGGGGGTAACAAGTACCATGATGATAACTACCATGACAGATCTAACTATCAAACCAGGTATATATAATTCTTACTGATTTAAAACTTATAAGTTTTACTGTATAAGTGGATATTTTCTCACATGAAATCGCAGACATTTGGCGTGAGGAAATCTTAGCGAATCGTGATCTTGTAGTGCAATGATAGAATGTAATGACAGGTTGGTTGATATTTACACTAAATGAAATGTTAATGATTTTCTTCAACTTGTTCATGAAATTTGCCAATATTTCCATGTCGCTAACTTCACCACTTATACAGTAATGGAAACATGCAATATATTTAGATGTTCTCTTCCTAAAGAGTTAATAGCACAAGCCTAATGGCATATACTGCCTTTGAAATGAATAAATTTTTCTTCCTGAAGAAATGGTAAACATGTCTTTCATAATCTTGCTATAATGGATATTGAAAATATGAGATGTTTATCACCTGAAGGAAATGGTGCTTAATTAAATATCTGTGGCAACAGTAGATTATTGTAAACTAATTGTTATTTCCACTTCCATATAAAATACTAAATCACTATGTGTGTACTATTTGCCAAAATGCATAAGATAGTCAATGAAACTGTAACAGGCCAAAAATAAATAAAAAAAAATTTGTAAAATGAAAAAAAAAGTATTTTAAGGCTTAATGGGCTTTTGAAAGAAGATTTGGGCTATCTTTTCATCTTGGTGTTTGTGTCAATATTGCCATTAAACTTGGAACATGAAACTTCACTAGTGTGTTCAAGTAAATTGTTTTTCATTATCCAAGACCAATAACTGAAATATTGATTTCTACTGAATTATTCTCCTTTTTGAAATTCCTTGTAACCTGCAAGTTTTATCTCCACAACCACTTAAAGTTATCACTTTACAATAGTTTAAGCATGTCGTCAGGGTCATAATTGAAGGTACCTGATCAAAAACCATAATTTCAGCATGAAAGTTTATATAATTATTCCAGTTTGAGACTTTCTTTTACTGGAAAGACTTGAAATTTGTACAGTCATTTTATGCTGCTAAAGCTTTTGTTGTATTTTCATTGACTTATATTACATGATTTGTTGATTGTTTATACCCTTTGTATTCAAATTATTTTAGTCTGCCTTCATTTAACCTTTTTGTTGGTTGCTTATATAAATATTTACTTGGATATTTTGATACAATGAAATCATAAATGTTTTTTTCAGCTATTCAAAGAAAGCATCATCTGTTTTCCAAGACTTATTCTACCTTGCTTTAATAGCTGGTATAATATACATCATCTACAAGACTTGTATAGCCACACCCACCATGAATAGTGATGCTCCGCCTCCATATGATGCTCATGATCCGCCCAGAAATCCCTCTGCACCGCCTCCACCATATGGATTTCGAAATGAATACATGCCAGGTACTGGAGATGGCATGGGGGGAGGTATGTTTATTAATGATAGTGTTCATAATACTTATGTTATTATTCATTGGTGAAAACGAAGAAGGACTGGTTTTGAGAAAACTGCCATAAACCATGTCTTGAATTATCAACTTAAAATTTTATATGTAGGATATGAAAAAACATTGCTCATAATGTTGAAAACTTTGGGAGATCTGATGCTATTGTGATGAATCTTTATCTATCTTTATCTATAACAATGTATTGTTTTCATATACATGTACAATGTATGTAACATATTGTTATGAACAAAAGTGTTTTTATTTCTTTGATTAGCTTTTATTTGAGGGATGCAGAGTTATTATGTTTTAAACTGTAGACATGTCTAGTTTTAATATACATGTACAATGCATCTAAAATATTGCTATGAACAAACGAGTTTTTATTTGTTTGTATGCATTCGTTTCAGTAGTATTTATTTATGTTTTAAGGTGGATGTTCCTCAGGAGCTGGATATACAGGAGGTCAAACATACACAGCACCTGGCACAGGTACTGGAGGTGGGTTCTGGTCTGGAGCGTTCACTGGTGGATTAATGGGATATCTCCTTGGTAACAGAAACAGTAACTACCACACCGGTTATCGCCAGAGGCCCTATACAAGTTGGTGGGGTGGTAACAACTGGGGTACAGGATGGGGATCAGGCTGGGGATCTGGAGCAAGTAGAGGCTGGGGCTCGAACACATACACGTCAACACAGTCAAGCTCTGGATTCTCTTCAGCACCAAGAAGCTCAGGCACAAGAACAGCTTCCGGCTTTGGGGGAACCTCAAGGAGATAAACTTTTAAAGCAGATTTTGCTTAGCATTGCATAATCATTCAACATACAAAATATATTGTATAATATATGATATTTATTGGAGAGGGTTGACTTGACTTTTAAAACTTAAATTTTCTCACTAACACATTTATGGTAGAGATATTATTTTACTGACAATTTACTAACATTCCTAGGAATGCATGTACATGTAGTAAGTGAGATTGTAAGTCTGAACATTTTTGAATAATATTAAAGTAATTGTTTATTATACTGAGACAAGTTGATCTAAGAATGATACATTGTATTTATATTTACAACTTACATTTAAAGAAAAAAAGAGAAAAAAATGGTTAGTGAGTTATTTAATCAAGTAGAGCTGTATGGGGTCTATCCATATGTTATGTTGATTATGGTTTATGTGAACAGACAATCTTTATAAGAAGTCAACTATATTGCAAAATATTTATTTTTATGGATAGGAATGTTTATTTGTTGTTGTTTGTGTGTTATTTAAACCTATCATGACACTTATTTTATTGTTGTGCAAGATAATGTTTGTTTATTTGATTTCTATCACTTCATTAATGCTATATGACACTTATCTTGAATTCCTTACTTGTATTCCTATACTTTAACCATGTTTGTTTAGAGAATGTTAGTGCCTTAGTGTTGTTTGTTCCCCCACCCCCTTTAACCTGAAACTACAGCAAACCTAGTTACTTTTAAAACCTAGCTCCTTTCTTAAATTGGATCAATGCTATTTTAATCTGCATTGTTTGAAAGGACTGGTTTTATAATGTTTAATAAAGTATCAGATTGTCCACTTATCTATTGTGTTAGCTTCTTGAGGATTTTATATGTGATACTTGTAGTACTGAGAGATTTCCCTGTCTACAGTGTATTATAACTGTATAAGTGGTTCATTTTGCGACATGGAAATATTTACGACTTTTTGCGAATTGAAGTTAATTGCAAATATTTTTAATCATGCAAAAATTATTTCTTTTTTTGGCAATTTTTCTTCTATCATTTGCAAACATATTTTCATAAGGCATCTTACATGAACAAGTTAGACTATTCAGGTACTGTGATTTTTTTTCTCATTGCTTGTTTGTTTAAGTTTGACCTTAACAAATCACAAATGTTTTAATGAAACAATATATGTGTTAATAAGACAATAGGTTATTCATAAAACTAAAGAATGTTTCAAAATATGACAAAGAAATGTGTGATTAGAACCTTTATGAAACTAACAATGTATATTTCAAAAAAATATATAAATAAAGATATTGAACAACTGAATAGAACAATTACAATAACAGCATATTCTGAACATGTACCTGCTTAATTAATGATATCCCAAAAAACAGTATTAAATTCAAGAAATCATATTTTCGCAAATATTTCCGCACGCAAAAAGTCCACTTTTTGACATTGGCAAAATTTATGTGACTCATAAATATCCACTTATACAGTATTTGTTTTATCTTTTACTTTAGTTGATCATTATAGTGTTTAATTGTTTTTATTACCTGTGATAATACTTGAAATATTACTTAATGTTTGTGTTAAAATGTATATAGTATATGGTTCTATTAAAGATAATATCACCAATATTTTCCATTATCTTTTTGTAAACCGTTCATGTTTTGACTGCCTTCATTTATCAAATCAGTGCTGAAAAAAACTTTTTATATACAATTTAATGTAATATCTAAATGGTACTGAACAAAACTGAAAAGCTGAGCTATCATATATTCTGTTGAACCAGTAAGAGGAGCAGTGGCTTTATAGAAAAGAAATTACCTCTTTAAGTCAGAGATTGTGGAGTTTGACAATGCCATGTTTTGTCATCTGACGCACTACTGGTTTTTGTCCATTGAGGGCAAGTATGAATATGTGCAAATAAAAACATGTTGCAAATCCTGTTGAAACACATTTTAGGTCTGGTTCATATAATTCAAGTTTAACAAAAGATGTTTGTAAAAAATGCATGCCAACCACATCAGTATGTCTGAAGTTGCATGCGATGTTGCTTATATGAGAGAAAGAGAAATATGATGAGATTTTATGTTAGAATCAGGGTTTTAGAGTCAAACCGCAAAGGCTGGTAATGCTAAATATTTTATTGCAGTGGTAAACTCATATACATTGTGAAAAGAAAATGAGGATTATTCTAAGATTGAGGGCAAATTGTGTTATTGACAATCGAGGTAAATGTGACCTAGACCTTTGAACCTATTAACCAAAAGCAAGAAGGTTTATCTAATTGCCAGGACCAATGCATGTATGAAGTTTGAGGTCCAAGGGCCCATTGATTGTCTAATTATTGGTGTGAAACCATTTTGGCATACAAGGTCAATGTGACCATCCTTTGAACCCGTGACTCAAAAATCAGAAGTGGTCTTCTACTGCCTAAGGCCAATGCTTCTATGATGTTTGAGGGCCAATAACTTGGTTGTCAAGTTATTGGTTGATGAATTGTTTTGACATACAAGGTAAGTGACTTTGAACTTTGACCCTGCAACCCAAAGGCCTGTGCATGGGTTGTTGAGTAATTGGTCAGAAACCAATTTGACATACAAGGTCACCTTTGAGCCCTTGAACCCAAAACCATCTACTTCCCAAGACCAATGCACCTATAAAGATTTAGGGTAATGGGCCCATGGGTTCTCAGGTTATTGACTGGAAACAATAGGGACGTATGGACAGAAAGACATGCTGCAAACCAGCATGCCACTCTCTTAAGGGGAGTATAACTGCTTACAGTATATAACTGAAACACTTGTACAATGTACAAAAACTGTCCTTATTCATCTTTTTAACTTAGTTAAACAATCATGTTATTGTTTTATTGTTAAACACCACTAATCAATCAGGTGCCCTAACTTTGTCCAGCATATTGAAGGAACTTGATTAATATTACAACTACAATTCACATGGCAAATAATTTGAGTATTCTAATTACCAGTTAGATTGTTACTTTGGAATATTGAACATAAATGTTGTAGTGACATAAGCAATTTTAAATACCGGTACATGTGTTTTTTTTGTTGGGTTTAACATGGCACCAACATTTTACTGGTGAAGGAAGAACTCTGGTGCCCTGATTATTAATTGAGGTGCGAATGGGCACAGGAGTAGAACCATCAACATTCCATATGGCAACTTTCCAGCTTCACTGTTTTATGGAAGACCTCAGATACCTCTTTGTGCATTATTTCAGGCACAAGGGGCACCTGAGTAGAACGATCTACTGACATTCCATAAGCTAGCTGGATAGCATCCTCACATGAAAGAACCCACAGTTGTAAGGAGAAAATGGTCTGAAGTCTACCACTTGGCTACGGATGCCCTATTCGAAATACATAGCAAAATCAGATCATTTTAGGGCCATTATACTGGAACAATAGAAGATATTCTTTTGGATTGCCATGACAACTCAGATTTCTGCACTTGATGAAGGATCAACAAAAGGACATTCTTATAAAACTTTAGTGATTTTAACCTTGTCTTATGAAAATTTACTTCAGAAAAAAGTGTGAACAAGCAGTAGAACATAAGCTCACCTTTAGTAAATTGTGTTCTGTTAAGCTAACAAGAGCTGTCAGTAGGACAGCACACTCGAATATTCTTAGTGCTTGATATTAAAAGAGCCATGATAATGTAAAATTTTGTAAGTTAAAGGGATATTTAGGAAAAATTATGTCAAAAATATTAAAATGATGAATTTCTGTTTAAAGTCTATATATTTGGGGTTTGAAGCGTAAATATATCTATATATGTTGAACAAAATTCAGACGCCAATAGAATCACCGAATAGTTTTAAAACAAGTCATGTGACTTGAACAAACCCTTGAAGTTACAATAACAGATATTGTGGATATTGCATGATTGAAACAAGTCTAAGTCATTCAATTGACATCAGTTCTTTAACGTTACCAGAGTTCACTGTGACAACTATTGTGGAATCCTAGCGCTCTAACCTGACCCACGCGGGTCAAGTTAGGAAACTACCATTTTATTCTTTATATGGAGAAAAGTTTTGTTCCTTTGACTGTCTAATATATTAATTTTAAGGGCATTTACAGAATAAGGAATGAAAAATTCAAAACTAAGAAATAAAAAGTTTGCCTGTGTCTCCCTTTAAAAGGGCCAAATTTTTCTTTAATCCATGTTACAGTTATAGGCCTTGGAAAGAGTCCTAGAATGCTCTCAAAGAAGTGTATAAAATTTCAAGTTGTTTCCAAGCCAGATGTCAAAGAAATATGAAAATATCTGAGGTGGTATGCCACTTTATTGTAAATTCTAAGTCGAAATAGGGGCATTATTCTGTCAAAATGCTTGATAGAGTTACCTTATCTTGTCTGCAGATTGGGGGCATGATGGTGAACAAATATGCAAAGTTTCAAAGCCATAAGTCAATGGACTTTGAAAATATTTGAGGTGTTACAAAAAATTGAACAGAAAAAGGGACATTATTCTGTCAAAATGCTTGATAGAGTTATCTCCTCCTGTTTACAGGTTGGGGGCATGATGGTAAACAAATGTGCAAAGTTTCAAAGCCATAAGTCAATGGACTTTGAAAATATTTGAGGTGTTACCAAAACTTTAACTTAGGTGTTTACGCCGACGCTCTTGTGTCTAGGATACCTCTACTTATTCTTATCAAATAGTCCAGCTAAAAATGACATCACAATAGCCTATCAAGTAGATACATGTTCTGATCAGTCAGGGCCACAGAGCTTTAACCTAACTTTATGCCTGAAAAACTCTCATATGCTCAAAACTCTGTTCATCTTCTGGGAGAACAGCCTTGTTTATATTAGGCCTGTTACTATGACAGCATTGCTTATAACTAGCAAGTCAATGTAGGTTCAGAGTTAGTCTGTTCAGACAGTAAAATTATTCTGTTAATTTAGTTTATAACTTAATTTAGTATATAAATGTAAATTAAGGAATATATTGTAGTCAGCAATGTGTGTTACAGGAGATGTGCTACATTCTCTAATAAATATATTATGATAAGAAATAACCAAAACTTCCATTTACAAAATAGTTTTTCTTTTATTATTTTTTGGTCACAAGTCATTAATTTTATGAACAACTTTTCTTACACATAGTGTATATATACATATAGAATGGCAATATCATACAATGATTGCTATTACTAGCAGAGATAATATATTACAATATGAGACATTGTAAAAAAATAACATATGTGTTTATATGTAACAGATCTGTTAAATATATGTGCAACATTAACAGAACTTTGGCAAGTTTTAAATTTTTAAGCAATTGTTCTACACAAACTGCAGTCTACTTTTAAATGTTTTACTATTTTATTATGTAAATATTGCACACATATTTTTATTTTCAACATGGCAGAATGTTATTTATGAATTAATTTAGTAACTTGAGGAATACATGCATATTCTTACATAATTGACTGAACTGATGTCATCTACCTGCAGTCATAGGTCATATACTAATACTTTGAAAGCTAAAATCCATATTACCGCATGGAAAATTATTCAAAGTAAGAACAAATTATCTAGGTATTTCAATACTAGCACTAACACAGCCATTTCATTTACTGAATCAGCCTGGAAAAGTAATATTATTATATCTTTAAAAAATTTGCTGTTTACTCACAGGAATACTTGTACATGTAGGTGTTCCTAACTAATGCATATAGTAAATACTATATATCAACTTAACTTGAAGGTATGTAAATTAATCATACCTAACAAAACTTAGTTTTAATTCAATGCATAATCAAATCTTACTAGCAGAACCAAACTTGCTAAAATGAAGAGAGTTGTCTTTCTTAACAGGTGGACTGACACAACTGGCACCTATTGTTCAAAATTCAAATGGAATATTTGGTGAAATGCTAGTTTTTCACCAGATTGACAGTAAATGTTTGTAAAAACCTTTCAAAACCTTTTTTTATATATTCTTCTACATAATTTTATAAAAAGAATTGAGACTAGTTATAAAGAAGTAGATAATGAAATGTATAACCTTTAAATAAACTATTTTTACATAATTGACAATAATACATCTTTAATAAAACAGAAGCATACGCAAAACATATAACTTTTAGTATTAAAAACATTTGCAGTCTGCGACTTCTAAGTTCCAATCATTAATGTTTTTTATAAAAAAATATGCTGTTATTTCTTTTATCAAAGCTAATTTTGAGCAAACATTAATAGAAGAAGACAAATCAAATGTAAGGAACTTTTTAACATGATTCGGTAACTTACTAAATAAAGTACACATATCTAATTGCAATAGTTTGTTAGGAGTTAAAGCTTAAAAAAAGTTTTTATCTAAATTAGTGCAAGTTTACAATAAGTATGCACTGTAGGTAAAACCCAGGTCCGATTAACGTCCAAAGCTGACTAGCTTTTCCACTTGAATGATGAAATCTACCATGTCTGTTAAATTATGAAATCATTTATATGTAAGTAACCTATATTTCTGCCAAGCTACTGTTCTGACAAAATAGTAAATATTGCATTAACTTTTCAGTGCAGTTGTAGAATTGTCTAGCTAACTACATCAAGTGTAGAGACCAGTCAGCATAAACACCATTGTATTTTGACTGTACTCTATAGCCAACAAGATAGATAATAATCATCTGTATATCATACCACAAACAGGTAAGAAAATCAAAGTATACAAGGTAGTCCTATTTACATAAAAATCAACATGGAAAGAGTTAAAAATAGAATCATTACAACAAAAACTAAACAATACCAAGAGATAAATAGTTTCTTCCAAAGCAATTTAAGTTTGCAAACAATTTCACAACCAATATCAAGTGATAGCTTTATATACAAGACATAAACAGAACACCTGTTTAGCACTAATAAGATAACAAGACTTTTAGATCATGGTGTTTAGAAATAGACCTTCATGTTTGATTTCACAGACACATGAATTTCTTCAGTGAGATTTAAGTTGCACTCAAAAATTAAGTGTTACTCACATACCAAAGAGTAAGACAGCCCAAAAAGTTGAACTTAATATCATAATATAAACAATTTTGCACAGAATATGTGAAGAAGTGATCACATTGGGGTACCATCATATTCCTTTTCACTGGACATGTTTGGTGATGGTGATATTTCCTCAATATATACCTCAATATTTCAATCAATCAATCAATCAATCAATCAACACACAATCAAAACATTTTATAAAGCTAATATTATAAAATAAGGTGGATTTCTTGTTAATATCAAAACAAACAAAACCTTTTGAAACAACATAAGATGTCAAAATTGCGAAGTTTCACAAAAAATAAGCACTTTCTTATAAGTAAACAATTATCTGTTAAAAATGTAATAGTTTTAGAAGACCTACTTAAAAACAGCAATGAAACATAATAAATCTCAAATCTATAGATCTGTACAATGTTCTTGTACATATTTTGTAAGTTTTAATCAGTATTAACATCTAAATATATTAAGATATACCTGAGGTCACTGATGACTCAACTATGGTAGTGATATGAGAAACAACATACTGATCAATTATTGCTCAAATAAAAACTGTTGCTGCAAAAATGGCAATTATTTTGTTCCATTTAAATAATGGCAATTCAATTGAATACCCTTACAAAGCACCTGCTTTACCATCATCTATAGACCCTACATTAAAATAAGTTAAAATAAGCTATACACAAGTCATACATTGACTAATAATGTTTATGAAAATTGGTGTGTAATAGCATTTATAATGGGTTGTTGTACATGTGCTAATCTTCTATTGGCTTGATAATTAAACATGTGTTCCAAACATTATGAATCTCAAATAATATACAAGCTTATATTTCAATCAAATCAACTTCATTGATTGACTAGAAATAAAATAATATACCGGTAGTACATGTATCAAAGACTAAAATTTTCAAAGATTAATGCCAAAAAGGTGATATGTCGTCTTACATAATTATAGACTTGTAGCAGACGCCCACCTTCAGCACAGATTTGACAAATTTAGTGACTCTTAAGGTGACAACGGAGTCAATTATCACTGAAAATACCTAAAAAGAGATTTTTTGCTTAGTATATTTATTAACCTTTTCTGAAAACATTCGTGATTTAATTTTTGAAGCAGTTAGTCCAAAAAATGTGTTTTTAAACGTTTAAAAACGGTACCTATCCCATTTTTATCTGCTATTCGCGTAACCTGTCAATTATCGATAACGCTCCGCCCCCTGTTGGGGCATCATTGAGGGAAATCGGTAGTTCCATATATCCGTGAATTACCGCTCCATACTACTCGTAATACATGTATCGTACAAATACTGTACATCTTTATGAATATCTCAACATTTTATCGTCTACCTTTTATTTAGCCTTTTTTTTATATAAATTAAGAAATTGTCGACCAATGTACGTAACATAATGTATGTAACATAAGTAATTAAGCATAGCTGTAAATCGCACGACCACGGGGTTGATTAAAAAATGTAGTTGCTAAAATATCCATAATGTGTGAAATAATAATTTGTTTGTCCTGTTAATCTGATAGATATTACATTGACTTTATGGACTTTTGTACGGATTCAAGGGATTGCTTTACATTCAAACTAGTTTTCTAACAATGTCTAGTAAAACAACAACAAAAAAACAGACATAATTTATGTGAACGCCTATTTGACTTGTGGTAAGGGGTCCATGACAAATATCTAAACCATTTTTACCATTGTCTAAGGATGATTATTTCTCTATGAATCAATAAAAAAAGATATTAAAATATATTACCAGTGAATGCTTTGAATAAATTGTCCGCCAGTAAATCGAACACAGTACTAATAAACCTTGGACAAAGTATAAAATTTATTGTCTATCCCGGTAGAAACTGGATCTCTATGCCGTGCATAGATGATATTCATGATAATAGAAGTCAAGAAGGCCAGATCATAATGATCGAGTAATACCTTTTATTTCTATTAAAATATGTGAAGCATTATCAATTTGGTGGAAAAAAATATATAATATCCCGTTCTTATTTGTATACATCTACAATGGACTTTAAAAGACTGTCAGAAGCTCAGTTTTTTGTTATTTTATTTTATATTTTAACGGAATTTCATACACAGGCAGAGTGACTGTGGTATAATACAATAATAATGCTGATGATAATAATAATAAACTTCAAAAAGGAAACAATAAAATACCCCGCTAGCGGTGCGCAAATGCGTTCCATTTCCCCCCACTGAGTGCCTCAAATTTTACCGATAGTCACGTGACATGTGCGACAGATACCAGACGAACAGTAAATCACGTTAAGAATTGAAGAAATTTCGGCTATAAACTGATATTAATCAGCAGCTTTTTAATTGGTCAGATGTCACTGGGTCATAAAATGTTGTTAGAGTATGTTACCGCAACTTGTGACCCTCTCTGGTGCGATATTTGTGTATTATGCAATTATTTAGCGTGAAGCGTAGGGGTCCGAGAGAGAACAGCCGATTTATGACACTTCGTTTGATGCTGGTCGGACTAACTTTGAATCGGCATAACTTTTTTAATAATCAAGCAATTAACATGCGGTTTAAAGCACATGAAAGGAAATTCATTTACGGAGGGAACCGTGTCAGGGATTTTTGTTTGCTCAATCAGTGACTTAATTATCTTTAATTACGTAATATGTATGGTGAAAAAAGTCGCATAAAATGTTTGACGTTACGTAATATTTTTTTGAGAAAAGATAGAAAAAATTTGAGACACGGTTCCCCAGATAATATAAGTATGGTTATTTTCCAAAAGTTTGATGACAAAAAAATAAAAAATGACTTTGATATGACGATTTAAAATTTTAGGATTTTTATTCAAAATCAATCATTTACAAAGGCATTTTTTTCAAATATGTTATTTTTTATGATGATCAACGATATTTAATGCACAAAGATTAAATAAATAACAATTATTACTAAAATAACTTGGTTTAAATGACAATTATGTGAGTACCACAGAAAGTGTCTGTTGTCACCTTAAATCACTCACTTTAGTTTATTGTTAACATGGACAAAACTTCATTATTAGGTCATTTATTTTTAGTTTTATCAAAATCTGCCAAACTTCTACTATATTTAGCATTCAGCAAGCCCCATCCTGTTTAAAATAATTTATTATATAAATTTTTGTTTAGTTCCACCCAATGATAATTATTTATGAATTTCATTTAAAATTGCTTAGTTAACGCTATGAAGACAATCTCTTTTTCATATCTAAATGATTTTAGGCACTGGTACAAAGTACAATGGTGAAGCCAACAGTAATTTTTTAACAGTTTCATTTAAATTTTCAGCTTATTTCTATCTTAAGCTCTAGTAGCCATCTTGTTCAACAGACCGTAATGATATAAGCAATTTTCATAAAGGACCACCTGATGATCTTTCCTGTAGTTTCATCAAAATCGGAAGCATGATTATGGTGCAGACCTTGTTAAAAGGTCATTGTATTTTTAGCTCTGGTGGGCTACCTTTTCAGCATTCTAGAAAGATTCAAGGAAATTTTACTCAACAGATCAGAACTATTTAAACATTTTTATAAGGGACCATACAAAGATCATATCTGTACAGTTTTATTATTATTGGCCAATGCGTTTAAGTGGGGGTGATGATATGTGAAGAAAAATGTTGCCAATGGATGCAGGGCAATCACAGTACTCATCAAATCATTTCAAAATGAGCAGTTTGAACATTTGTGAGCTAATAAAATAACATATGACATGCAGTTTCAGGAAGGAAATGTAATAGAATGCATTTATAAAAAAAATCTAAATTATGAACTCCATGTTAGCAGGTTTACTGTTTACTGATAAATTAAATGAAGGTAAAAGAGTATTTCAAAATGAAGCCAGCAGTTTGTACAAAAGGACCTTCTTGCTCTGTATTGTTCTATGAGGAAAAACAGTCTTCCTATAATTATTATTACTATCAATATCACCAAAACAAGTGTAGTGAAAGACAAATATTGTCTATAAATAAATGTGATTAGAATTATAATAGTATATATTGTTATCAACTGGACCTGTATCATTAACAGTCACTATACAAAGAATACTGCTTTAGTATGTCTTAACAACATATTGACCAACAATACTCAGTTCATTCCCTGTACAGAACATGCAACATCTCATGCCAAAAGTAACATTGGTCCTTTCCTATTTTAACTTTTGGTCCTTTCCTTTTTTTCACCAGGATTTTTTTTGCGCTGAAGACTTCTTGATCCTCAATGAATCACAAATTTGCATTATATTTTGCGTGATATATCATATGACTTGTTTTCCTGTTCCAAACAGTGTATAAACAACCCATCCAAACACTGACACTGCTGCAGTCTGGTTAAATACAGCACTCCAACTCTTTGTCACTTCTAATATATGGCCCGCCATATATACACCAATGAATCCTGGGATTGCCCCTGCCATATTCATTATACCTATAGATACAAAATGTCAATATTTATAAATTTTTATAAATAAAACATTTTTTTTGTGCATACCTTCCTACTACCCCAACCAATTAGTCATGATACCCACACTGTGGGCATTTCTAAACTAATATCTGTAGACCAAAACATTCTCTATGTTTTAATTTACAATCATTTTGTAGTCATGGTCACAGTGTCTAAGCAATGCACAGGTGGTATTTTCGTTTCTTCAAATAGGACATAATAATTTTTATTCAGAATATAAAGTCTTTAATGTTGTAGCTGTATGAAATATTTGTTAACTTCAAAGATCTATCACATCCATGCAAACATGGTATGGGCTTACATTTTATGTATTTATGAAAAGAAAATCATGTTGCCATTATTTTTAAGAGAAAAGAATTATCAAAGTGGTTGTTACAGCACATAGATATCAATTAAATATCCAATATTGAACGTTGCTTACCAAACACTGATCCTGCATGTTTCGGGGCAATATCTTGAGGATTAACTAGGATTCCACTGTTATGAAAGCCACAGCAACATACAGCTAATGCCATACAGACTAGAGCTCCAAGATATGATGATGTGTATGAGATTACAACTAGGAAAAATGCTGTACCTAACATTGTTATAGTCTGAAATAAATACAATATATCCTTGTTTTATATCAATCTGTATAATCTGGGACATAATATAACAGGACAAGCAAACACCGACTAGATAAGCCGTCTTTATGTTGCCGTCCAATTGACAGATGATCAATCGATTAGGTTAGAGTTTAATCATATATTTATGCTGTTATTGGAAAAACAATAAATTCATTTCTCATAAAATCATGTAAAAACCATTTTGATACTTAAGGACTGTTAAAATCTTACAACATTGGCTTATGATTCTTTTACTCAGACTGATTACTACAGACAAGAAATATACTTTTTTTACAACAATCAATTAGACAAACTTGGGGTGTGAGCAACTTTTTGTAAGAAAAGAATACACAGTCATAATCTCCAGTTGCTTATCCGATTATATTATGCCAAAGGTATAATACACCATCAATTAAATTTAGTTCAATGCCACAGCCACATATTCATATGGAATTAACTAAATACATATCAAATTTAAAATTGACTTAATATTAATTATACTTAATATTATTTATATGTATATCCTTGCAGACAGAAAATCAAACCTAACTTAAAAGAATTGTTACCATGCATGGATATAGCAAAATGTTTTAGCTAAAATAGAAGAGCACACTATACTTACATTCATAAATTTTCTAACAAATGTTACACTATACCCTGTAAACAGAAAGAAAACATACATGTTTATTTGGAAGTATTTAGTACTTGTGTGAGTTTTGTCAGTAAGAAATTTCTAGGATAAGTTTGCCATTTTCTTAAATGGTATGATTAAAATATCTTCAATATTCTTTCAACAATACAAACAAAGATAAACAACAACAAACATTTAATGCATTTTACAATCAAGAGAATACAAATTGGTGTTAGAATTGTTATCATACATGTATTTTTTTCTTGACAATTTAAGATTCTTACCTTTTGTTATCATAAAATCTGCTAACCAGCCACCAAATATAGAACTTGGTATAGTAACTACCCAAGGTATAACATTGAAAACCCAGCCCTGAAATAATTTAAATCAAATATCTCTATCACACTAGATTAACCTTAAGAAAGTTATAATATGACCACAAAACATGCACATGTTTATAAACAATTATTCTGAAAATAATTAGTATCTAAATTACCCTTTATTTTCAGGAGCAAAAAAATTTATACAAGTCTGTTTAGAGAAGAAAAGTAAATAACCACTGAATGTAAAGTTACCAGAAATTGTAACGAAGTATTTGAAAAAATTATTTGTCAGGCGAATGCAATCTTTTATAATAATTGGTACATACATGTACATGACTATAATATAACAGTGTATTTCACTCCGTTAAAATGTGATTAAAACTGAAATAAACAGTTGTATTTTATCTATCTCTAAATAAAGAATAAATTATCAAGAGAATATCTCACCTTAGCATCTGGGAAATTTTCATGAAAATATGTAGGCAACCATGAAAGGAGAATGAAAAAAGCATTGTTTTCACAAAAATGACCAACAAGCATTGACCTGAAATACAATAATTATAGTTAATCAATTTGCATATCATCAACATTTTAAGTTTATGTGTCAATTTGTTTATCCTTTTCTAATTGATTGGCAGCAGTCATTGCATTTAAAGTTTTATGAATTTAAGCTTAAACTACCAATTATAATTTAAATATTTTACATATTCTAAACGTAAGAAAATACAAGCTCAAAAGACATCGACCTAAATACACTTATTAAATAATTTATTATTTCTCTTTTAGTAATAATGAAATGCAGGAGGCTCTTGCATTGAAATGGTTACGTGTGCTTTGGAATCCAGAAATACTATTTATGTTTTTAGCTTGTAACATACTAAATATCTTAAACAGACTCATTCATCTTGCAACCTTGAAAAAGGATAGTGAATACCCGAAACTAGTAGGTTTTAAAAAATTTTCAAACTAATTCCGGCGTTATAGTGTGTTACTATTGTTTTATCTTTCAATCTAAGCAAAACATTTATCAAAATTCACAGTTTGCATGGATAGAATCAGTTGCTCGGGCAGGCTAAGGGCCTATGTTAGCAAACATCATACACTCCCAAGTCCCATGACACAAACAATAAAAAAACAGTCAAAAAGAATGTAAAGTTTACCAGAATGAGAGTTTAAAGAATAAGGTAACCCATGGTGTAGATGATGAATCTTTGGTTGATACTGGAGGTATATCCCTCTTCTCTATAACAGTCATTGGTATATATTTCAGTCTATGACGATTTATTAAAATATATCTCATACATAACATCCAAGCTAGTCCAGATATACCTGAAAATGATGGAGAGAATAGGGATTACATGAACTTTATTTTGAGTGGATAATGTGTTTGTTGGTTCAGAACCAATTTTCAATATGATGGTTGTCATAGAGAACATTGTGCATATGGACTAAGATGTATTTCAAACAATATGGGCTCATATTGCAACATCTATCATTATTTTTTGTTTGTTTTGGGTTTTACGTCACATCGACACAGTATAGGTCATATCGCACATTCCAGCTTTACTGGTGGAGGAAGACCTCAGGTGCCCTTCCGTGCATTATTTCAGACATTAACGGGTACCCGAGTAGAACCACCGACGTTCTGTAAGCTAGCTGGATAGCTTCCTCACATGAAAGAATCCAAAGTCCCTGTCGGGATTCGAACCCACAGCGGTGAGTGGCAAGTGGTTTGAACATCTATCATTAAGCACATATTAAGTCTACATTAAAGGTCAAAATATGTAAGATTGTTTTTATCAAATATTATGAAGTCAAATTAATAAACAAACACTCAACAAAAGCTAAATCAACAGTTTGACAGGCTTTTTTGAATCAAATACATGAAATATTTTAAGCTGGTGAATACGATGCGTACTGGAAATAAAATCAACTCTGTCAATGTCATTTAATCAGTTTATATCAGTTCATATTCACCACCTAAAAGTTCTGTATCTGTCTTAGCTTTTTATGGCAAATCAATGAGATAAAAACCAACATTTCCTCAGTTTTGATTTCTTCCATAATAAGGTCCTAATTGTCAAATCAAGATACTAACATAAATTAGCCAATTACAATATGCTTTAATGCAAGTCACCAACACTTTTTCAAATTAACAGTAACAAAACAGAGATGCTATCATCTCATGAAAAGCTTTTCAAGGGGAAAAAAAACTTTAATAGATCCTCAAGAGCTAATAAAATGGTGAATGTACTCTGTTATGGACCTGTTCTACTTCTCTAAATCAATATGAGAAAAAGTATTTCAAAGTTATTTAGTATATATTGTTAGTATATAATAAAAAGAAACATGCCATGGTTTTTTTAAGGTCACATACACAAGTAGTTAAATGCAATAATGTTTCAAACTGTGCTGACCAAGCATACTTTTACTCTGGCTTACAAACTCTTGTTTACAACATACAGAACAAAAAAGTATCCCATAACACTAAAAGATCAATTAAAATAAACTTACCAAGAAAATAAAACACTGTTTGCCAACCATATGTTTCCATGATAATTGAACCCAAACTTCCACACAGCAATGTTCTACAATATTCAAATATTCAATTAACAACTGCATTATTAAAAAGAAACAGTTAGCATTATCAATTTACTTCTGATGTTACATAATACATTCATTAGAAAAAAAAATGAATATTTTTTATGAATTTCTGACTAAAATATAACCATTTTATTTATTTGCATTTTCTTTCAAAATACTCTTAAAATGTTACAAGTTATACTAGTAAGTATCTAAAAATTAAAAAAAAAAAAATTCTGAAAATAAAGTAAATTTGAACGAGAACTGAACAAAATATACTTTAATACTCTAATACTTTTCTATTTTATATAATAAGAAAATTTAAAATTGATACTCGTAATATGGTATTACATAATAAGGCAATTGAACGATGGGGAAATATAAGCTACAAGATGAGATATATTTGGGAGTGTTTCATACAGACTGACAGCCATTTTATATGATCTCAGAATGCTGACAATTTGTATGACAACACAATTTAATTCTGTGCTTTTTGACATCAAATAGAAATTATAGGTTCAAATGACTTCTGTGAATTGAATTAATAATGTACCTTGTAATCAATCATGAAAATGGCTGACAGGTGGTCATGTGAAGGTGAAAAATATTATAATGAAACATTTCTATAAATAATTTTGTCAATGCTTTTAGCATTGGGGAACAGGTACTCAATTAAGTTATGTAAAAGCCCACACAACAAATGCAAGAACTTAACATCTGAACAACTATAAGAAGTATTACAACAATTTTTGCCTAAAATTTGAAATCAAGCCTTCACTGTTATCAATGAATGTTTGCTTCATGATTTTCCTTTATAAAAATCTGTCACTCCACTTATATACAAAATAAGTAATTGTCAACCAATAATATTTCTAAATGTGATCATTGCAACCAGCAATGTACATTTATGGTATATGCTTGATATATATCTTACTCAAATATATATTTTGTTCAGATAGTAATTTCTGCTTTCAATCTAAATCATTCATTAATTTTTTGCCACTGGAATAAAAGGGTGTCATTGCATTTTTGTGTGTGAAAAATTGCAAAAATCACAAATTCAAAAACTAAATAAATCCCCTGTTAAACATCAAGAAATTTCTGAGTATTTTGGAAACTATATGATAAGTGTATCAAATAACATAATCAATGATTATGTAACTTTATGTTCCAGTTTATAAAGAAGGTATAGGGACTTTTTATGATTAAAGAAATATGATTCTGCCAATTTCAATGACACTCTTTTATATATAAATGGATGATGGATTTGAGTAAATATATAGTAAGTATTAGAAACTACATTACCCCAAATGTGACCCAGAGCAAACAACACTGTATGTAAGGGAACGTTCTTGTTCCGGAATCTTCCGAGATATAAGAGAACTAAAACCAGGATAGTGAAAACCTGTTGGGGCAGAAATATGCCATACTATATTGTATAACAATTAAATTCACCATGCTTATACTATAGTTTTACATGAAAAGATGAGTCAGACACTATGCCTATACTAACAAGAAATCTGATTTTAAATACTGCAGAGCTTTGTCAACAGTTATTTAGTACCATACTATACTGCATTCTACTGTACTTATTTTACTTTACAAGCTAAACCAAACCAATCTACAAATATGAATTCAGCTTGAAATCATGTGGAAAACAAATTTTGTTCAAAGTCTGCTTTGAAAGTAAATCAGTAAATTGCTTTATATAATATAAATTAGATTTCTTCGCCAGTTATATGCAAATGCAAGAAGATTTCTATTGAAGTGACTGTCAAGCACAACCAAAACATATTCAGATGACTCATTTATCTTGATCTCCCCCTATTAATCCACATAATTATCTAGAGTACCAAGAGGCAAAGTCCTAACAGAAAAAGCTAGAGTTATGGGTTTACCTACAGGTCAAAGCCCAAACATGAGGAACCATCTAAGTATCTGATAATTTTGGTGATTATGAAGATTCAACACTTAATCAAGGTAGTGCAAAAAAGGGGCATGATTCAGCTACAATCCACTATAAATTTACTGCCTACATTAGACACTGACACAATCATGTGTCTAGTTTAAAGTTTGATTTGAAGATAGAACTTAATTAAAAATCTCAAATTTCACAAAGAAGTCCCAGAAAGTGACCTATAAACTTGACATGGAAGATATACAAGACCTCCCAGTGGTCAATGAGAAATAAAGTTGGATGCAAATGTCACGCAACAAACACTAAAGATAATGCCAGGACGAGTAGGGTATGATCCCAGCAACTCTTCAAATAGTCAAACTAAAGATGACTCTCAGTGAGTTTATCTAATTGTGTATATAATCATTAAATTAAGTACTCAATAGTCTACTTCTAACCTGAAATATTTTTGGTTCTAAAACCCTGAAAATATCATTTATAAAAACATACAGACTTGGTGTCCATGTGAAAACTATTCACAAATATAAATAATAATAGACATATACATGAGTATAATAAAACTTAAAAGAAACTTAAAGTAAGATTGCTTCATTTATATTAGATGAACATTTGATGGCATCATATTCATGTTAAGAAATATCGCTATTAGCAACTGAATAAATTTGATAAAAAAATTACCAAATTTTGTAATAACTGTGTCAGTCACAAAAGAAATATTTTGTAACTGTTTGTGCTTCTGTGTTAATTATCATGCAAGTTTAGTAAAAAAAAATTAGTTAAAAATGGAAAGAATAAATCCCTTATACCTTAAAAGCTAAAAACCATGGTTAGCTACACAAGTACCAATTTTTATTAGCACATCATTTAAAGGTAAAATCACAGTACTACTTGTGGTAGACATCATTCTTTAAAATTTTTAATATACATATATGATCACCTCTGTGTAGTAACAGGTTAACTCATTATATAATTAAATAGGAGTTAACCAGTTACTGCACTAAGGTGATGGTATATCCTTTCACCAAGACACTAAAGAGGAAAAGACATTCTTAATTACTATAATTATAAGGACAACAAATTAACCAGATTCATTGTAAGGCTTAAGGGCTAATAAAAAAGGTGAAAAAATACATATAAAGCCTTATGTTCTTAAAATATAGTCACAATAAGCACTAATGATGAAGAATTACAGAGGATATTGCTAAGCACTGAACTAACAATATACTTGATTAACCCATGGTTAGGAGTATACACTAATATAACACTGATAGCATAGCATGCATAGCTTTTATCTGTATAAAAGCAGAAAACATTTTTATACATATATAGAGTGGTACCTTGTTATAACAACTATGGTAGGTATATCTGAACATTAAATTATCTGAATAAATATGCCTTAATATCATTTCACAGGGAAATAATTCACCATTATACTAAATTAGGCGCTCCTATAGGCGCTCCTAAATTATGTCAAAACCAAAAAAGGCAATTTCAAATAATAATATCATTTATTAGAGCTAGCAGACACGTAAACAACAATAAGTCAAATACAAAATTTGAAGAAACAACCGACTGAGTATGTGTCTTGACAAAAACTGTAACTAAAAGGTGCCAAAACCGAACCTAAATACAGTTTGGCGTAATGATACAAAAGTGACCCTTGACCTAACTGATGAAATAACCAATTAAAAATGTTGTTTATTAAAATACAACAAACGGAATGGAGTAATAGTACAAAAATGACCACTGACCTATATAAAATAACAACCAATGAGAAAGGCTGTTTTATCCATAATTAAAAGATTTTATTGTAAACAAAATGCTTCACTTCATGCAGATTACTTTTTTCAGAGCCAAACATCTATAACAGACATAATAGTTACAAAATAACTACTGGAACGGTTTTATATTACAAAACGATTCTGTGGTATATTATACAGCATTCATATTTAGATGAATATCCAGGTACTAATATAACAGGAAGAAGACTTGGTTATCCACTCTGAATATCATAGGAACTCAAGAACGGGACCGCAGATTGCGGCGTATATTTTCGATCGTGTAACGGTTTTTAAAAACGTTTCTGCTACATCTAAATATCTTTTAGTATTATCCGAGTGTATGGACTCAAAAAATATATTATCAATTGAAACCAATCTGTCTCATTTAAAACTGGTCAAATTTTACGGTGTTATAAAAAAAGACAAGGAGTGACATCCGCCATTTGCCGCAACATTTTCGGCATGAGTTTTTCCCCTTTGGCTACAATTGATTACTATTTTTTCAGAATTTTGTTCCCGTTATTTTTGTCAACTATCAGGTATCGTCCGGATATAACGTTAACGGTTTATTGTTTACACGTGTTGACATTTATAGGCGGCATTATAACGGGCGTATTCGTGTATTGATTTGTTAAAATGGAGAAAACAGACACTTTAGTAATATGGTCCAACTGATTTTGCCTAACTGAAAAAAGGAATATTAAAACATGATCCATAGATAAATATTTTAGGCACTCATCTCGTATTCATTACTAGAAAAATTAAAACAAAAATCAAGCATATCAAGGGGGATAACTTACGCCGAACGTTGCGGCAAATGGCGGATGTCACTCCTTTCCTTTTTTCAATATACCGTAAATTTGACTGATTTTTAAATTAGCAGATTATATTAAATTGAGATTAGATAATTAAAGACCACCCGCTCGCATAATATGAAAAGATATTCAAAGGTCGGACAAACTATATGTAAAGCCGGTAAGGATTCGGATTTATGCGCCGCAATATGCGGTCCTGTTCCAGAGTTCCTATGTCTGAATATATCAATATCATAATTCTGCATGCATTTAACTTGATAATCATGACATCTATATTAATGTATGCATAGTTTTTAATTTTCTCCAAATAAGGGAAAGTTGCTGTATTATAAAAGCATGAAACTGTTTATACTGGGTCATATTACCTATGAAAATTGTTGCACAAAAACTGTGCACACAGGTATACATGTACATAAGCAGAGAAGAAAACATGCTTTAAGCTAACAGATAAAATCACGTGAGCACAAATGTGTCACTCTTAGGGGGCAAAAATGGCTTACTGAAATGGCAGCCCCAGTAGTTTTGTTATCAAAACATCATTTTCAAATGACATAGCACCTGTCTAGCACATGGAAAGCATGACAGAATGGTTTCTTATAAAGGAAACACATATAACAAAATGTGTTATGAACATATTTAACATATACTTTTATGCACGAATAGTGCTAATGCACTTTTCTTCCTTGTGCATTATCACCTGTTGAAGCCGTCACTTATTAAATCTGTAGTGGGATTGGGCTTTAAATGCACCCTCCTACTTCTACAGATGTTAATGCACGTAAAAGGGTGCATTGACCCACTGATATATCTAACTGAATATATTTCTGACAAGAATGTTCTTACTTTACTTTAATAAAGGTTTGTATTTCTTTTGTTGCACAATACATTAACATTATCTCCAAATAATCATAATGTACAGATGACCATTTATAACAAGGTAACACTGTAAATTTAAGAACAACCCTCGTATAAATAGGTCTGATGATTGAGCCCCAACAGGAAATCACCTCCATGAATCAAGTACTGCACATACTCACCCCCCATAAGTTCCCGCCACAACAAATGCAGAGAAGGAGGACCTCTCTTTTTGTAACACAAATTGTCCAATAAAACTTGTAATGCATGGCATATACACTCCTACAATTTGTCAATAATGTCAAAACACAAAAATCTTGACTTGAAATTAAAATAATAAACTTTCATAACTACATCAAACTAAATTTAACATGAAGCTATACATGCACAAGAAAAATAAGATGATAATACTGATCTAGTAAAATATTTCAAAAGAATCAAATCTATAAGATTTAAAGAAATATTAAATTATTAATACTCATAAATTTACTAGTGCACAGACTGCAAAGAAATGGGTAACTTTTTCAACAATGTGAACTAGGCCTAAAATTTGCCTATAATAACTGTAAAACTGAAAGTTGGCATTTATCTATAAGATAATCAGACAACAAAAATAAAAACAACTAAGATATTGTATGTGAGCATTCTACATCACAGGTTTATGTTTTCATACCTTAATGATGCATGCAGTTTAATTGTGTAACAGTTTGTGTTAACACACATGCTACAATTAAGGAGAAACTCGAGTATACTTTAATTCTGTATTATCAGCGCAACTCTATTACCAACACACTTTCAGTATTTTGTCATGTGCGGTCATGCATACAGTGAAGTTAAAAATCTTTGACCCCATTAAAAATAAAATATAATGATAAGTTGAATTTGTCCTTCTTCACACAAAATATAATAATTATTAAAATCATCAATGAAATTCAATGTAGGCATATAGGAAACGTAACTTGTACCCAAATAATACGAAGTCCCATGTTACATGTATACTCCTATTTATTCTGTTATATTAATTTTCTCTACTTTAATTAATGCTTAAGCAGCCTTTGTTGAGAGTATGTAACTATGTAAACTTAAACACACAACAGATTATAACGTAAAACAGGAAAGAGCAATGTAATATTTAAATTTCCATGAATTTATTTCCCTAAAATTAATCCTTTAAGTAAACATCCAGATTGGATGGTTCAATGAAAGCCAAACAAGTACCAATACTGGTGGCAAAGAGTAATATTGTCTTTATTGTTGCAAGAATCCAATAACTGCAGTAATTTGTTAATATTTTCTATGTTTACTAGTAATAACACTTTTGATATAATAATACAAAATGAAAATAATATATAAAGCTAACATTTTTGTTAATTTGCTACCAATTTTTCTACAAGACATTTACAACATTGCCATTCATATAGAATCCAATAAGCTGCATGCATATATATATATACATTATATGGTACAATATCTGTCAATTATAACATCAATTGAACATGCTTACATAAAAACTTAAATTGAAATAATAACATGCTCTTCACAATTATGATATAAACATAGCATAATGACATTATTATTCAAAATATGAGTGATAAGTGAGTGTAATTTTCATATTAAATGTTCAATATTCAGATAACATATAATTTATTTTTATATTACATGCAGAATATTTCCATTACTCTGTGAAGAATATGATGCTCCATAAATGCATTGCTTATGTGTCAGAATCTCTCAGAATATGTAAAGGCAAATGTTTTATTTATTTTATTCTTTTATTTTAATTTCATCATTTTACATTGTATTATAAAGTTACACTTCATCAAATGAAAGCCAATAGATATATAAGATATTAAACCAAATTTATTAAAGCCATCAAACTTTAAGTTTCTTTTAAGTTTTTCATAACATTTGTCTCAAAACCTTAGATATATTTAACAATTTAAAATCTATTAAAAAATGTTTTAACTTTAATGAATTTAAGTTAATAACTGTTGAAAAACATGTTTTGAATAGTAAATGTGGTAGTTTATAGGAATAAAATGAAGGCTTAAGTTCACACTTACCCTGAAAGACACCCAGTAAAACACGTGAAAATATGATGATTCTCAAAGTGAGAAATTTATCATCTGAGATATAAGCCAGCTGGGGTGTCCAGAATGTGACTAGGGACCAACAACATGCTGCTATAGGCAACACAACATCTCCACCCACACGATCACTCAAATACCCTCCCAGAAACTGTGTCATGGTGTATCCCCAGAAAAATGCTGACAAAACAGACCCCTAAAAAAGAATAATATTAGTCAAGATTCATACATTCACATGTATTATTAACTTTATAAAAGAAAATTAAAATTACTAATTGTTAGTAATAGCCCACAGGTCTGTAGTCAAATATATTGTAATTTGTTCCTTTTTCATCTTATTTATAATTTCATACTTTTCTGCTTTTTTCTCTCAATAGTTTTGGACATTCAAATAGGTTTTTCACTCCGGTATGTTTTTCTGCATAAACTGATATCGGTTTTCTGTTTACAGAAATTGCAGAACTTAATTTTTCATAATATCAGGAATTGCTTTGTGTACATCTTGGAAGTTATTCAAATATCGTACATCAAAATTAAACCTGGAGACAGTCATGAGTGATATATAATACAAATATTCCTACCGACTCTGTTTTGTCCCATCCTAATTCTTTTGCAATCGGTACAGCACATAATGGCATAACAGTTCTACAAGCATACAAAGTAGCACAGCCACAAAATAACCCTATCATCCACTGCTTCTTCTCTGTCCTATAGTGTATGTTAATAAAAGAAAGTTTCTTTTTAATTATTAAATATATATAAACTATATTATAAACTGTGAACAATAAGAAAACATAGCTTTTACAGTAGTTTCTTGTTAATTGGAAGTCACTGATAAACAAATAAAACCATAATATTTAAGATCCAACAGAAGCTGATTTTTCTAGATCAGGCAAGTACATATCTTTTATCTATATCAAATTTTGAGATAAGGCAATAGAAAATTACTAAATTCTTTGACATCCAACTTTTGGTGAAAACTGGTTGGTGGATTTCATTTTTTATATTTTTTACTCTCGGTAAATCAAGCTCCAATCAAGGGTTATGTTAACATTCAATTGCATATAATTACATAGAGGATATTTGTTTGTTTGTGTGTAAGATGAAATTTTATTTCATCGAGTGGGCTTTAAAAACAGTATTCTCACGAGTGGCGTAGCCACGAGTGAGAATACTGTTTTTAAAGTTCACGAGATGAAATAAAATTACATCTTACACAACAAACAGACAAATTTTCTTTTTATTTTATGCTTTAAAACAAGTTAAAACGAAATTTCCATAATTTTAACGTTGATATTAAAATCTGTTTCCCCCATTGAGAGCCCCATTTAGAGGGAATTTCTCATTAAAAACAAGAAGTCTTGAGCTGAAAAATAAGTCCGCCAATGGAGGTTAAATGAATGTGATATTTATTCATTTTATTAAAAAATATGAATGATCACTTGTTTTAATAATAAAAACAAACAATTCTTTTAGGAGAAAAAGTCCAACCATCCATCCATATTTCTGTTACTTACTGCGAATTTAGAGTCACAGTACCTGTGCTCGACCAGCCCAGTGCTCGACCAATACTTCTATTTGTGTATGATTTATGCATTAAAGTGGAAAAACCCTGTGAGTTTGTGCTTGCTCTTTGTACCTGACCTGTAACCTCTACACCATGTACAAGTACTCCAAGTTTGGTAGAAGATTGGCCATTTTGCAGACAATATTAAACAGTACAAAAATACAATTTTATAATAAAAGTAGCAGTAAAAACTATCTAAAACACTGAAAAAATGATAATTTAGGGCAAATGTGGACAATATTTGTTAAATTGCCTTTACTTTTATGATTCCAATTGATTTCCATAGGAAAGGTGTTCAAAAATTATCAAAACCCTGCTTTCCATAAAAGGCAAGGGCTATGAACATGTAAACAAATATGGCATCCGTACGGAAACAAATCGGGAACACACCACTAAAAGCGTAGACCATTTGTATATTACACCAATTATCACACTTAACTATGTTTGCAGAGTGATTTTAGTAAAAAACAAGAGCTGTCAGAAGGACAGCGCGCTCGACTTTTTTAGTGCTTGCCTATAAAACAAAACTTTGACAGTTAAGGGCACACAAGACTTTAACTAGGAATTTCTAAGTACAAATCAAGAAACATTTTCACAGAGTTATCTTCTCTTGCTTACAGATAGGTCTCATGATGGCACATAAGAACTCCAACTTCCAAAGTAATATCTCAAATGGTTAAGTCAACAAGTGGACAAGAATGAAAATCTTAACTGAGTTTCTAAGTCAAAAAGGGCCATAATTCAAATAAAATCCTTAACAGAATTACCTTCTCCTGCCCATGTTTTGGGACCATGATGGTAAACAAGTATTCCAACTTTCAAATTAATATCTCAAACAGTTCAGTCAAAAAGTGGACTGGTACTAAAAACTTAACCAAGATTCTAAGTCGATAAAAGGCCTTAATTTTTAAAACAAATCCTTGACAGAGTTACCTTCTCTTGCGTACAGATGGGGTAATGATGTGAAATAGCATTAAAAGTTTCAAAGCAATATCTCAAAGGGTTAAGGCAATAAGTGGATTTTACCCATATTCAATGTATTTTCTAAGTCAAAAAGGGGCATAATTCTGTCAAAAACCTTGACAGAGTTATGTCCTCTTGTCTGTTGATGAAGGTCGTGATGGTAAACAAGTATGGTCAGTTTCAAAGCAATACCTCCAATGGTTTTGAAATAAAGTGAGGTGGTACAAAAAACTTAACCAAGCTCAATACACTTTCTAAGTCAAAAAAGGGCCATAATTCTGTCAAAAACCTTGACAGAGTTATGTACTCTTGTCTGTAGATGGAGGTTATGATGGTGAACAAGTATGGTAAGTTTCAAAGCCATACTTGTAATACTTCTGAAATAAAGTGGGGTGGTACGAAAAACTTAACCAAGGTGTGACGCCAACGCCGACGCTAACGCTAACGCCGACGCCGACGCCGGGGCGAGTAGGATAGCTCCCCTTTTCATAGAAAAGTCGAGCTAATAAAAATGAGAATAAGTAATCTCAAACGCCCCAGTATATGTAAATTCCAAAACTCTTATAAACACTTTATTTGTCAATGTATAGCATTTCCTTTGTATCATATTTTCATCTATAGACAATAAAACATAAATGTTTCAAAATATTTTTGAAATAGAATTGTTGAACATAAAAAGTCATATCTGTTTTTAAGAAATAAAAGTTCTGATAGAGATAAAACCACCTGGTCGAGCACTGGTTTGTTTGTCTGAAAAATATAGTGGTTTTATACCCTATATACAACTCTGTGGTAAATTGTATCCTAATCTGTGTTATTAAAACGCTTTAGCTTATTGTGAGTTTGAAAGGTCCAGCTTTGTAACAAAAATAAGTTTCCCAGCAAACCTTTGGTTCTGAAAGAGTTTTTATGTGATTTTGTGAAAAACTGGTTGAGCACTGGTACGGTGACTCTATATTAGACCTGGCTTTGTAAAATGTAAACGGCAGCCATTTTTTAAAGTCGTGTATTTCATGGGAGGAAAATAATTGTGTAAGATACAGAAGGATATAATTTGGATTTGTTAGTCATACACCTTTTTAAAAGAAAGAAAACTTATTTGAGGATTGTAACAGACAAAAAATAAGTGTTGACAGAAGTGAAAACATTCAGAAAAGGAGCTAGGAAAATGGAAAACTTGGAAGTTTGCTAAGGCATTGTAAGGAACGCTGGGTTGATTTACTTATTTTACGAGTGATAGCTGTCAATGCTTTTCAATTTTTCATAAAGCATACGGCAGTTATTGCTGGTAGGATACTTTAATATGCCCAAATGTCATCAAGAGCAGTTTTGCATGGGGTAGGAATGTATTTTTCAGACTGTAAAAACGAAACAAAAAAATTTAGAGACAAAATTTTGTGATTGGAATTTGAAGGAATAGAAGTAAGTTTTCTCTCTTTATTTGACTTTTGACATTTATGTTATTTATCTATTTCAGCTTTGCTATTTTTTTAACAGCCTGATATTGTCAGAATTATCAGTAAAAATAGAATTGAGGTACCACATGGGGAAAATCTTAAAAAAGTAGTTTCGTCATTGAAAAAAGTGAAATTATATTTTGATAATTTTCACTGTGAAATTATCAAATATAATTTTCACGGATAAATCAGTAATCCACTGAAAAGCATAAAATAAAATAATATTATATATCATGAGACTAACCAGTCACCTTTATGGGTTAATATGCATGGACAGTTAAACAAGAGGGCCGCCATGATGGCCCTGAGGTCGCTCACCTGTATATAGCCCCCCCAACCCCCCCGGCCAATTTTTATCCAAGGGCTTTTATTTGAACAGACTTGGTAGACACCACCCATAAGAAGATGCGTTATGCTAAACATCTAAGTTCTAGCTCATTGGGATTTTTAAAAGAAGATTTTTTAAGTTTTTACTATATATACACATATAGTTAAAAACAATGACACCCCTGGGGCAGGGCCAGTTTTGACCCCAGGGCTTTTATTTGAACAAACTTTATAGATATTTACTAAAAGATGTTTCATGCTTAATATCTAAACTCTAGCTATTTGGGTTTTTTCAAAGAAGATTTTTAAGTTTTTGCTATACACAAAAAAGGAAAATCAATGACCCCCGGGGCAGGGCCAATTTTGACCCTGGGGCTTTTATTTGAACAAACTTTGTAGACACTGATTAGAAGATGTTTCATGCTTAATATCTAAACTCTAGCTATATGGGTTTTTTCAAAGAAGATTTTTAAGTTTTTGCCATACACATATTAGGAAAATCAATGACCCCCGGGGCAGGGCCAATTTTGACCCCAGGGCTTTTATTTGAACAAACTTGGTAGACACTCACTAGAAAATATTTAATGCCAAATATCTTAGCTCTAGCTCTTTGGGTTCTTTAAAAGAAGATTTTTTAAGTTTTTACTATATGCATATAGGGAAAATCAATGACCCCCTGGGGCGGGGCCAATTTTGACCCCAGGGCTTTTATTTGAACAAACTTGGTAGACACTCACTAGAAGATGTTTCATGCCAAATATCTAAGCTCTAGCTCTTAGGGTTGTTTAAAAGAAGATATTTAAAGATTTTTCTTTCAGTTGCCATGGCAACCAGAGTTCTGCATGGAATTAAATTCTTTGAACAATTTTTAAAGGTGACCACCAAAGGAACATTCCTGTGAAGTTTGGATGAAATTGGCTCAGTGGTTTATGAGGAGATGTCATTTAAAGCAAAAGTTTACGGACGGACGCCAGACGGACGCCGGACGAAAAGCGATCACAAAAGCTCACCCTGTCACTTTGTGACAGGTGAGCTAATAAATTAATTCTATGCGCTTTTGACTGAACAACATTGAGAAATTACATACTTTTTCTTTGAAAGGATTTACTGACTTTTTTTTATTCCATTTTTATAGTAATATCTTACAAGTACAAAAAAACCCAAAACAACCAAGAAATCAAAAACTAATCTTGAGTTATGAATATTGAAATCATGTCAACAATGATGTTCCAATATACATGTTTAATTTAAACCAAGTGGTGCAGGAGTATAATGTCTAGCCAAAATATTGTCATGACAAAACTAGATTCTGAGATAATTTTATTCCAGGCCAGAATCTCACTTTTGCATACAGTGAAGATATTGCCCATACACAAAGTAGCACAATATCTCAACGCCGCGTAGTACAATTAGTAGGACTAGTCTTATGTCATACATGTTTTTGCACAATTCTTAAATGCCATAGGTTGTCATAGTGATACCTGATGAATTGAAATGAAATAGGCAATTTTAATGACTGTACAAAGTCATGTAATTTGATACTTTAAATATTCCACATTCATGTTTAATCAGACAATGCACAGCATAATAATTACATATGATTGAAAAGGGGATTTGCGAATAAATAAAAATTAAATGAATGTGTCTTATTCTATTGAGGTTATATAACGAGTCTTATCCAAAACCTTAATGCCGCAACAGATGAAAAAAGGCAGCATATTAAGCAGGGCCCTCAATCTACCAAAGCATTTTTGTCAGCGGAATATTGTATGTTTGCACCTCGAAGACTTTCATCCTCAAAATGTTTCACGAACATTTCAATGGCAAGTCATATTGAAAAGACACTGAATATAAGTGGTAGTTTATTGATAAGGGGAAGTCAAAGCCCAGGGCCGTGAAGGAGTCCCAGGCTTTGGCTTACCTGGCTTTAGACTACACAGTCATGTATATTTAAAAGGAAATTTAAAAAAATATATATAGAATTCTATACTTATCAGTGATTTTTTCATTATCATTTCATGCAGGGCAACGTAACGCAATAATAAATGGCAAGTATACTAATAATGGACCAGTCGCAACTTTTCGAATTACAAGTTAACAAATGAAAATAGCCCATTTTGTTCCCTGTTCTATTATGGTTTCCATCCAAGATGAAGTGCACTGGGGACCAGCCTAAACGGAAGCAGTGCATAATATATTGAATGCCACTTTCAAAAAGGAAAATGTAAACTAAGAAAATGAACATTTTTTTTTTTACTTTACTTCCCCGTTCATAGGCTTTGCCTATTTTCATATTACAGTCAATGAATTTAAGAATTTGAATTTACTAGCCCAAATTCAGTTTTGAATTTATTCTATACTGTGCTCCTCTTAGCTCACGGTACTTAATGCTTTGGACCCAGAAAGAAAATAACAAATGAAACTTATGGTACATAAACTGTCAGAAGCTATAACATAAATTATAGGTATTTTCTGCTATATGGTACAAGGAAAAAACAATATATTCAGTCAAAGTCAATTTTAATGGACCAAACGTAGACCATATGTCGGCCATTTTGAAAACAGTATGTCATCATTTAAATCACGGTAATGGTGTTACATTTCAGTTTTTTCAAGTTTCAGTTAAAAATTCTACATGCTATTTAATGCTTGATTTTAAATATTAAAATTATCCTTACTTTGTTACTCAAAATTTATTTTTTTAACAAACAAAAACATTTATAAAATAACATTTGTTTCAGACATACGCACAAATTTAATGGACTATTGTTGCTTTTTGCAGAAATTTGTAAAATGTTGTTCTGTTTTACGTAAAAATCACTCAGGGCTCGAATTTAACTTTTTTGGCCACTAGCAATTTTTTGCTAGTGGACAAATTTTTAACTAGCAAAATCTGAATTCAACTAGCACTTTTTACCACAATGATTTTTTAATTAGAGAATAACAAAATTAAAATTGTAATTTATTTGGACGAGTTCGAACTGCTTGGGGTACGAATCAGCAACATAACTTTCTACTCAAAAACTTGATTTAGGGGACAGGGATTCTTATCAAATGTCAATCTATATGTAAAACAAGATTGCATTTGAGAAAAATGCTATGCCACCGCATGGTTCAAATTTCATAGCTCACAGTACATCAAAGGACAAGAATGTAGGTCACATCATCAAAATCTAGGTCAAAGTTCAATTTTACAACTAAAACTGTGCACATGGTCAAAATGTCATTGCTGTACATCAAAGAACAAGAAAGTAGGTCACTGTCCCCTTGGGCAAGGCATAATTTTGACCCAAGGGTTTAATAACAATCTTGATACAGGTCCACCAAACAACATTTCAAGTCAAATATCTAAGCTATAGCTTTCTCCCATTCAGAAAAAAATTTGTTTTATTTTCTGTTTTTACTACGTGTACATAATGAGAATCACTGCCCCCGGGCAGGGCCAATTTTTGACATTTGAACAACTTTAGTAGAGGACCTATAGATGATATTATATATCAAACATCAAAGCTCTATGCCTTGAACCTTCAGACAAAAAATTTTTTTTTACTATATGTACATAATGAAAATCAATGACCCCCGGGGCAGAACCAATTTTGACCCTAGGGCTATAATTTTAACAATCTTGCTAGAGGTTCACTACACAATGTTTCATGCAAAATATCTTAACTTTATCCTTTGTAAATTTAGAGAAGATGATTTTTTAAGTTTTAACTATATACATATAGGATAAACCTATGGCTCCCAGGGGCGGGGCTAATTTTGACACAAGAGGCAAAATTTGAACAACTTTGGTAAAGCACCTTTAGATGATATTATTTTACAAATATTAAAGCTCTAAGCCTTGTACCTTCAGACAATAAGATTTTTTTATTTTTTACTATATGTATATAGTAATGACCCCCAATCTTGCTAGAGTTTTACAACACAATGTATCATGCAAAATATCTAACCTTTAGCATTTGTCAATTGCTAGAAGATTTTTTTTAAAGTTTTTACTATATACATACATGTATAAGGAAAACCAATGACCACTGGGGCGGGCCGATTTTGACCCCAGGGCTATAATTTGAACAATCTGGGTAGAGGTCTACCAGACAATGCCTTATGCAAAATATCTAAGCTCTAAGCCTTTTGGGTCTTTACAAGAAGGTGTTTTAAGTTTTTACTATATGTACATATAGCGAAAATCAATGACTCCGGGGCGGGGCCGATTTGGACCCAAGGGCTATAATTTGAACAATCTTGGTAAGGGTCTACCAGATGATGCCTTATGCAAAATATCTAAGCTCTAGGCCTTTTGGGTTTTTACAGGAAGGTATTTTAAGTTTTTACTATATGTACATAGTGAAAATCAATGACCCCCGGGGCGGGGCCAATTTTGAACCCAGGGCTATAATTTGAACAATCTTGTTAGAGGTCTACCAGACAATGCCTTATGCAAAATATCTAAGCTCTAGACCTTACCTTTTGGGTCTTTACAAGAAGATTTTTTAAATTTATTCTTACAAGAGCCATGTCAACATGGCCATCCCCCGAAGAATGTGTTTGCTCATTGGAAGAATGTATATGTAGTAGAGCAGAATAATTCCATTTTAAGAGGTCTTTTGGTAATGAAAACTGATGGCTATAGTGATTACAGATTTGAAACCTATGTGAATACTGATGGCTGAAAATAACAAAGGGCAATAACTGAAAAATAATGCAGGGTAGGTTATCATTCTTGTGTGCTGCATCCCTCCTCAGTAAAATCTATCCACCTATGAAGTTTCAATTTGATATCTCAAATACTTTTTGAGAAAAAAATTGAATTGAAAAATTAAGTATGAAAAATAACAAAGGGCAATAACTCAAAAATTATAAAAGGTAGAGTTATCATTCTTGTGCACTGCACACCTCCTGAGTGAGATCTATGCACCTATGAAGTTTCATAATGATATCTCAAAGGCCTTTTGAGTTATGCTTTGGACAAAAATTAATTTTGAAAAATAAAAAAAGGGCATAACTAAACATTATGCAGGGTAGAGTTATCGTTCTTGTGCACTGCACTCTTCCTCAATGAGATTCATCCACCTATGAAGTTTCAAGCTGATACCTCAAATACTTTTTGAGATAAGCTCCGGACAAAATAGTAGGAAAAAGAACAAAGGGCAATAACTCAAAAATTGTACAGGGAAGAGTTATCATTCTTGTGCACAGCATTCCTCCTCAATAAAATCTATCCACCTATGACATTTCATGTTGACATCTCAAACACTTTTGAGTTATGCTCCACTCAGGTGAAAAATTAGGTATGAAAAATAACAAAGGGCAATAACTCAAAAATTATGAAAGGTAGAGTTATCATTCTTGTGCACTGCACACCTCCTGAGTGAGATCTATGCACCTATGAAGTTTCATTTTGATATCTCAAATACTTTTTGAGATAAGCTCTGGACAAAATAGCATGAAAAAGAACAAAGGGCAATAACTCAAAAATTGTATAGGGAAGAGTTATCATTCTTGCGCACAACATTCCTCCTCAATAAGATCTATCCAACTATGACATTTCATGTTGATATCTCAAAAACTTTTTGAGTTTGGCTCCACTCAGGTGAAAAATTAAGTATGAAAAATAACAAAGGGCAATAACTCAAAAATTATGAAAGGTAGAGTTATCATTCTTGTGCACTGCACACCTCCTGAGTGAGATATATGCACCTATGAAGTTTCATGTTGATATCTCATAGGCTTTTGGAGTTATGCTCTGGACAAAAATCAATTTTGAAAAATAACAAAGGGCAATAACTCAAAAATTATGCAGGGTAGAGTTATCATTCTTGTGCACTGCACTCCTCCTCAATGAGGTCTATCCACCTATGAAGTTTCAAGTTGATAAATACTTTTAGAGATATGCTCCGGACAAAAATGTCGGACGGAAGGACGGATGGACGGAGACTATTTCTATATCCCCCGCCGCCTTTTCGGCGGGGGATAATAATTCCTTTTGGTTGCCATGGCAACCAGATTTCTGCATGGAATGAAATTCTTTGAACAACTTTGGAAGCCCTTCACCCAAGGAACAATCCTGCCAAGTTTGGTTGAAATTGGACTAGTGGTTTTTCACAAGAAGATTTTTTAAGTTCACTATATAATCTTTATAACACACACACAAACACACAGGTGAATCGCTAAATGCCACCGCATCGCAGATGCTGCGGTGGCATAAAAATAATAATGCAATATTGTCGCCATACCGACGATGTCTGGTCTGGATTATGCGCACAACAAAAATATTTTGGCAACATTTCCATCGTCATCGAGTTCGTACGTAAGACTGACGTGCAGTTCTTTCTCTCATTTTTTAACGGTTTTAACTGAAGGTCTGTGAATCATCTTCTGTACTCAGATTATTGTTATCAGAAGACACATTTGCTTCAGTAATCGGGAAGAAGTTCGTAATTTTTCGTTTAGACATTTTATTCCGATCACCTTTGATTTACACGGACAAAATGACATTTGGTCTTGTTTAAATTTGTGTACTTTTTTAAGCGAGGTTAAGGTATAGAAAATGTAAACCAGACAGCAAGTGCGCGCATAGTTTATAACTAGGCTACCTGCGAATATTACGCCCCATTTATATTTCGGATTTTCCTACCGAGCGTATTCTGTTTTTTCTTCAACTCGAAAAATCATTTTTCAACTAGGATTTTGCGAGTTTGCGAGTGTTAAATTCTAGTCCTGTAAAAATCTAGAGATTTAAAAAATTTTGCAAAAAAACTTTGTTGTTTAGGTGTATGAATAAAATATGTCAATTCTGACCAATTTCAACACTGGTCACATGAAAATATGTCACTACCGTGAAATAAGTGATGACACAGAATTAGTGATGTTGAGTATACCATTGACCTTTTTGAAAACCTAGCTAAACACCGGTTTCCAGTACGTTTCGGATTTAGCTCTGGGGAATAACACCAAATGAAGTACATAACACAGTTACATGATATTTCTATTTTTCCATCATTATTTTACCATTTAAGATGAAAAAAATTGATGTTTTTGAAAATTATAATATTCATTTAATATCTATTGCAAATTTTTTTAAAAAAATAAATTGTTTATAATGAAAATCAATAAAATTTAAACAGACATAGTGGAATCTTCCATAATAAATAAGGTTATTTTCTGCTTAAACTTGTGTATTTACTTATTTTTTGTATGGAATTATTCATACAATGATATTTAATTTCTTTCTTATAAATTTAATTTAAAAAAAAAAAGGCCGAAAACATTGAGTTAGCTATTACACTCCATTAGGTGAATTCCCCAGAGCCATGTACAGAAAGTACTGGAAAACGGTGTTTAGCTAGGTTTTCGAATTCGTGAATTATACTATATAACTTACTAAATTTTCATAAAATTTTCACTGGCCTGAACTAATTTTCACTGGCCATGGGCCACCGAGCCAGTGCTTAATTTACTGCAGTGATTTTTTTCCCAGCATTTTACAGCCGAATAAAGCCTGTTTCCCCTAGCCCAAAATGGGTATATTTTACCCTAAAAATGCTAATAATTTCCCCTAAAATGCCATGTGCATATTCTTCATGAGAGCAACTGACTTATATCAGCTACAAGACAGAAAGCTGTCCCTATAGATAGCCTCTACTATGAACCATGCATGTTAAATTTGAAATTGAAAATTTTATAAAATGTGTGGGTAAATTTCATTCTCAGTTGTTGGATTTTTTTCCCCTTTCTGATTTCACACACTATATTTTCCCCTTCAGAAGGGCCGCTTCAGAAAGCCACAGGTTGTTTTGGAAAAAAAATCACTGAGCCGGGATAACTTTCGGAATGGATCAAATATTTTGAAATAATCTTTACAAATAGAACTGCAGGAATTCAGTGAACATACCGTGTCCAATGTCGGCCCTCCATAGTTTCCTCAGTTTCATGATCTGTCATTACTAAAATGAAATTTTAGTTGCCAACATTTTGACGTGGGGAACACTTCCGGTTATTGTTGTTGTTGTAGTCAATCGCAGTAGACGCTTGAAATCATTAAACAAACGTTTGTAAGAGGTTGTCAAGGCGAAGAGGCGTATAAATTTCTAAGTTATTTATTCGTAAATATTATAAAAAATAATAAGTATATTTAATATTTATGATGATAATGCAAGTTTGATTATCATTTTTATGCAAAATCAATTAATTGTAGGTCAAATATTGTATAGTAGAAAATCACGTTTAGAACTATTTTTCCTCGGACTGTTTTGCATTTAAAGCGTGTTTTTGTGTCCACAGGTTACTTCCGGGCTGCTGATAAACACAAACATTGTTACAACAACACTAGTCACTCTGGAAAATGTCGCGTTCAGCTGGAACTTTGATCACTACACATAATTCTACATTTATTCCGCCACGGTTTATGCCAGGGTAATTACTTATTTTTTACAGAACTGTCTCATTATCAGATTATTTAGAGTTTCTATTCACAATTGATCACTTTCAGTTCAACATGTAAGAATGCACAAACCAACAGTTATGTTCTTGCAGAGAACATAAAAGGTTGAAAATTGACTTTTTATTTGTAAAACCTATGCTTGAAATTACAAAATAGGGACTTAACTGCCCCCTGAAACATTTTTATTTCTAAAATTTCAATAAAATTTAGAATAATCAACAAAATTCAGGATAACTCTTAAGCCTGATTGAAGTCTACTAAACTGTCTTACATTCTAATGATTCTATCTAAATAGACCAGGGTTGCAATTTACTGGTACAATATCATATTAGGATTTTTTTGTGTGCTTAAATTCTATTAAATTGAAAAAGTTGATCTAGTATTGGTCAAATTTCACCACAATTTTACACCCTCAAATTTTGGGGCAAAACCTCAAGCATAGTATTTGATATTTAGAAGGCTTATAAACCCTGCTGCCCTCTGTAATTCTTCCTGTATGGAGACTCATATGAAACTTTACAGGATTACTAATAAGTTCCTGAAACAACATTGTTTATGAAGGTACAAAAAAAAATAAAAATTGAGGCCATGTTATCAATATTACTCATATTTATAAGCTTTATTTGTCAAGTTTTATTTCTTTAGCTTCATAACTTTTGAAAATTATAACAGGTACAGAGGTCACTGTCCAACAACAAAGTATGACTATGGAGAAACATATGGCAATGCCACAAACAAATATTTCCAGGATTATAGACATGAGGTTTTAAATGCTTCACATGATCCATATGCAAGAGGTGGTGAATTTCCAACCTATTACACTCACAAACCTGAGTCAGTTATCAGTGCCAGAGGAAGGACAAGAGATAGATGGCTAGCGGCCCCAAAATATTCTCTCTCAAATGTTGATTTTGACAGGAAAGAGGAGCTTAAGTCATTTGATTCTGTAAGTTATAAAATAAATTGATTTAGATCAGTATAAAGATACATGTAAAAAGATTTTATTCACTTACCTTTATGTACATTTTGGCCATTAACTTTGATTTATAGGATTCCCATATGATAAATTTAGAAACAGCTTTATTTAACAGGGTGTGAATGTTTTGCCTTTCTAATTAAAGCATTTGACTCTTTGAAAACTATTTTATTTTATGTAAGGAAGATGATACATTGCTTATTACCATCAACATCTCATTTCAGCTTGGCCAGAAACACAGAGAACACTACTTTGACAAGAGCAATACTAAAAAAAGTGTAGATTATTTCATGATCCCTAGATCTGCTGAAGATCAAATTAAGAGTAAAGCACAGTTGTAAGTATGGGTGTACTGATTCAAGAAGGTGTCACAATTTTATAGCTTTACTTATTTTAGCTTTAGAAACCATTATCCCTTTTCCTTAACAATTTCTTGCTATGTTTGTTTGTGTATGTATATGTTTGCATGCTTTCTTTATTGTATCTTTGGATTGTGTTATTGACATTTTGCATGAATTTATATAAATCATTTGTGTGAGTTGTTAGTGAATCCATTTCCGATGTTTGTGTTATATTTATGATTTGATATTAATTCAGATTATATTTATGTTCTTCAATCGGCCGTGTGACACAATAAGAGCATAAAACTTTTTGTCTGGTTTTGAATACAATAATATGTATTGAAATAATTGAAGAATCAAAATTTAATAATTCATGATTAATTGTATTGTTTCATTGATATTATGATTGGCACTGCATGAAACATCAGCTCATACAATTTGATTGTTTGAACTAATGCTTTATACTGCTAGTTTCTTAACTTCTGTGACAAAGCATTTTAATCATGTTCTTAGTTAAATAATTCTTAAAATCAATTGATTTAATCACAGTAGTATGTAAATTTAAATGTTTTAAATTTATAGTAAAGTACAGTTCTCTGTAGATACTGAAGAACTTACCTCTGTCTCTCCTAATTAATCAATAGTAAAATCATTCTTATAGGATGCCAGTCTTTCTTTATGTTCTTTTTAACTTTAGAATATAGTTGGTAGTACAATGATGAAAGAAATCAAAGTGATAATCATCTGTGCTAGAAAATATCAAGTTTTAATAGTGCAATCACTTTTTATGCTATTAACCAATTTAGAAACTATATAAAAAATGTGTTGCTTTTAACAAATGTAGAAACTTGGACCATTCCTAATCTGTTGATAGAAAACATGAAATTTAAAATATTTCTTCAATTAATACATGTCACTTTCATGCTAAGAACTTGAAGAAGTACTAGTATATGTAAATATCTCACCAATAATCATATCTGCATGACACATCTGTTTATTCCTAATTTGCATGCCAGAATACTCCTCTATTAGTTGAATGTAATAGACTCTATAGCTTCACTTTTATAGCATGTCTTTTGCAATTGATAAAAAGTACACCCATACATTGAACCATATTTTTGTTGGTACAATTAATTTTTAATAATGATGATAATCATGATTTTAAATTATAATATATATAACATGTCTATAATACGTTGTATAATATGATGCAATATAAAGTTAAAATTTGGACTTCTGTTAAGTCAGAGACACTTTTATTAAGATTTAATATTTATGTTCATCTATTAATTGGTGCATTTGTAAACCTTTTGTAAAGATTAAAAAACACAACATATTTTAATACAAGAATATTTTGCTGTGTTATATGGCTTGTTTGAACTGCACATTTTTAAACTGTTGTTTTAACTCTCTGCTGTTTGCTGTGAGTCTTGTTGACACAATCTCCCAAACCCTGAGTGAAATACATTTGATACAACTTAAAGGTAAGACATTATATATCTAGCGTAATTTTATATATAGAAGAATAGAAAAAATACAAATTGTTCAGTGCATTAAAACAAAGATCTTTTTTTAATGTAAGGCAATTTTTATTATTCATATAGCATTTTTTTTGTCATGTAGTATTATATTGTTTAGGACTGCACTGATATTGGATGGTCATATTGTAATTTAAATGATAAGATTGCAATACACTCACATACAAAGGAATACTGAAAAATGAAACGCGTATTGAAATAAATAAATAAATAAATACCCAGAAAATGAACACTCTTTTGAGACCACCTTTAAATAAGGACCATGTATTGGAAACTTGCCACTAAAAATATATTATGTATATAACACTTGTGAAAGATCATCAATTCTGTCACAAACAACAATTTCCTGCTCCTCTTACTTGTAAAGAGGAGTTGCTGAAAGGTAAGGTAAGCAAAGAAAATATAAGAGTTTTAATGTACACCTGAGATGTTATCAATATATATTTTATCATCTTTGTTATATGATAATTACATGCATTAAAATTGTTTGTAGACCAGATTTTATATATGATTTATGTACATGTAGGGACATGTTTGGTCCATTTGCACCCTAGGTAACCAGGACTAAATTGAATAATTTAACTTTCATCAAGCAGCAAAACACACTAACATCAAGCATCAAGACACACTAATTATTGAACACGTTCTCACATTACACAGGTACCAACTTGTAACACATTGAAAATAAAGTGTAGCAAGAATAATTTTAAACAAATTGTTACATGAAGTGTTGTATTATAACTTACTAGCCTGCTGACTGTAAGAAAAGAGGAATACTTTTTGACAATCCGATTAGGGGACACAGGTGTTTGGAGGTCTAGGCTGCGAGTCACCATTGCATAATATCTAATTTTGCTTTCTTTTTCTGTAATAGGTACAATTGTAGACATCTTAAAAACATACAATTTAGTAAGATCAGACATATTATGTTATGTTACATATGTTGATAGGTTATTAAACTTGTGTTATCATATTTTGCAGCATGATATTGTCAACACGTCACACAGACGATATCAATTTACCATACCTGGAACATGAGGCCCGTAGATTACCCCTGATTAAGAGAACGTCGACAATGTCATCTCAACGTGACAGAGAAATGAGGGATGTTGTATTTGAGAAAAGATAAATCAATACAGAACCTTTAACAGCAGATTTTTAAACTATGAAAGAACTGTGATAATTGTTTTAACTTAGTATAGAGAAATTTTTATACACTTCTTTTTTTAGGATAATCATTTTTATTGTTTACACTTGGCTTTGTTTGTTTGTTAAAGTTTAAAGATTTACAATATTTTTATTTAAATTTAAAATATCTGTTTTTTGTTGGTTTATTTTGCTCAAACTTGTTAAAGGTTGAAATTTTTAAAAATGAACTGGACTTTCAATTAAAGTATTAATTTCATATTTTAAATACATTTTTTTGTTAATTACTTTTATATAATGTATTTATTTTGCAAATAATATATTTACAAAATTTAAGACAGATGTTATTTCACTCTTATTAAACTCATATCCTTACTGGTTACTGGACTACCTGTCAGAGTAAGACATAGTAAAAACAAAGAGTTGATTTTAATGAGATTGATGCTTCACTTTAAATAGGGTGACATGGTCACATATTACGTTATACTTCTATATTTTAAAACTGTCATCTTAAAGTATCTCATGTTTAATCATTTTCATGTAATTGTGAATCTTGTGTGCAACCATTATCTTTGTCTTCTTGTTTTATGTTACCACATTGCCTTCAGTTGCTTTGTATTGTAAAATGATTCAATCTAATATTGTAAAGAAGTCATAATTCTATTGTAGGTTAATAAGTCAGATTTGGGAATTTAAGCTTTTAACACTATGGTAATTACAAAATTTACACAAATATTCAAATATGATGTCCTTGAAATAAATACACCAGAATACTGTATAGACGTATATATAATTATAGCATTTAAGTGTAACACATTGTATATTGCACACTTAATACTTTATTTTATTTTAAGCAAGTTATCTGATCATATAAGATTAAATATTTATAACTTATTTTGAAATGATCTAATCTTACTGGCATAATAACTTACAGTAAAAGCCAATTTCATGAATATTAATAGCAAGTCAGTTGCTATAATGAATTATATCTTGTCAACTTTTCTTTACATTTGACATTGTTTGTATCATTCTTTAGACTTAAGTTTTATTTCTGTACTTATATCAAACTAAATAATAAGTTTTCAATCAATTGTTCTCTTGTTTTTAAAAAAAAGTAATCAATCAGTTCTGGACATCATTTTACAAAAGGTTTGAATGTCTTGTATTTTATAGATATACATGTATATATATTTATGATGTTAGTATATATATTTGTTATGTTGAACAATCATTCCCTAAATTATATTTTTATTTCATTTTCAATCATGTGTACTTATCAAAATGAAATTTAGAAATACATAATTTTAAAAGTGAATGATTTCTGTCATTTATTAATCAATATTAATGAGCCCTTTTCTCAATAATGAACTTATTTAGCAAGAATCTTATGTTTTAAAAACTGGTAATGGTAGTTTTTAGATCATCATACAGTCTAATTTTTTTATAAAATACAATTCAGGTTGTTATAGTCTGTATCCTCCATGTGGCTTATTCTAAGGTAAATACCGAAGCTATTCCATCAATAAGTTTCTTTAAGTGGTGAAACCATACAGCTTCAGAAGCTGTTTACTGATAGTGGAAGACAGCAACCATATAATTGCACTGGTTGTTTAAAAGATTGGGTGCCCCTAATTTCATTCAGATTCAAGCCACCACCAGGGTAGAACTACCACCACTGACAATATATGGCATGAAATAATCCATGACTGCTGAATTCATAAGTGAATTTGTGTCAAAATACCAAGGTTCGAGGTAGACTTTCATAATGTTTCATTGCCATAGCAATTACAATTTTGAGTTACATGTGACACAAGTCTAAAAATGCAAAGCTTTGCTTTATGAGGGGCATTACAAACTGCTGAATTAAAATTTTGGGATGTATAAGTTCACATGCTGATAACTACTTTTAGAAAGTTTCATGCCTATATCAGTTAAACAGTCCTGGTTACACAGGACATAAATAACTTTACATAAGAGCAAATCATTATATACCATATCATTTCTAAATGGGGATAACCAAACTCATTTTAAACAAGAGCCATGTTACCTGGTCCTGCTAAGTTAAGTTTTCAAGTAAATCTTAAAATGGAAAAAGAGTAGGCAATGGAGAGAATGTTAGCATAGCTAGTAACATATTTGATCTATTTATTTTGTTTGATTAATGTCGGTGTATGAAGTTTGAAGAAAATATAGTACTGTAGCAGTTATGTTTCAGTCAAAAGATTTCAAATGAATCTGATAAAAAGGAATTGATAAATCCCTACTCTGACCTTTTATTTGAATAACAATACATTTAACCACAAACATTAACATGTGCTCTTTTGTTAACAAAAATGTTGTGAAATTCTTATTATATCTGCTAATCTGATAATTAGAATTGGACTTGATAATTAGAATTGGACAGGTCAGGGATCAAATGAATAACTCTAATAAAAGCCAAAGTTACATATTGCATTTTCTCCCAATGTGCTCTGTCAGTGTATGAAGTTTGAAGAAAATCGCTCCAGTCCTTTTGAGTTATGCTCCGGACAATGTTTTTCAGGTAAATCTGATAAAAGGGAAAACTCTAAAAGAAGTCGAAGCAGTGTTATTGTACTTGCACACTGAACTTCCTATTAATGTGCTCTGTCAGTGTTTGAAGTTTTAAAAAAATCGCTGGAGTACTTTCATGATTTTTGGAGTTATGCTCCAGACAAAATTGGGACAGACACACAGACAGAGACCATTTCTTTTATCCCCTTTGGCCAGGGGATAAAATCAATAATCATGCGCATTTTGCGTCATAGAATTTTAGAATGATCTCATGCAAGAGGTATTTTATTTACTCAGATTATTCTACAATGCAATGAGACTTATGAGGAACATCTCCCCCCCCCCCCCAGTTTATTAAATTTGGGCAATGTTTGAGACCTCTAGGACCAATCTACCAGTGAAATACTCAGCAAGAATTTTTTAGGCTTTGAATAATTTAATAACTGTGAATTAGAATTTTGTTTTATTTAAATTGATATGATGACATGAATCTGGATGTAAGAAAGATTCTTTAACTGGACCTGAATATTGTAAAAATTTCAAGTAAACTGTAACCTTGAAAACTTTTTTTAAATTTTACCATGTTGTTTAGTTTTCAACTCCAGATCACCTATTTTCTGTCATTTGTTTAAGAAAGGAAAACTTCATGACTATCAATAAATTACATGTACCTATAAAATATGGCTTACGATTTCTTTTAGGAATCCATGATGGATTACAGGCGCTCTTTATACTTAATAGCACACCTTTGACGATATCTTTGCTGACCTATGTTTAAAACTTAAAAAGGTAGAAAAAGATAACAAATGCATTGTTTAAAGAACTTTGATAATAAACATTTATTGAAAGAATTTAACAGAAGTATAAAAACATGATTTAATGAGAAGAAATGAAACAGTAGAATTATAATGCATAGGTTTCCTGAAATGAGCTCTACAGAGTGTAATGCATAGTTTGTTATTTTATGAAGGTTTACCTGCAACCTTTCTACCATATATTCTCTAATAAACAACTTAGGGAGTTTAATATTGTCACAATAAAATATTGTTTACTGAATCTGAGTTATTTCTGCTGGATAATATACATGTATACTGGAAGCACCAGTTGTGTAAAAAATAGAGATAATTTCCTTGGATTTATAACTTGGTAACTTAAGTTTGATTTCTTTGTCAGACAGAGGATGGGTTGCTTATTAAAAAATATATTGGTATATGAAATGAAGATTTATGAACATTACTCTTAAGCATGATATTAAAATGACAGGATAAAAAAGATACAAGAATAAAAAGATACAAGTCTACTTAACAACGCGTCATACCTGATTACCATTTTAGTGTGGGACTACTTGTTAATAGGTTTATCATAAACCAAGTTGTCAGTCTACATAAAATACAAGAATGTCCTATATAAATAAATAATGAAGATATACAGAACAGTGACTGGAATAAAATATGCTTTAAAACTGGTGTACATGATGTAAGTCATTCCTGATTATAGAAAATTTATTCATACACAACAACCTTTATAGAATTTTCTTTTTAAATTGTTTCAAAATAAATTTATTTGAAGCATTTTCAATGAGAAAGCAAAAGCATTGGTACGTAAAAATTCACATTATGCTTAAAAATTCAATGTGTTGTCACAATTTTAAGAACACAGAAAAATTGCACAATTTTCATAATACAATACATTATACATTTTCTTATTAAAAAGCAATCCACTGAGGTTTTCAGGCATGACGGGACTGGAAATATTTTTTCGAGATTTGTATACCATTTAATGTAACTCTGGACTAATTACCAGTGTGCAAGATTCATTTACCCTGGTAGATCATTCACTCACTTGGTTTATCGAGAATAATCATTATTGTGCAAAGTAAGCTAAAACTGAAAAGCGTTAAAACGCTTTAAGCTCAAATTGGGCTATGAATTGCTAAAAACAATTGCAGTCTGTGTATATTTCTTAATAGTCTTTTGCACATTTTTACTCTAGTTAATTCATGCAAGTATTACAAATTTTATGCATTAAGGCTTTGTAACCTCAGTGGAGCACCTTATATACAGAAGAATATCCATAGAAGTAATGGGTAATAAATTTATAACAAATAAATCCATACCAAAAGAACATTACTGAATGAGAGGAACTAACATTGTAGTTATGCAAGAACAATTCTGACCCTAGAACAGCATAATAGAATACATATAATATCACAGTCTGGTTACAATATTTACACCTCTTTTACATACAAATCACAACCAGTCTTTTTAATACAATACATACATATCCTAGAATAATAATGCATGGTAAATAAGTTGAGTCTTTTATAAAAAATAAGTTTTTTTGTCCGCACAATTATTTATTCATAACCTTACAGTACTTTTATCTTGATAAACTTTTATGTCACACCGACACAGTATAGGTCATTTGGTGATGTTCCAGCTTTACTGGTGGAGGAAGACCTCATGTGCCCTTCCGTGCATTTTTTCAGGTACAAACATAAAGTTTTGACATCAATTCTTAAAATTGGATAAACTGATCCAAAGTTTATTATCAGAGAGAGAAAACACAGTAATTTAACTATGACTTGGATATTTTGCTAATTATCTACAATATTATGCATCTGAAAGGGACAAAACAGGAAGAAAACAAGATTTCCATTATCCATGATGTTAATGAGAGACTGATTGTCAGGTTGCCATGGTAACACATAAAAGGAATGTCTCCAGGAATTTGTTCATGTCCAGCAGTTCACATGGTTGTGATGTCCTACAATCTAATCCTGAATGAACTGAAAATGAAATAACAAAGTTGTACAACAATTTATACAAGAACCAAATCATCTTGCATACATTTTAACCACATTGCAAAATTGAAATGTTTTTTTTTTTAATTTGTTGCATTTTATTGTTATTGAACATGTATTAATCTAGTCTAATAGAATTTTTATAAGACAACATGAAAGATTCTAAATTTGAACAAAAAAAGAGCTGTCGGTAAGACAGCAACGCTTGACTATTCTTAGTGCTTGATAGTAAAAGAGCCTTGATAATGTAAAATTTTCTAAGTTTACAAAAGGGCAAAAGTCTTCTTTAAATCCATGTTACAGTTATAGGCCTTGGAGAGAGTCCTATTACGCACTCAAAGAAGAGTATAATATTTTAACTTGTTTCAAAACCAGATGTCAAAAGAATATGAAAATATCTGAGGTGGTATGCAAACTTGTACATAACTTCTTAGTCAAAAAAAGGGGCATAATTCTGTCAAAATGCTTGATACAGTTACCCCCTCCTGTCTACAGGTTGGGGTCATGATGGTGAACAAGTGTGCAAAGTTTCAAAGCCATTTGTCAATGGACTTTGAAAATATTTGAGGTATTACAAAAACTTTAACGTAAATTCTAATTTGAAAAAGGGGCATAATTCTGTCAAAATGTTTGATACAGTTACCTCCACCTGTCTATAGGTTGGAGTCATGATTGTGAACAAGTGTGCAAAGTTTCAAAGCCATATGTCAATGGACTGAAAATATTTGAGGTTTTACAAAAACTTTAACATAAGTGGTTACGCCAACGCCAACACCGACGCTCGGGTGACTACAATAGCTCTTCTTATTCTTATCGAATAGTCGAGCTAAAAATCAAGGGATTTGAACCAACAGTGGTGAGGTGCAAGTTATTTGAAATCAATGACTTAACCACTTGGCTGTGGACACTCCATGTATATCATATGATATTTGTCATCAAAAACTTGTAATTTTAAAATGTAAAAAGACCTACTTGACAAAGTCAGGTGCTTTCGATATGACATGCTCAAATTCAGCGAAGGAGAGAGAATCATCATCATCTAAATCAGCTTCCTCAAATATCTGTAAAAACAAAAAGACAAAAGTCCTATAAATACATGTACATATTAAACCTACTAACCATTTGTTGCAAAATACTCATTTAATTATTTTTGTCTTTGACATATTTTCCTACAGTTGACAGTATTAAGTTGACAATATGAACCATTTTTTATAGCAGTTACATAGACAGTCTCGAGTTTTCAGTACTTTAGAAAATCATGAAAGGGACTACTATCAAATACTTAATGTCAATCTAAATAATTGTTATTTGAAATTAGTATATACAAATCTTTCTTGCATATGAGACTGATCTTTTCCAAAGTTTTACTAATGCTGGAAAGTTCATATGGCATTGGACGCCAGATGAGTTGCGAGCTTTAAAATCACTTCATTTTAGCAACATTTTATTAATGAACTGCATTAAAACGACATCATTTTGGCGAATTTTAGAATGATATTGGATAATGTCATTTGTTATTATCAATGAAGTTGTAAATTCATACACTATTGTAAGAAAATAGTTACAGATGATATGACTTTTATTTCCATGAAAAAATATTTTATTGAGGTAAACTATTTGAAGTATGATAGAATATCGTAGAATAAGCAAGAAAAAATATCTGACATGTGTTTTTGGTTGGAATCAAAATATCTGTCCCTCAGTGGGATAGTACCCTAGGGATGGATATTCTGATCCAAACCATAAAACGTGACAGATTAATAGAATCTATCATTGGGTTAGATAGAGACTAGGGAAATCCCAACCCAAGAGTGATCGGGAACAAGCCTTGGGTTGGGATTTCCCTATCCTCTATCTAACCCAATGATTGATTATTTTTCTCACTCACCTGGACACACAAGAAATCAGTGAAACTACTTGCTACGCGCATTACAACATACCTAGTTTTGAAAAGCGGGGCGGGGCTTAGGTGCCTGACTTTCTATGATATTAAAAAGCATTATGTACGTCCGCAAAAAATTCTACTGACCAAGTTTATGTGTGAAAAATTCAATGAAAATAAATTCATATGAGATCCCTCATCAAAAAGCAAGGTTATCATGATAAAACACATCAATATTAAAGTCGGAAAGTGTCATAATATAAGTGTTTATAAGGAATTCAGTCCATACTTCAATGGTTGACAAAAAGCGTTTACCGTTTGCAAAGATTTTTCTACTTATTCGGTTATTTTGGCCGAATATTCAATTAAAATATATCAAAATGAGATTCGTCATCAAGAAGCATCGTTATCATAACAGAAAACATGGATGTTTTTCAGGCAAAGTGTCATAATATCCGATTTTACGAAGAATTTTTCGATATTTTAAAGTGTGCTATTTTTAGTAACAGATCAATATTGAAAAGGGCGGACCTAGGTAGAGTAGGACTCATTGCAGTGTGAAAGTTAATATCAATCTATTTTGATTCCGTGGACAATTTAATAGATTAGCTCACATATTTTTAATACATTTTGACCTTTTGATGTTTCACTTTTGTTAAAATAGGAGTGAATATGCGTAGGAATACGTTTTTAGAAGTGCTGCACGTTGAGTGTGAGATAAGCCCGGGCCATGTGAGATAAGATTTTCCAACACCACTATTTTTAGTAACATTTACGGATTTTTCTATCTGGTTAGTGAGAAATTATTATTCTTTCTGTTGTATCATAAGATACCCATCACTGATTATTCTACATTGCAGTAAGTAGATTAGAGAGAAACAGAATGAATCCATCAGGCGTATAAAACAATGATAACAGCACAGGGACATCTTTTATAAAATATTACATTGTCAATAAGTTGTTGCATGTCCTCGTTTTCTAATTTCTGGTCACCTGTCAGTCTGTCAACAACTTCTTTCAAATCTCGGCTAGATATCATATCATCTTCATCAAAATCTGAAAATCATACTGAATATAAATACAATGTAAATTTTACACTTATGCAAATTAAAAGAAGTTTTGACAATGAGTGTATGTTAAATTTCCAAATAACTTCAAATTATATCAGGAGTTCCTAGTATTCTAAAATGTAAAAAAAATATGTTTGATAAGATTTACAAATTACAAAGCTTTAGATGCTGGAATTCAATTGAAATTTGACTTGCACGTTTTGCATGTCATGTTTTTTCTTCACACTAAATGTAATTTTCCCAATACCTAATATATTTCAATTATATCAAGAATATTTCATTTCAACAAAAATTGTAAAGAATGTTCTTACAGATAATATTTAATGCCTCTGTTTGAAATGAAAACAGTTTTCTTGCTACATAAAATCATTTTACCCTTACAACAACAAACTTACCATATATTCTGAAGGCATATTCCACTTTAACACTTTTTGGTGCATTGTCACTGAATACTGACATCATATCAAGGAAATCTTCAAATGTCATATCACCATCTCTACTTGATGAAAATACTTGACAAATTCTGTCTTTGAAAGGGTTCACCTAAAATTTAAATGTACATGTATCTCAGTGCAATTAAGATGTAGGAGATAATGAATGATTACACTTTTGCATAAAAAACTCCCGCCCCGAGGTATTGGAAAGAAAAACATGATTAAGGTAGTTCTTGTGACCATCCCATGTTGTTGCCATTTTAAAATATCTTGGATCAGGAAGAAATGTAAAAAAGCCCTGTGTTTTTTTCAAAAAACCTGTCAAATAAAAGGGATTAAGTATTTTGTGGAAAGGGCCCATGCATAAGATATGTTTCTTTATGAAAAATACAGACAATCAACGCAGAATTATAACTTTATGCAAGAATAGTGCTAATGCACCTTTTTTCGTGCATTTACATGTACATCTGCAGACACTCTCTTGCCCTGTGGATTTAGGCCTTAAATACGTCCTCATGCTTCTGCAGATGTTGATGCACGAAAAAAGGAGCATTAACCCTCTTTCATATCCTGGCTACCAGAATAAAAACTGGATAATATGAATTTTTGCTTTACAAAAAATGTAAGTAATGTATGTATAGTGTATCTGTTCAGTTTTTGTTTATATTACAAATAATTATATATTTAATCAACTATTGAGACTTTTAAGCAATGGCCATACCGTCAAGAGGCCATACCGTCAATGTAGATACAAAAGGGACCTAGTATGTATGTGTCTGCATTTTATTTTATTTCAGCCCTGAGTAAACATTAGTTTCTAGAACTTTCCTTCTCTTATATCTTTTTCACTTTACAAGTATCTTAAAACAGTACCGGTAGTTCTTTTCTTATCATCTTCATCTAGATATGAACTACAATTATATTTTGATTTTATCATATTTATCTGGCAATATTTCAAATATTGTACCTTGAGTTCTGGAAGTTCTAGTATCTCATCACGTTTCAGTTTCGCATTTTTATCCTTGTCTACAGCAGAATTATTAAGCTGAGAAAACCTCTTGAACACACTGTAAATATATATGTGAAACAATTGTGTCTTTGTGTATTTTTTTTTAAATTAAAAACTATCAAACATGTGTTACACATGTGTAACATGCACTGTTTATCTAACATAATACTGTAATATAATTAATATGGCAAATGCTTCAAGTTTATTTCATTGCCTTCATGTCATACACCGAACAATGGCATATTTCTTTTTTATCTCAACCAAGAATATTGAAATAAAAGAGATTGCACATAAGAACAGGAAGTTAGTTGGAACTAACATAATAGATGAATAAAATTTTAAAGGCACATTATAACTCAGAAACAAATAGTTTTACATCTTTAGAAAGGGCAAACATGAATTTTATGTTTTAAAAGAATGTTAGATGCTTGTTACCCAAAGAGGGTCTTTGCACCCTTTTCCTTATGCAAATTAAAACTTTGCAATGTTTTATTTTGTAAACATTGGCATAATTTAGAATCCTTTATAAACACACTGGTTAACTGGTTACAAGTAAAACAGCTGTACACTAGGTAAATCTTTTATACTACAATCAATTGGAGCACCATATATCATAAAAAGTTATGTCTTTAAAAAACTTTTAAAGATTGACACATAAAAAAAAAATCTTTTGTTTATTTGGTTTAAAACTGACATTTATAGTCAGCAAGTCCTATCCACACCTCACTGATCTGCTTCATTCTGGTTAACCGGTGTGATAAACAGTGGTTCAAGTGAAGCACAACAGTTGGGTTACACTTATCAACGAAAGACCGTTAGGGCCATTATAACTACATGAATTCCCGATTTCAACTTCGTGAATTCACGAATTCAACTTCATGAATTCACGATTTCAACTTCGTGAATTCACGATTTCAACTTCGTGAATTCACGATTTCAAATTCATGACGTTGAAATCGTGAATTCGTGAAGTTTGAATTCGTGAAGCTGAAATCGTGAATTTGTAAAGTTGAATTCGTGTATTCACGAAGTTGAATTCGTGAATTCATGAAGTTGAAATCATGAATTCATGAAGTTGAAATCATTAATTCGTGAAGTTGAAATAAAGAATTCATGAAGTTGTAATCGGGAATTCATGAAGTCGAAATGTCCCCACCGGTCTTTCATACTTATCTCATGGAAACTGCAAATATTACTTCTATGTGTATTTAGTAACTGTTAACAAATATGTTGATGTTTTTTAGACCTCTTCTGTGTGGGTGAGTAGCTTTAATATGTCCTAGTACATTATTGGTTAATATTATGAAAAAACTTACTGTAGTATTTCTTTCTTTGTGAAGTAAGTCAGCTCCTGTAAAACAGTATAAATGTGAAACGGTTTATTAATAAAAGGACGGACATGTTAAATAAATAAATTCTTTAATATAAATTTGATAAATACATTCAGGTTAAAGTTTTGTAAGGACTAATACATTAAAAAAAAACACACAAAGACACAAAAGAAATAATTCAACCTTTTTCTTTTAAATTTTGATTCCAAAACTCTTGATATAATTTGACATTACTATTTCACAATCACATGAACAAATGCAACTGCAAATAATAACATGTTCATAATAGGAAGATAATAATCTGACAAAAACTATTTTGATGTTATTAAACATGTATAATATTTTCTGAATATTGTGTGTCCGATACAGTGTATCTGGGATTTACATAAATTTTTTCATTATCAGTTTCCATGGATATGACTTTGGCAGTCTTTGGAGGCCAGGGACCATCAAAGACCAAAGACAGTCAATTACTCATTTCAATTAGTAAGCCCTGAATTACAGCGGACAATGGGTAAATTTTGCAGTGACGAAAATGACAATATGCGTGGATTTTAGAGAAATTGTGTATTTTAGTTTTTTAAATGGGTTTTGATACGCATTTCTTCTTCTTCATCTTCCAATATACTGGCTACTTTCAACTAACTGAAGTTTACTGCCAGGTTAATGGGCAAGAGGGGAAAGAAAGAGTAAAAATGTGAGGAATATAAACAGTGCAGGTTAAACAAGAACTGTCGGAGAACAGTAACGCTCAACTATTTGAAAAGTTGTCACAAGGGTGTTTCATCATGTATGATAATGCTTACCTATATGAATACATAAAATTGTCCAACAAGGTACAAAGGCTTGTTATTAAGATGTTTTATCGAGTAAATCACTGCTTTATTATTATGAATGCATAAAATTGTCCCAGAAAAGGCACAAACCCTTCAGTAGTTATGGAGATACCAGCTTCCAAGCAAAACTTTTACATAGAATTTCTAAGCCAAAAAAGGGGCATAATTATGAAAAAAAAACGAATCAAGAGTTATGAGACTTGTGCAAATCATGTTAGATAATCACAGAGAACAAGTGTGTAGAGTTTCAATTCATTCCCTTCAGTAGTTATGGAGATACCAGCTTACACGCAAAAACTTAACCAAGAATTTCTAAGTAGAAAAAGGGGCATAATTATGCAAAAAAGCAAATCAGAGTTATGGGACTTATGCCAATCATGTTAGATAATCACAGAGAACAAGTGTGTGAAGTTTCAATCCATTCCCTTCAGTAGTTATGGAGATACCAGCTTCCAAGCAAAAACTTAACCAAGAATTTCTAAGTAGAAAAAGGGGTATAATTATGCAAAAAAGCAAAGCAGAGTTATGGGACTTATGCCAATCATGTTAGATAATCACAGAGAACAAGTGTGTGAAGTTTCAATCCATTCCCTTCAGTAGTTATGGAGATACCAGCTTACACGCAAAAAACTTAACCAAGAATTTCTAGTCAAAAGGGGCATCATTATGCAAAAAAGAAAATCAGAGTTATGGGACTTGTTCCAATCATGTTAGATAATCAAAGAGAACAAGTTTGTGAAGTTTCAATCCATTCCCTTCAGTAGCTATGGAGATACCAGCTTACAAGCAAAAACTTAACCAAGAATTTCTAAGTCGAAAAAGGGGCATAATTATGCAAAAAAGCAAATCAGAGTTATGTGACTTTGTGCCAATCATGTTAGATAATCACAAAGAACAAGTGCGTGAAGTTTCAATCCATTCCCTTAAGTAGTTATGGAGATACCAGCTTATATGCAAAAACTTAACCACTGGGACGGGGACAAATGGGTGACTGCATTTGCTCAATTATCAGGGCTGCCAACAGTAAATTGCAAAATCAGAGGAAAATACGCCGGGGGTCAAGGGGGCTGTGCAAGCCCCCTTTGCGGGTGCAGGGCAGAGCCCTGGTGGGGGCCGGGGGCATAGCCCCCGGAAGCTCCTGGATTCTGATGATTTGGTATGCCCTAAAATAAATTTCCTGGACTCTAAATTTGACTTCCTTGGTTGCCTTTAAAGCCATTCAGAGACACTTTAGTATCCGACATTTTGACGCATTTCGACAACAGACAAGAATGACAATGTAAACTGAAATTTGATTGGTTATTTTATAAAATAGAATGCCGGAAAAGACTCGATTTGACCAATGAGAAAAGCGCTTACAGACGTACCATAGACGGCTAGCGTAACAATAAAAGGAGCTCACGAAAACCACGGATTTCCGTGAATCTGCGGAAAATCGGCAGCCCTGATTATTCTGCGAATAGTCGAGCTAAAAACGGACAAGAGTGCGGTTTAGATAAAGAGTTGGGACAGATGAGTACATTTAAAATAAATCAAATGCCTATTTTGTAACATTAATTGCGTAAATATGTATCTTATTGGTTGCTCTGTATACTAAAACAAAACTATCAATTCCCTGACATCTATGATTCCTGAACATTAATAAAAATTTGGAAGTGGCTAGCCGTACGGGCCCGTACGGCTAGCCAAAAGTTCTAGCCGTACGTGAGTCACGTACGACTAGCCTGGACACACTGTATTGGCTAGCCGTACGGCACTTTCAAAATTATATGGAAGTCGAAAATGCATATGTTATTTTGTGACTTTAAACAACGACTTTAATCAAATCTCCGCATTTGTTCTAGTGTGTTCACTTTAATAAAGATGCTCCGCAATTTTGCACAAAAAATGAATACGAGTAAGCGTTGTATAATTTATCTTAATAAAATTAAGTGTCAAAGTTGCAAGTTATAACGTCCCTTATTTTCATGCTTATGATTTGTATGAAAGATGAATTGTTAAATCTGTTAATTAAGCACATGGATCGAATAAATAATGATCGGAGGGGAATAAATAAATAAATAAAAAGAATATTAAAAAATGTTAAAAGGAAAAATAATTTTATAATGCAAACTTTTCTTAATGATGGACGATGGACAAACTTCTATACCGTCGTTAATTGGCGCAATTATCAGAGCCCAACAACAATTGTTTTCGGTGTTTTTTTTCAATTTAAAAATTAAACTTAATGAAACAAAAATGGATTATTATCAAAATTTTGTAAACTATTTCAATTGATGTTATTCAACTGCAACCAAACGCTATTTTCTCGACGTCTTGAGATGACAAAGTAAATTCTTAACTGTAGCCAACACGTCGATTAATCTCTAAAAAGTAAACATTCTTGACTAAAATACTCGCTTAAAGTCATAATTAACATATGCACTTTCGTCTTCCATATATTTTTGAAAAGTGCCGTACGGCTAGCCAGTACAGTGTGTCCAGGCTAGTCGTACGTGACTCACGTACGGCTAGAACTTTTGGCTAGCCGTACGGGCCCGTACGGCTAGCCACTTCCTAAAAATTTTATTATGAAGAGACCTATCATTAATTTGTGGCATATTTCCAGAGGTCTACAGCATTTCGGCATATCTGCAACCTTAATATCATAACAAAAATATAATAATACTGAAAGGACATTAACTAGGCCGAAATGATTCCAGAACAAATAAATCGTGACAAAAAGTATTGACGTCAAATCATCAGATCAAATCGGAAATTAGGTCATTCTAAATTAAAACATTTTGAAGGAACATTATACTGAATCTATTAAAAATTGAGAAATATGACAAAAAATAGGTTGCCTACTTGATAATCGTTGAGCTCTTGTTCAGTGAAAACGCTCTGAGAACTCCCCATTTTAATGAAAAATATTTGTTGTTTACACTTTGTTTCCGGACTACAGCTTAACGATAAAGACAGAACTAATCCGAAAAACATTAATAGCGCAATGTCTTTTTTCTGCGGAAAATTTAATACCCGAAAAAAGGCTTTTCCTGAAATATTCACTGGCAATTTCGCTACTTTCTTAAATACCTTCTTTTTTTTTTTTTTAAATATTTGGCACGTGCACGGCTTTAAAGTGACAATGCCCACATCAATATAAATGTATGTGGCCTCCCAGTAGTGTCACTTTCCGATCCGCTTACAGATTTTTCGACAATAAGTGACAGTGAAATTAGTGAAATTATTAAAATTATTTTTCACTTATAATTCTGCAAATATCATCTTTTAAACTAATAAATTCAACAACTTTTTGAAATTTTACCTGATTTATTATTATGCATTGTAGACAAACCATAAATGACCCATTTTCCTGTTCTTCAAAATTTCAATGCCACTTTTCAGTCAGTTAACAAAATATATCCTGTAGACCTGCACCACATAAAAATATCATACAATGGTAAAATGTAATCTTAAAATATAATCTCAATTTGCATAACAGAGAAAGCATGTTCTTATGATATATATTGGATCTCAGGGTCTATATGACCCCCTTTTAGTGACAGCTTACTGAAAAGTTATCAGAGAGAAGGTTTTTCTTTGATTAAATGACTGTTACTTTACTGACATATTACGTTCTAATGGAGATTTGTACTGTAAAATATGTTCACATCAAAATCATAGCTTTTGTAGTGCAGTATACGTTATGACCATATGATATTGTAACAGTGATCCAACTTAATATCCATTTCTGCAGAATGACAAAAATCGAGTCTGTAAATCAAATATATTTAAGAAAATTATTGCGATTTCCAATTGGGTAAATTTAAGGAAGTGAAAAACGTATATTTTACATGTTTTGACTGGTATTTTGTTTTTTATCACCATAATTGACATTGTTGCTGAAAAATATAGTCAAGGTTAACAAGGTAAACACAAGATGTGCTTACAGTCCAGTCACATGACAAATAAGGTCAAAAGTAAAGAATTTCAAGGGGTGATTGAAAAGTGGTTGTGATTGAAAAGTGGCAGTATGTGGATCCTGGTAATATTTGATACGGATCTGGGACTAGAGTATCTTATTTTCCAAAACTTCAGGATCTAGAGCTTCATCAAATGTTTTAAAGAAAGTATTATAACATATGCAACTTTATTTATAAAGAGAAAGTATACAGAAACACTCTCTTTGCTTAAATAGACATAGGCTTTGTCATATTGTACATAGGTAATTTACAGGTAAAATACTATAAAATTCATGCTGCAAAAATAACAATTTTGGTCATAGTGTCCCGAGAACTAATTCCCTCAATAACCATTTATATATACATGTATTAACAATCACCGATTAACGACATCGAAATACTGAATATTGAAAGATTCCTCCAGGCAGTATTAAATTATAATCATAAAGAATAAGTAACACTTGCAGGTTCGATTGGTTGAGTCTGTTCATTAAGCAGTATCACTCGTGCTAAGATTTAGCAACAGTGAGATGAAATATTGGGTAACCCTTTTTAGCCGCTACAAACACTTATCTGATTGTATCACCCACATAAAATTATGTGTTTCAGCTTTCCCGTCGGCCTTACTATAGCGTTGTGGACTGCATGATTGTTTTAAGTTTTGATGAGGAGGTCACTGTATAACATCAAGGTAGATGTTTTGTATCAGACAAAAAACTACATCAACGATACCTTTGAAAGCATCTCCATTTTATTAGGAACATAATCTTCTCTGGGGGACTTTATCTCAGAATATGAAAGAGAAAATCAGCAAGATAATTAGAATAACATTCATAATTTCTGAGTATATCTTGATTTCTGCGACTACATTTTACTGCTTCAAAGTCGTTAAAGGATAACTCTAAGCATTTGAATATCCTGTAAAAATATATTAAGTACAATAAAATAGATAAAAACAATTTAAGATAAAAAACAACACAGATTTAAAACTGGTAGAAAGGATGCAGAGCAACTGCTAATTAAAAAGGTTCAAGGTGGGACTGGCTTGTATAAGGACTCAGGTAGACGGATACTTCTGAGAAAAATGATTACGAGTGATGCTGTACGCGTGTCCTTGAGTATGGGATCAGGTAGTTCAGGTTTATGGTGGTGTCAGATAGTGATGGTCAAATCTCGCAAGATTGTGTTAGATTTTAAGGAGAGTAACATAGTTTATGCTGCGTCTCTGATCTAGAGTTTGCCAAATTAGATCTTGTATTATCTTAGAGATACACTACTGGTTATAGAGTAATTATATACACATCTTGCAAGTGACCTTAAACTTATGTTCTATTTTGTAAACCAGATGTTAGCCAAGGATGTCAAACCGTGGACAATGTTCTAACTTTGGCCATTCATAAGTTTAAAAGGCAGTTTTTGTCATTTTTTGTTATATTATTTATATGATAGATATCTACTTATTGTATCAGCCTCTGTAGATTTTAGTCATTGGCCATGAAGTTTTAGGAAAATATTACGGCTGATTCTTAGGATTTTGCTTTTATCTGGATTAAACTCCACGGACCAATCAGATTCCCAGTTTCCAAGGATATTTTTGTAGTGTTTGGGCATCTTGGGTTGATTTAATTGTAAGGTACATCATTGTGTCTTCTGCAAAAATCTAACTTTACCCTTGACACTTTCATTAATGGCATTTATTATCATTGGGACGCAAGAGTGCAAGAGAACAGATAGTTTATCTGTATTTGGGCAATTACAAAATGCATGAAAATAGTGAAACTGTTTAATTTAGAAACATCCGCAGACGTGTTCATACGGCGAGTATCATAGAACCTTCAATGTTAAACTTTTTTGCCATTCTACGGAAAGGGGCTTATGGTCCCCAAATAACAGACAATGTGTGGACTGTCTGATGCCTCTGCTAATCTCATGCGAAGTTACTTGTTTAAAAGACAGCAACAAGTAAAACTCGGTACAATATGTAGTGAGTGGAATGTATTAATAACAAAGGGGCCTTATTTAACAGTATCTTAAATGATATATTTTATTTTATTAAAAAGGGTTCTGTTTATAATTATGCAGATGTCTATACGCTCTCATTTAATCATATCAATGTTGAATCTCTCAAAAGCACAATACAAGATGAAAGTGTTGTCATGAATAAATGGTTTGAAGATAATCATATGCAAGCAAACCCTGAGAAGTTCAGGCTATATGTATAGGCAAACAAACCTGTAAAAATGTGTCTAACTTCCAGATTCTTCCACTATTTCTTGTGAATCTCATATTCCCGCGTTAACGTCACGTTCTGTTTAGCGTATAGTTAAACGGACGTTGCGTCATTTGTCATTTTATAAACGTCATTTTTTCTGAAGAAGACTAAACGTCGAAAGCTTAAGAAAAGCGTTTGTTTTTATTGAACTGATTATATATTGTGAATCTCATGTAAAACTTCTAGGTATTGAAATATATTCCCTATTAAATTTCGATATTCATATCGCAAATGTGTGTAAAAAATCAGCAAGACAAATAAATGTATTAACCACGCTATGTTCTCTACTTAATTTGGACGCAAAAATTCTTATATACAAACGTTATATCTGATCCAACTTTAACTTCTGCGCTTTAGTTTGGTATTGTTTTTAGCAAGGACAATACAAACAAATTTTTAAAACTTCAACATAGAGTTGAAAATTGTTTTAATGACTATTCATCAACTTATGAAGATCTGTTTAAACTGACCAATATGTCATCTCTCTATATCAGTAGAATTAAACAAATCACAATTGAAGTCTTTAAATGCATTAACAGCATTTCATCTAAGGATGTTCAAGAACTTGTAAATGTGCGTTCATCAAGCTTTAATTTTAGATACCAAAATACATTAAATGTGCCTAAAGTACGCAAAACAAAATATGATAAACAAGATCATCAAGGAAAGGCGGCGTTCAATGGACGCAACCCCCACGTTTGGTAAAAAAGTTTTCGTTTTGAAGCATCTAAAATCTGGAATAGTTTACCTAATGATCTCAGATGTACATCTAACTTCAATTAGTTCAAAAGACTAATTGAAACATGGAGTAATGACAAGTGTGCCTGATCTATGTGCATCTAATATTTTCCAGTTCATGTTCTATTTTTTTTTTGTTTTTTTTTTTTGTAAGTAAATTTAGTTATCTTTTTCTTAAGTTGTGTACGACACACACAAGTAAGGCACCCATAAGGAACCAAACAAAAAACCTGGAGTGGACATAAGGGCGGCAAAAGCAGCCGTAAAACCCTATTATCCTTTTTCATTAGACATTTGTAAATTCTCTGATTTCATTACAATGACAAAATGAATTAATTGTATGTATTATTATCTTAAACGGTGTTTGTTTATTTTGTTTCTTATTATTATTTTTATCTTTTGTTCATGTCGGATACAAACTTAAAGCTTATGTTTTGTACTGTTGACCATAACCGACTATAAATTAAGTTTGTCTTACTGTTTGTTTTACTGTCATAAACAAGAAAACAATGGGTGGAACGAAACAAAATGGAATTTTGAAAGTGAATAAGAGATTATGAAGACTGCATATCACTGATAAAACGTCAAAAGACAAATTTAAAAAGCAGCACCATATCCTAAGGGTGATTATGCAGTATTCAAGATTGGAATTTGGAACCACTCAAGTTGAAAAAAAAAAGAATGAACTAAAATAAGGCGATTGTATGTGCGGTGCGAAATTTTAAAACCATAAACTTTGGCATTGTTGGATAGTTTTGTTGTGTTAGCAGTTGTTTGCATAGCAGGGAAAGACTCAGCTTAATATGTCTGCTTTGGTTTTAGGATCTATAAAGGCATGACCTGTATTTGTAATAGGGTAGTCCAACTAATTAGACTTGTCAAAGAGACACCGAGATAATTTTGTACTGGCGCTGTCTTTTTCCAACGGTTTGACAGTAAGGAAAAAAGTCTGTAAAATGGGTCAAACCGTTCACGCCAAATTAATTAGGCTAGTAATAGGGATTTGCCTCTTAGCATTTTAAATTGATTCAGTATGTATGGGAGGGGTGGTCGACCGTTTAATATTTTAATGCAGTCCATCAAAATCACTTACAGTATATAATCGATATAAGTGCTGGTAAAGGTTAGATTAAACGTTGACCGGATTTCGATTAAACATCAATCTGACTAAAATTCAGAAATGGTTAAATATTGGAATTATATTAGTTCTAGATGTTTTTATATGTTTTATACGCTTTTATATGTTTTAAACAACATATCAAATGTTTAGTCTATACTAAACGACAAATCGCGTACTTGTGGGCCCTACTGTACTACCGATGTGCAATGTTTTATCCTTTCGTAAATTAAAAAAATCCAGTTTGTTTATTTATCTCCTTTCGTTTTTTAGGTGAAGAATAGGAAAAAAGTAAAAAATAAAAAATAAGAAAATGTTTGCCCAAGTTCCACCGAGTTCAAATTCAGGTAAAAGAAACAAATAACTCATTATTTAGTTCAAGATAAACTAATTAAAATTTCTTTCCTGATACTTATTATTGAAATTTTCAACTTGGTTATTGTGTAGTAGTTACCGGATGACAATGAGTCATAACTATTGAACCAAATTTATTAAAATTTATTAAGCTAGTGATATCGATACTTGTATTAAAAATTTAAACATTAACAGCTGATTTATGTAAAAAAATTATTGTTCAATTTGTATTTTTTCAGGTCCCTCAAATAGACCTGAATTGTACGAGGTAGGTTTGCATTTAAGTTTTAACAATAAGCTTAAAGTTGTCTTCAGTACCAGTCCTGGAAACCTGTGGACTTGGGTTTATCAGCTTCAAAACAAAAACAAAAAAACATGTGTGTATTTATGGAAGATTTGTCAACATATTTTGACATGCCAAAAACTAGATTCAGTGAGATATTTCTGTTATGGGTCAAAGCAACATCATATTGACCTTTTCGAAAACCTAGCTAAACACCGTTTTCCGGTACGTTACGGATTTAGCTCTGGGGAATTACACCATATGAACTACATAACACTGTTACATGATATTTCTATTTTTCTATCATTTTTTTTACCGTTTAAGGTGAAACAAATTGATGTGTTTGAAAATTATCAATATTCATTTTATATCTATTGCAATTTTTTCAAAAAAATGAATTGTTTATAATGAAAATCAATAAAATTTAAACAGTCGTAGTGGAATCGTCAATCATAAATAGAGATATTTTCTGTATAAACCTGTGTATTTACTTTATTTTTTGTATGGAATTATTCATAAAATAATATTTAATTGTTTTCTTACAAAGAAATAACTGTTTTATTTCATTTTAATTTTTAAAAAATGCCAAAAACATAGAATTCGGTATTACGCTCCATTAGGTGAATTCCCCAGAGCTATGTACAGAAAGTAGCGGAAAACGGCGATTAGCTAGGTTTTCGAATTCGTGAATTTGTAGGACTAACCTGGACAAAAGTTCAGCAATCTTTTGGGTTGAGCAGACTGAACTTGACCGTCACTCATAAATGACCCTGACATTGAAGGTAGGGGTGTCACGTTTAAATGTATATGGTTGGTGTTTAGCTAAAAATCGGTTAAAAAATTCAATAACCAGTAACCAACGTTAGTATTCGACTAAGGGGTGGACAATTTTTAAATTGATTCTAAATTTACTCTAAGTTTTCGAAAAAAAACGACAAGACCCTAGCAGATTATAGTTACTCCATATATGGATATGTATTGTAATTTTGAGTACAACAAAATATGATCAAAATGGCATATCTTGTCATAAAGAAACATTAAAGTTAATTTTGAAAATCTAAGGAATTTATTAGTATGGTTGGTTAAATGTTTAACAAGGTTATTAAGTTGCCGTTTAAATGGTTAGCATTTTTTCTTACCGTGACAACCCTACTTGAAGGTCAAGTATTTGAATTATTCTTGATTTTAGCCAAAGCCTTTTTCTAAAAAGGCGGAGAGGTCAGATAAAAAATTTTGTTGAATTTTTATTTTACATTTTTTTTTATTTTAAAGATGTTACTCAGTATTTCATGCAATGCTTCCATTTTTAATCTGAGAATCTTGACCATTACTCTTCAGCCAAAAAGTTGTGATTTTCCATTATTGGAATACCCCGCTAGTTATCACCGAGTTACATTTAAAATAGCAGGGCCTAACTAGAAATATCACTGAAAATTTCACTTATAGGTATAGAACCCTATATTTATGCCTGAGGTGAGAGCATGTAGTTGCCGCTTTTCCATCTGTCCGCTTTTCTTTCCTCAGACATAACTTTGAAACTATAAGGTTTCAACAAGAAACTTTGTATGTAGATGGATCTCATTGAGTAGAAGTGCATTGCATAAGAATCGTATACTGCCTTGCCTAATTTTGAAGTTATTGCCCTTTGTTCATTTTTACAGTTTGATCTTTGTCTGGGACATAACTCTGAAACTACAAGAGATATCAGCAAGAAACTTTGTAGGTAGAGCGATCTCATTGAGTAGAAGTGCATTGCATAACTCTGCCATTCCTAATTTTGGAGTTATTGCCCATTGTTCATTTTTACACTTTGAACTTTGTCTGGGACATAACTCTGAAATTACAAAAGATATCAACAAGAAACTACATTTACTTCTCAGTGTGTCCAAACCCTTTTTGGGGAGCATCACCCTGTTCAACCAGCTGTTGTTTTTTTTTTTTTAATTTTTTTGATTTCCATTTTAACCCATTACTTCATGAGCATTTTGTGAAAAATGGCTGTTTTCATTGAAAAGTCTCCCGTTACAAGTTCAAATTGCTATAATACTTTAAAAACTGCTTCAACACTAATCAAACTTGGCACAAATGTTGACTGGACCATTGCCCTTGCAACAACATGCTCAGACTTAAATTTTCTGTTACCATGGCAACGAGGGGACATCTCAAAATTGCCAAAAATCACTATTTTGCTTTGATTTTTTCCATCATAATTGATTTCAAAGTGCTGCAACTTCTCAATGGATTCAGATAGAGTCAAATGCTTTTCAGCGTTGGTTACACGTTACCTTATGATCAATCTGAGGTCATTTATAGCCTCTCACAAGTCCAAAATTTTATTGGCGATGAGGGGGACTCCGCCCCCCTTCAAACCCCCAAAACAGAACATCCCCCTTCTGGCAACCCCCTGATGTATCTTTTGGTTGGGGGCCGCGCCGGAAAAGTGGTCACTTTTTTTAACAACATTTCTCAAACAAAAACAAGTGTTGGGGGCCTAAATAAGGCATTTTTTCACCATTTGAGACAACAAAAGGGGGGGGGGGTGAAAAAGGCGTTAAAAGGTGTGTAATGGTGTATATGAAGTAATGGGTTAATATACACACATAGTCTATAGCTGGGCAAACCACCAAAGCCTGGGCCCGCTTTGACTTCCCCATATAATTGGTTAAAACTTTGTTATGGATTTGCTACAAACTGGGACAAAATAATTCTTAGGACAAGACCTTTATGTAGACCGAAATGTCAACCTCAAAATTTTTATTATGTGTGTGTATGGGGAGGGATGTATTAAAAGTGTTCTGGGGATTAGCACAGCACAGTTTACTTCTGTGAATGGTGATGTTTATTTAAGTTCAAACGTAAGTTTCAGTAGCTTTTCTAAACCAATTTAAACTTTGCGATCAATATATATTTTATTTATACTATCACTATCTTTAACTGTTTTACAGGAAGTGAAGTTATACAAAAATGCAAGAGAGAGAGAAAAGTAAGAAGTCTTATTGCTGTAGATCTTTGATAAAACAAGCCAGAATGTAAACATTTCAACACAATATTTGGTTATAGTGCAATGCTGTAATGCATTAAGCTTAAAAAAAGACAAATAATCTTTTTAGCCATTAAGGTAAATTATTATGTATTTGTTAGAACAAAGTAATTCTGAAATGATTTTCCAAATCTGTTTCAATGCAATGACATTTTAGAAGTTCAATTTTATTTTAATATCATTTTTTTCAGCTATGACAATATGGCTGATTTGTATGCAGTCATAAACACGTTACAAAGTTTGGAAAAGGCTTATGTGAAAGATGCTATACATCCAAAAGAGTATGTTATAACATCCATTTATGTTATATTTAAGTTGTTTAATATTTTAGATCTGGAATAAATTTACACATTTTGTTTATTGCTGAATATATAGACATGTATGCAGTTGTTAAATTAATCACACCAGTTTTGTTGATTTATTTTCATCATATAATTAAAGCTGACACTTTTAGGTTGTTTGTAGCAATGTTACATTTGTCATTGTTGATATATGATTTTATTTACCTGTAGCAATGTATTTTAAAATCAGAAGTATTCAGATTCGTTAACCAGCTTATACAGGGTCTCATACTATTGTTTTCAGATATACAGGGGCTTGTTCTAAGTTACTTGTTCAGTTTAAAGCAGCCTTTAGGCAAGTTGCCAAAGACTTCCCCGATGTTGAAGCCTTTATGAAGAAGTACAGGGTATTTATTTATCTAATGATTTAAAAAACTATATGGATATTAGTTATTGAAGAATTTAGAGTAAAACAGTGATTTATTTTGGCATTTCAACCTTGAAATCCAAGGTTTTGCCTGTGTTGAAATGTTACACTTGGCATTCATGACATTTTGTCTTTCAGTAAATGTAGGAATGCAAATAAGCCAGTCTTGTGAAAGAAATACCGAAGTTAATCAGTTAATTTCTGAAAAACTAATGGAAACAGCAATAATTATTATTTTTGTAAGTAAAACATTTAATTAAAGACACTTGTCTATAAACAGAACATAAATGGTGATAAGTATATGAAATTTGCATATCTTCATTGTTTATCAATAGAATATAATATTTATAAATAAATATGAAACATGCATATCTTCATTGCTACTATAGATATAACAAATATTTCTTTAATGTGCTGCAGCTTGACTGTCCACTGGCATTAGAACGAATAAGGGAAGATCGACCAATCACAATAAAGGATGACAAAGGAAACACCAGTAAATGTATTGCAGATATTGTATCGGTATGTTATTTTCTACTCATTAAATGTTCATGTTATGTTGTTTGGAAAAATTTAAAATGATACATAATGGTAAAACTAGGTAAATCTATATTAGCATCTTTACCAGATAAAAATAATTTACATGATTATTTAAGTGCGGTAGATGCAACAGTTACTCTTTCTCAGTGGTTAAATATTTTTCTATTTTATATGATAATGAGACATATAAGAGGTCCTTCAATGGAGATAAATTGATGTAGAATATACAATAAATACATAATTTAACTAAAACACTTGGTCAGAGAGCTTCCTGATTTACCTGATTATAATGTTCTTCAGTTTACACAAAATTAATTTTAGTTTGATATTTGTGTTGGAAGCTATAAGCTTACAGACACTGTAATCTACCAACCAGTTCTAAGCATTGCTGAATGAGTGTCAAAGAAACAGTGGCTTACCCCCGACAGGATTATATGTCCTTTTATTACAACACTAGTTCAAAGAGCTAGCCTCTTAACTATGTTCTTTATTTACATAAACAGTTATTTTGTCACCATAATATGTTCACAGTGTCTGTGTGATTTAAAGCCCACCCAAAAGTAAAAAAAAATATGTATTGATACATGAATGTTAACATATCATTTAATGTTTTTCAGTTATATATAACAGTGATGGATAAGCTTAGATTGGAAATCAGAGCTATGGATGAGGTTTGTACATCTTCACTTTTATATATTTAAAAGACAAAATAGAATTCTGTCTCAGAATGTGGATAGAGGGAAAATATTTGATAAAGCGTTATATCCTGATCAGTTAACTACAAAAATATAAATTTGTAAACCTTACATATCTGAACTTACAGTTTTTGAACACTATTTGCTCTAATAGTTAATTGTAATTAAGCACCAAAAATATGGCAGCAATATAAACCATAGATCCATATTCTGACCTTTCATTTAAATAACAATAGATTTAATCACAAAGATTGACATGTGTTCTTTTGTTAACAAACAGTTTGTGGTGAAAGTCTCACCGGATAATTTGACTTAGAAAGGTCATATAAGGATATATCCAATAACAGGGTTCATACAGTCTTATAAAGTGCTTAGATTTGAGTCCCTTTCTTAAAGAGTGCTTAAAAATGATAAAAAGTGCTTAAAGCAAGTAAAAAGTCCTTGAATTTAATTATTTTTGTGTAAAGTGTTTTATGTGTTTTATCTATATGATACACAATTTATTTAAACATTACAACAGAAATTTGCGTAATATTTTAGATTTGTGTTGAAACTTCCTTCTTAAATCTGAAAGATGTATTAAATATGTTGTTGATATGATACAGATACAGCCAGATCTACGAGAGTTAATGGATGCTATGTGTAGGTTGAGTATATTGTCTCAAGACTTTGAGGGTAAACAGAAGGTTCAAACATGGTGAGGACTGGTTTATTATAAAATCAAGTCAATTTTTTGATAAAGAGCTGTCAAAATATAACTATAGTTTATGTTTTTCCATAGATTTGCAATTGGTTTTATTAATTTACATTAAAGGGACTCCACTGAGGTTTTTTTGATATGATGGGACTGGAAATATTTTTTTTGATATAAAAGTACCTTTTGATGTTAGTCTAGACCAATAACTTGTATGCAAAATTTTAGATCATTTGCACAGTTGTTCTTCCAGAATGATTATTTATTATTATTATTATGAATAATGACCTATAAATGGAAATAGTTTCATTTTTCACTCAAATCGAACTAAAAATAACACAAATATACAATTTTCAATTTATTTCTTAGTATATTTCTTTATTTTCTTTTGCATTCTTTTGTTTTAATTGCCCCAGTTGATCTATGTAAGTTCAAATGTTTTAAGTTTTTTTGACCTCACTGCCAAACAAGTTCTTGCAAACTTTACCACGATTGAGTCTGCTTTCTGCAATTAATCAGTATCTGTGTCATTTGAGAAGGCATGGTCCTGACCCGAGTAGGGCTCAAACTGATGATCCCTGGGTTGAGATGCAGACACCTTTTAACCACTAGGCCACCACTACCATTGGTGTTTCTTAAGAAAATACCAGAAAGTAATACAGTTGCAATCACAGACTACTAAGTGTACAGTTGTATTGTATAACTTCAGTAGCATGATTTTATTAAATTGGGATGACTGAATATAGTTTTTAATAGAGATTGTCTGAAATTAAATAAAGTTTAACATAATATGTTTGCATTTCAGGTTGGACAAATTCAGTAGTATGTCAGCGTCAGAAGAGTTAGATGATACACAAGTGCGACAAATGTTGTTTGATCTCGAATCTGCGTACAATGCTTTCAATAAAGTTCTGCATGATAACTAAATCAATATCATTATATATACATCATGTTTTCAATGTACTGAATGTAAGGCAAATTAAGCTACTGTTTTAAAAACTCTATAGATGTGACAAATAAAGTGCAAGACTGATGTGACAAATGAGGTGCAAGAGTTATACTTGTGAAATGTGTTCACAATTAGATATATCAGATTTCATTTTTGGTAAAAAAAAGTCAACACTTCTAAAATGTTTTACAAATAATTTTCTTACATATAAGACTTGTTGGTTCATTTGCTTTTAGAAATTGGTTTCATTAAAAAAAGAAACTTGAAAAGCATGTTTATTTTTTTTTTAATTTCAACTACTTTTGTGATGGATATATAACAGTTATACAAGTGCATCTAACAGTATATATTGTTTTTAAGTTTTCATTCATTAAAATGCTGTGCATTTTCTATTTTATAGCGATTATGTTTAAATGTAAAAAATGTAAATATTTCTGTGTAAATTATTTTTTGTTACTGTGATGTAATTGATTATAATAAATGTGTTAAGAATTATTGAGTTATTTTACTATTGATGGCGATTGTTTTTCTTTATACATGTATACACTAGACCTATACCACATGACTTTTTGTGATTTGCATGGGGAAGAAAATCCAATACAAAAGATACTTCAGGTTTTATTTTCTGCCAAAACTTCTTAAATATTTAATCTTATTTACTTCATAAAGTGTAGAGCCCGCTCATTCTAGTGAGGAACCTATTCAAAGTATGTTTCCTAGAAAAACAATCTTTTTCTTATCACAAATTGAAACTGACTTTTTTACTGTATGAAAATCTGTTCAAATACTAGTAGGTGGTTTTCTTTTCAAAGAAAATACTGATTTAGGCCCTTAAACATTCTATGTGTGTGTTACTCATTAGAATAAGAGGTTTCTACACTTTATCCTGTTAAAATAATAAAATATTACAAAAGTTATGGAAGGAAATAAATTTAGGCAAAAATTCAAAATGAAATGGATGTTGTATCATTTAGCTCGTAAATAATTTCTTGCATTTTACTCGGCTAAATATTATATTTAATTTCCATTTTGACAAGACAGTTGATTCTTAAGTTGTTGAAACCAAAAGTGAAACAATCCTCTCTCTAACTTGAAGAGCATTTTGTTCATATATATATATATATATATATTTATGTAAGTAATGTAACAAGTTAAAGTGGTTTCCTGCGGGGACATTTTTAATGATTTAAAGACATTTTTTGTTCAAAGAAATAATTCTTGAAAACAAATTCCTCTGCCCCCGAAACTTAGAATTTGTAAATGGCGGCCATTTTTTTTCGACTCAAGATTATTTCCTTTGATAATAGATGCAACAGATTAAAATAAATTAAGATTTTAAGCATCGATCCAAAAAAATCCCTATCAATCACAAAGTTTACTGCACTTTTTTCCTTGACATGTCATATTCAAAAGTTCACCATAATTTTAGTTTCAATCAAAGTCAAATCGGCAGTCAAACACAAGCTACACAAACATGCGTACGCAACAAAATGCTCACTTATTTAATAACAATCTGGCACAAAATAAACATTTGCAAGTTCTACAAGAAAATCGTCTAGCCTGTTTGTTATGTTTATCGATAGATAATATGACATGAACATCGATGATGTCATTTGCGAAATAAATCATGACGTAACTTCATTAAGTTGGTGCTTAAAATTATGTTATCTAATTTGTTCATAATTGAAATAAATATAATAAATATCACATCTTGATTCGAGACTTGTCAGGGTATGCGATAAAAAAATAATTCTAAGGCTGATAAAAATGAGAAAATAAGCTATTGAAACATGTCTGTTAAAATGGGCGGGGCTTATTTTTGATATTAGGTTACTAAACTGTTATCAAAAATAATTATCAGGCAAGTGTTATCAGGCAGTTACCATAGCAGTTGCATGATAAAATGATGTAGTGTGTTGACCCCAAATTCAGTTACATTATACAACTACCACCAGACTGATCAGTCCTTAAATAACTCCCATAATGCTTGGGTCCAAGCAATGAAGAGATTTTTTATCATGGTCTTCTGCATGACCTTGATACAGATGGAACATGTGATCTCAGAGAAGTTGATGTTTTACTGCAAGACTTCCATAGCATCAATATCTTCATAAGGCAGATCAGAAACAAAATACTAGGTGTAAGTCTAAATATATTCTTATTCTACAGGATTCTTGCGCGTTCAAATGCGTATGGCATGAAGAAAAAGAAACAATGGCTTTAATTTGATAGTAGCTTTATTTCAGTATATGGCAGCACTTTATTTCAAAGTCCAACAAAACAATACATCAATCTGTAAAAAAAATAATGTGAAATTTCCAAACATATAGCAGACTGATACTTAAATTACATTAAAGAAATTAATTTTTAAATAATCATCTTTTGAGATTAATCTGAAAATGATTGGATTCCATCAAGAATGACTATTTCAAATGGACCTACTACCTAAAGTAACAATTTAGTCATGATGACCTTCATATTGCTCTTCTGAGTAATGATTTACGAAATAGATTTCAATTTTAGGTGTAATGCACAGTTAAAGTCAAAAATGAGTAGAGTACAATCACAGAGGCCAACAGGCCAAAGTGATTAATTACAAAGCACTTGAATGACAAACCCAGCTTTATCATATTATAATGCAAGAAAAATTAATATGTATTTCCATTGTAATGTGCCATTTAAAAAAGGGAATTGATAGAAATATGTTGAACTACATTAAGCGTAGAAGTAATTTTCTTGACATCATTTGGTTAATTAACATCATATGACGTGCAAGCATTCCTTTTTTATGATGTGCATATTTTGTGTAATGATACACTTGACTACCCTATCTGTTTGATCAGGTATAGTGTGAAGCGTGTTAAAATGTAAATTTTAGATGTTCTTCAAAATTAACTTTATACAAAATATGAAGTATCAATAATTTTACATATTTGCCTATCCACAAAGGCAGTGTAGACACCCTTGTAAATCTATAATTAGCTTTTTTGACTTTGATGGCCAAAAAATATCTTCAAGTCTTTGGTATAGCTGAATCCAAAGAATATCTCAGTCCATTATTTTAAAATTTGGTCAAGTACTTTTAGAGAAGATATCAATTGAAACAATTGTGGGTGAAGGATGAAGATTACAGACAGCCATCGCTCTAAAGGGGCTCAAATAAGCACCATGTGCTCAACGGAGCTAAATATATATTATTTTGTAATAATTAGTATTAAAATTGTATGGCACATCAGTGTAATAAGACTGACCAAGATCATGCATGAACATTTCCAGTAGATGTACTCCTAATTCATATGCTTTTAAACAATGAGAACATTGGTAATTTTCTGCTGTAAGGATGTGGGTGCAACAATCCCATGCACATATCCCAAAACCAACTAACCATCATGATGAGTCATACATTTAAAAAGCCCTAGTATGACCTTCCATATGGAGTGAATAGTGTTAGCCTTGCTCATTTATAGTTAATAGTCTAACAAGCAAATCTTTTACTAATTTTGATGACAATAAATGATAACAAATAATACACCAGAAAGAATTGCATAGTCAGCAAAAACTGCTTGAGACGATGTTACAAGAGGATTCAACAGTTGAGACGCAATGTTCCTTGTTAATGTACAATTAAACATGTTCCTTGGTAACGTACAGTGTGAAACATGTTCCTTGGTAACGTACAGTGTGAAACATGTACCTTGGTAATGTACAATGTGAAACATGTACCTTGGTAATGTACAATGTGAAACATGTACCTTGGTAATGTACAGTAAGAAACATGTACCTTGGTAATGTACAGTGTATAAGCATGTACCTTGGTGATGTGCAGTGTGAAACATGTTCCTTGGTGATGTGCAGTGTGAAACATGTTCCTTGGTGATGTGCAGTGTGAAACATGTTCCTTGGTAACGTACAGTGTGAAACATGTTCCTTGGTAATGTACAATGTGAAACATGTACCTTGGTAATGTACAGTGTATAAGCATGTACCTTGGTGATGTGCAGTGTGAAACATGTACCTTGGTAATGTACAATGTGAAACATGTACCTTGCTAATGTACAGTTTGAAACATGTTCCCTGAGATGTACAGTGTGAAACATTAACAGACAGCTTTGTGTATCATTAATTTAGTATAAAACATTCCCTTACAAAAGCGAGGAATGAACTTATGGGGAGAACATGGTAAGGTCTGAATATATATAGCATCATAATACAACAATATAATATACATGCCAACTTCATCAGAAATATGAAAAAATTACATATACAGTGAGTCACTTGTAAACTTACAGGACATTTTATTTCTTTAAGTTATACATCATTTTTATGTCAAAAAAGGTAAGATAGTCTTTCATACTTGTACAGTATGTAAAACTATACAGCAGTCTTTCTTTTATATGTAAATGACAAGGCAGTCTGTCGTACTCTCATTAATAAAAATATACTGAAGAATTTTTTTCCGATTCACATGTAAAAATATAGAACTCTCTCATATGCATAAAAAGGTAAGGCAACATTTTGTTCCTATTTTCACATCATAAAATCCATATATACAGCTAATAATTAGTCTAATATATACAATTGTCTGTAAAGTACTTGAGAAATGAATAAACATTTATCTATGTCCACATAAAATGTGATCAAATCATTATAAATAAAAGTTAAAATTCATTTATGCCCATTTTGACCAATGTCTTATATTATTAGTTATAAAGATTTTTACAAGTAATATAGCCCTATACGAACGGTTGTTTGTAAATATAACCTAAGCTGCTAGGCGAGGGTTATATTTGAAACAACTGTTTATATACGGTCATATAACCTGTCAGAAATATTTATAACAAATTTATAATACAGCAAGCATCAGTTCTTTTTAAGGGAAAAAAATGAGATTTCTTCATAAATTGAGAGCAACAGTGTATATAAAACTATATAAACGTCACAATTATCTTATGAAAAGCAGCTTTACAAACGTGCAGTATTATAAATGTGTATAAAATTGATCTAATGTAACCATGCATTCAGCTTCAACAACTGTTAAAAATACAGCAAAAACAATAAAACTAGCGAGCTATGCCTTGGCAAATATAATATCCATAACCATGAAATGTCTTTTTTTTCTGGAAGCAAATAAAAAGTAAGATATTCATGAATACACAGAGAGACATTTTTACCACAACAATTTTCAAAATTATTTTTCATAAATATAGTTGATCTTGATCAACTTTTCTTTAATATTCTACCATATCTTACTCAAATTTCACCAGAACAAGTTTGGCCACTTTTTTGCATGGATAATAATTTTATTGTGATAATAATGTTTTGTATATTAATATGTGTTGCATATCATTATGTGCACCGTATATTCTCTTTAAAATAAACTGTTACCATGGCAGCATAGCTTTTTGTAAGTTTTATTTGATTAAAATAAATCATTTGTTAAAAATGTCTGATAACCTGCTCCACATGTGGATCTCAAATTCCTGTCCACACAAGGAAAGTTATGTAAGCAAAAACAATACATTTTAATTATAAATAATATATAATATTAGCAACACTGAAACATCAAATAACAAGAACGTGTTTGTTAAACACAAATGCCCCCGGCTCAGATTCTTGTCAGTAGCAATATTTCAAACAAGAGCTGTCAGTAGGACAGCAACGCTTGACTATTCTTAGTGCTTGATAGTAAAAAAAATGCTTGATAGAGTTACCTCCTCCTGTTTACAGGTTGGGGTCATGATGGTGAACAAGTGTGCAAAGTTTCAAAGCCATATGTCAATGGACTTTGAAAATATTTGAACTATTACAAAAACTTTAACGTAAATTCTAAGTCAAAAAAGGGGCATAATTCTGTCAAAATGCTTGATAGAGTTACCTCCTCCTGTTTACAGGTTGGGGTCATGATGTTGAACAAGTGTGCAAAGTTTCAAAGCCATATGTCAATGGACTTTGAAAATATTTGAACTATTACAAAAACTTAAACGTAAATTCTAAGTCGAAAAAGGGGCATAATTCTGTCAAAATGCTTGATAGAGTTACCTCCTCCTGTTTACAGGTTGGGGTCATGATGGTGAACAAGTGTGCAAAGTTTCAAAGCCATATGTCTATGGACTTTGAAAATATTTGAACTATTACAAAAACTTTAACGTAAATTCTAAGTCGAAAAAGGGGCATAATTCTGTCAAAATGCTTGATAGAGTTACCTCCTCCTGTCTACAGGTTGGGGTCATGATGTGAACAAGTGTGCAAAAGTTTCAAAGCCATATGTCTATGGACTTTGAAAATATTTTGAACTATTACAAAACTTTAACGTAAATTCTAAGTCGAAAAAGGGGCATAATTCTGTCAAAATGCTTGATAGAGTTACCTCCTCCTGTCTACAGGTTGGGGTCATGATGGTGAACAAGTGTGCAAAGTTTCAAAGCCATATGTCTATGGACTTTGAAAATATTTGAACTATTACAAAAACTTTAACGTAAATTCTAAGTCGAAAAAGGGGCATAATTCTATCAAAAATGCTTGATAGAGTTACCTCCTCCTGTCTACAGGTTGGGGTCATGATGGTGAACAAGTGTGCAAAGTTTCAAAGCCATATGTCTATGGACTTTGAAAATATTTGAACTATTACAAAAACTTTAACGTAAATTCTAAGTCGAAAAAGGGGCATAATTCTGTCAAAATGCTTGATAGAGTTACCTTCTCCTGTCTACAGGTTGGGGTCATGATGGTGAACAAGTGTGCAAAGTTTCAAAGCCATATGTCAATGGACTTTGAAAATATTTGAACTATTACAAAAACTTTAACATAAGTGGTTACGCCGACGCCGAGGCTCGGGTGACTGCAATAGCTCTACTTATTCTTATCGAATAGTCGAGCTAAAAATGTTTACCCATTCACTCAGTTATGGACAGAAAAATTGCCAAAAAATTGTAAACACAAGTTATATAGCTTGACAAAGTCATGGCATTTTGTAATGGTGAAAAATATAAGTTGCCAAGTCACTGCTCTGACTTGTGAAGTTGAAAAATATTCAACTTCATGCAAGTTATCTTCCTACCAAATATGAAATACACCTGTCATTAAATAAAGGCTGTATGGGCAAAAGTGTAAAAATCAATTTTGAGCACTGGTGACCTTGACCAAACTGACCCCTAACTCTATCCAAAAGAAGAATACCATGTAAGTTATCTTCCTACCAAATATGAAATACATCTGTCAATAAATAAAGGCTGTATGGGCAAAAGTGTAAAAATCTATTTTTAGCACAAGTGACCTTGACCCACTGATCCCTACCCCAATCAAAAGAATGAATACCATGCAAGTTATCTTCCTACCAAATATCAAATATATCTGTCACTTAATAAAGGCTGTATGAGCAAATGTGTAAAAATCTATTTTTAGCACTGGTGACCTTGACCCAGTTGACCACTAACTCCATCAAAGTTTATGTTTCTATCAATTATAAATAACATCTGTCTATAGAATAAGGTCAATACACCTGTAAAAATGTAAAAATCTATTTTTAACATTGGTGACCTTGACATTGGTAACATTGACCTTGACCCAAATGACCCCTTACTACACCTAAAGAAGGAGGACCTCCCTTGGCATGTTTGTATTAAACTAAGACATCAACTAAAAAATAAAGGCTGTATGAGCAAAAATGTTTATATTTATTTTTTAAACCAGTGACCTTAACCTTGACCCTAGAGACCGCTTACTCCACAAAAAATTAGAGGACCATCAAAGGTATCCACCTACTAAATATGAAAGATATCATTAAAGAAATTAAGCAATTAGGAGAAATTTAAGATAAATCCAACTTGCCGAAATAGGTTAACCAGACAAGGCCCTATTTTCAAAGTGAAAAAAGGGAAATAACTGGGAAATATGGATGACACAGTTATATAACTTGGCAACATCATGTTCTTTGTATTGATAAGTAAGTGTGGAAATTATAAAGCCATTAGTATAGATAGAACTTAAGATATTTCCAACTTGCCGTTTTAGGTTAACCATTATTCATTTTCTAAGTGCTGAAAAGGGCAATAACTTGGTAAATATGAAAGCCAGAGTTATGAAACTTTCCCAGATCATGTACTTTGTATTGATTAGTATGTGTGTAAACTTAGAAGCCATTGGTACAGGTAGAACTTAAGAAAAATCCAACTTGCCATTCTAGGTTAACCTCGTACGGACAGACGGTTCAATTACTATATGCCCGGGGGCATAAAAATCTTTATAAAATTTCAAATTTATATTCACTTGCATTCAAAAAGACTGCATACAACTTGCATGTATTATGCAGGTCTTTCAAATCCTAAATCTTATTTACGAGTAAAAACTTGTAAAAAAGATGTTTGAAGACACTGACAGCTTAATTCAATATTTTAGTTTGTGATAAAATACTTATATGATGTCATTAATATGTAATCAAAAAGCGTTGCGCTAAAATGTCCCTCTGTTTACAGTATCATTGCACATTTGTTACTTTAAATAGATGAATGATCACACAGAACAAATACCACTATCCCATTTTGACAAAGCTATTATAAGTAAGAACTATTGTATTTAAAAGCTGATGGTTAAAAATATGTAAATAAAGATAATCAGGTAAAATGGAAAATTATAAATGATAACAATAAAAGTAAATGTGGCTTGAAAAGGCAGGTTTAACCGTTTTAGTCCCTTCACCTGAACAAAGAAGTTACTCTAAGTACACATGTACTCATGAGATGTTCAAGAAGCTCTATGTTTGAATCATAAACATAAATCAGTGTATATTCTAAAACAACATAAATGCACATTTCATTGACAAAAAAATGTTTAACAGTGATTATATAAAAATACAAAATTAACAAAAAATTCTTGAACGCTGTATTTATTCCATAGTTCCCAGGCCAGGGATATTTAATTTCACTTTCTGAAGACATATAGTGGCTATGCCACCCTATGCCCCTAGTATGCAGCCAGGACAATCTGTTCATCCATGCAGTGTGTTGAGATTTTACACTTTTTTTTTTACTTACAATTTTAAATTTAAACCAGAACTAACCAATCACACAAATTCAATGTGGCAATGATTTACATCAGCTGTTTCAAAATCTTTTTTTGGTCAATACAGCACAACAGTATACAGTAACACATTAGCAATTAATTTACTTCCTTTAAATGTACAATAACTGCTGACAAATTTGTGTACCATAACTACATACATGTACAGAGAAACCATAACTTAGAAACTTCCTAACATTCTATAAATTGAAAATACGACAAGGATTTCCAGGTTTTCAAACATTATGCTAAAGAATCAGCTTAACAGAAAAATCAAGAAGAATTAATTTAACCAACCAAGCGATTATTTTTCAATATACAAAATCTTGCTTTCATGTAAAAAGGACAACTATGGAATAAATATAACATTCAACTAAAATCAAACAATATAATACATGTATTTACAATTATAATCTATTAAAAAAAAAATCGGATTAAAAACAAACAAATTTTTTAAACAAAACTTTGTAAATTTAATAAAAAATACTTTTTAGAAAATATAGTTAACAAAAATAGTTATAAATAAAATCATACTTCAAATATTGAGCATGTATCTGAACATTTCACAAATGAGCAAAATAAGAGGAATTCACAAGAATACATTCAGGACTTTGATCATGTGAGTCATTTGATTAGAAATAAATGAAGAACAATGTTCATTTATTTAATCAAACAAATCTTTGCTTAATGATCTGTATTAAATGCTTTTTATACTTCATAATTTCTCACTATACAGCATACAATGATGTTTAGTCATATATTAAGTATTTACAATTACAATTGAAATTTCAAAGTCACAATAAGTCAGAAAAATTGAACAATTTTCACACACAATAATTAAAAAAAAATAATAATGCACCTCATATGTTCAATGTAGATTGTTCAAGCAGATCTAAAAATTCAAATTACAAGTATGGCACTACGTTTACTATAATACCTGCTGTACAAATAATTACAAATTTCGTTAGATTGTATCAGATTATTATGTTCTATCTAATATGTCTAGCTTTAACACTTTCAGACATTTGTAGAAATGGTAATACATTATTAAAGGTGGCTTTTCATATATTAAGAAAAAGTAATTTTGCTTTAAAGGTTAACGCGTTAAAATAATCTAAAATTTTAAGATATGAACAACCATCTTTAATTGATTTGGTAAGCAGAGAATGGAAGGCAGATTATCAATTACAGAAACTAGTTTCTCTATAAAATTACTCGAACTGAAAACAACATGTACAAAACAAAAACTAAGATAAATGTATCACCATACAGGTAGTCTAAAATGTAATGCTGTACACATGGATTGAGGTCATTTACAAAATTCATTCAATATCAAATTAAGTGTATTTCATAACTAGATAATTTAACATTTCTTGTATATCTACAATTCCTATACATTTTGATCAAGTTGCTCATATTTGTATAATTATGCCACTAACAATTCTATTACTAAACTCTTTAACATTTATATAATATACCTGTGCATATTTTCCCCAAGCATATTGTGTGTATTAAACTAAGAAATACCACCCGAAGGAAACAAAAGTTCATAAAATGTTTCAGTTAAATGTAAAAAACAACAAAATATGTAGCAGTTCATGCCAAAATGTCATTGTAAAAAAAACCTTGCATCTGGCCCTCTTTGATACAGTTTTCACACCTTGTGCAATCCTTACAAAAAAATTCCCCTCAAGTCCACAGGCTTTTTACTTTTATAATAATTAGGGAAAATTTGTATTAGTGCTATTTAATACTTAAACATTTTCAGTTTCATTACTTCACAGCAAACAAAAGTTCAACACGACCAAATTTTTCCTTTTTAGTTCATACAATGGTTTAACACTTTTGTACAAAAGACATTTTTGAGCATTTTGATTATGCAGGTTTATAAAATACTTCCAAATAAAATAAACAAGGAGCTAGTTTGTTCAGAAAGGTGTTCTTCTTTCAAAATTAAGTTAAATGTAAATGTATGTATAAGAAAAAATATTGTAATGAGCAAGACGGAAATTATGCAATAATTTCAATGTATTCAATCTAAATTAATCAAATCATTCAATCAACATATTCAATCAATTAACAGTATAACTGTGTAGATATGGCCAACTTTTGTCATTTTTCATCAATTATACTGGTACCTATTATCTTCATGATGAGAGGTTTAGATGTCTGTGACCACATGTATATTCTTATACAGACTAATGGACAGTCTTACTAACAAATTTTTACAAATACTCAAAAGCTGATAAGTTTGAATACAAAATCTGTAAAACCAATCAAATGGTTAGCATTCATTTCAAGATCTACATTTATAAAGAATTGTGTAAAATGTTTCCTACATAAATGCAAAAAACACTGGGAATTTGTCCAAAAAACAATTGAATTTCTTGAATACCATGTGTTCTGTCAAGATGATACATTTGTATTTTCAAATAAAGTAAAAATAAACCAAGATGACCTATGACCTACATGTAGTTCTAAATTCTTACTTGGATAGGTCCATTCTACTTGACAGGGTAATTAATGGTTAACCTTATTTACAATTGTAAAAATTATTTCATATGAACAACAAATCATACATGTATAGATTAATTATATCATATACTATGAGAAAAAAAACTGATCTATTTTGTATAGGGTTCAGCATTTTGATGACAGGAGACAGGTAGACAAATGAATTACACTTGTTAACTACATGAATATAATACAACAGAATAGTTTTTGTTCATTAATCAGATCAAGTCATATGCGTCACACTTAGGTAGGTTTGTCAGAAGAAGAACAATTTTTTCAAAGTACATGTACATTAAACAATTGTTTCATTGAACTTTTAATCATAATAAGTTCCTGGAGAAAGAACTGTATTATACAAACTTACACAAGTTAGAATAATTTTTCACTGTTAATAATATGGAAATATTACACAAACACAGAAAATAAATAGAAAGTTGTTCCAGACAACTTCACACGTTGAAATCAAAAATCACTGTACCAACTTGATACATTAATCAATGACAAGAATATTTTCTCTCTAGTAAGGAGGTAGGTTAATAAGAGACTTCAGACAGGAGTTTATAAGATAGGATGACACCAGTCAATTAGTACATGTGTAGTATAACAATTCTTAATGTATTACAGTTGTAATTCATTATGATGTAAAGAAGGTTCAAGAAAGAAAAGGTCAAAATTGACATAATTCATCATCTTTGTGCAATAACAGGTTAAAGTCTTCATGATTTCATAGAAGTTAACCAGCTATTGCACTAAGATGACAATATATATAATAAACTTATGCTTAGCTCACTTTTACATCTCAATTTCACTTCTTTGTTTTGTAACTATTTTTATATTAAAATTACCAAAATCATACCAAAATGGTATATTTCTTGTAAATGTTCTTCTTTTTTTATCTTTTACAGTTTTCTGGTATTATGATATCCAATTTCTTCTACACACTAACATATTATTGCATATTAATAGAGAGTCATTGGAACCTAAAGCGTTAAGCCTTTACCACCAGTATAGAGCCAGGCAAGCCTGCACGCCCGTGTAGTCTGACCAGGCTCTATACTGTCAGCTAACAAACTTTAAATATTCAAACTGATATTTCTAAAATTGATAATGGACAGTCTCAAAATGGAAGTGGGACAAGTCCATTTAAAATATTCAGCATGTTCAGGGTTAATACAGATTTCATAAACTCCTTTCATACATCATGCATTATCAATATAAAGCAATATATAAACATCTTTGATGTTTTCCTCTCTGAAGACTATGAAGACTTGAACTATAAAGCTATCAGAACACATCGGTGTAGGAACGTGAACAGGAATATGTCAATTACATTCTTCATAGATTTCTGAAACACAGAAAATATCATATGTTAACATTTGTTTCTTTAAATTACAGAAATAAGGTTATATAATGAATGCCATAAATTTCAATACAGAACTTTTATCTGGGTTGTTTTCTTCAATATGTGGGAAATAACAAAATTTAGCATTTATCTGACAATGCAAATAGGCCTTTTTTTCTCCATTAATAAACCATTTATAAATGTTGATAGAAATACAATTTGTGAGCAAAAAATCTGATAAATTTTCATAGTGAGGTAAAAATAAACAAGAACTGTCGGAGGACAGTAACGCTCGACTATTCGAAAATTTGTCACAAGGGTGTTTCATTGAGTATAATAATGCTTACCTATATGAATACATAAAATTGTCCGAAGGGTACAATCCCTTCAAGTTTCAATACATTCCCTTCAGTAGTTATGGAGATACAAGCTTACATACAAAAACTTAACCAAGAATTTTTAAGTCGAAAAAGGGGCATAATTATGTAAAAAAACAAATCAGAGTTATGGGACTTGTGCCAATCATCTTAGATAATCACAGAGAACAAGTGTATGAAGTTTCAATCCATTCCCTTCAGTAGTTATGGAGATACCAGCTTACATACAAAAACTTAACCAAGAATTTCTAAGTCGAAAAAGGGGCATAATTATGTAAAAAAGCAAATCAGAGTTATGGGACTTGTGCCAATCATCTTAGATAATCACAGAGAACATGTGTGTGAAGTTTCAATCCATTCCCTTCAGTAGTTATGGAGATACCAGCTTACATACAAAAACTTAACCACAGGGACGCCGACGCCAACGCCGACAAATGGGTGACTGCATTAGCTCGATTATTCTGCGAATAGTCGAGCTAAAAATCTGATAAATTTTCATAGTAAGATAAAAATAATTAAGTGAATAATAGCCTTGTTACTATTTAAAGTAAGATAAACAATAAGTGAACCATAGCATCATTACTATTCATAGTAAGGTATACAATAAGTGATCCATAGACTTGTTACTATTTATAGTAAGGTATACAAAATGTGAACCATAGACATGTTACTATTTATAGTAAGGTATACAATGAGTGAACCATAGACTGGTTACTATTTATAGTAAGGTATACAATGAGTGAACCATAGACTTGTTACTATTTTTAGTAAGGTAAACTATAAGTGAACCATAGCATCATTACTATTCATAGTAAGGTATACAATAAGTGATCCATAGACTTGTTACTTCTACAGTAAGGTATACAATGAGTGATCCATAGACTTGTTACTATTTATAGTAATGTATACAATAAGTGATCCATAGACTTGTTACTATTTTTAGTAAGGTAAACAATAAGTGAACCATAGCATCATTACTATTCATAGTAAGGTATACAATAAGTGATCCATAGACTTGTTACTATTTATAGTAAGGTATACAATAAGTGATCATAGACTTGTTACTATTTTTAGTAAGGTATACAAGAAGTAATCCTTAGACTTGGTACTATTTATAGTGAGGTATACCAGAAGTGATCCATAGACTTGGTACTATTTATAGTTAGGTATACAATAAGTGAACCATAGACTTGTTACTATTTTTAGTAAGGTATACAAGAAGTAATCCTTAGACTTGGTACTATTCATAGTAAGGTATACAATAAGTGATCCATAGACTTGTTATTATTTATAGTAAGGTATACAATAAGTGATCATAGACTTGTTACTATTTTTAGTAAGGTATACAATAAGTGATCCTTAGACTTGGTACTATTTATAGTGAGGTATACCATAAGTGATCCATAGACTTGGTACTATTTATAGTTAGGTATACAATAAGTGAACCATAGACTTGTTACTATTTTTAGTAAGGTATACAAGAAGTGATCCTTAGACTTGGTACTATTTATAGTTAGGTATACAATAAGTGAACCATAGACTTGTTACTATTTTTAGTAAGGTATACAAGAAGTGATCCTTAGACTTGGTACTATTTATAGTGAGGTGTACCATAAGTGATCTATAGACTTGTTACTATTTATAGTAAGGTAAATAATAAGTGAACCATAGACTTGTTACTATTTTTAGTATGGTATACAAGAAGTGATCCTTAGACTTGGTACTACATGTATTTATAGTGAGGTATACCATAAGTGATCCATAGACTTGTTACTATTTATAGTAAGGTAAACAATAAGTGAACCATAGCATCATCACTATTTACAGTAAGGAATACAAAAAGTGAGCCATAGACTTGTTACTATTTATAGCAAGCAATACAACCCACCATCCTGTGCAAGATCATCCTCTCCTTCCACAAACTCGTACGTATCTTGTTCCCTGTAATAAAATTTATATTGTACTTTGTATTGTAAATGATATGTAATTTATTCTGATATATACAGTATGAAGGAAGCAGGAAAACTTCCTAATAGAAAATAAGTTTCAAGGAAGCATCAAAAATCACCTACTTGAATGCTACTTAACATTTTAGTTTTCATTTTCACACAGGAGAATAAATCCGTTATATAGAAAACTACAATATGAAATGTATAAGATAATGTTTTAAATGGTCCTATCATTTTCATACAGGAAAAAAATAATGCAACTTTAAAAAATACCAAGTTAGAGGCTGTCTCAATCAACAAATGTTTTATGACTAATAACTTTGCAATGGTATTCAATTAATAGGCATATTTAAATGGTTTGTACAAAACAATAGCCGTAATAACAGTTGACATCACAAATTTTTTCATAGATTTGTTTTCAAAATTATCAATATAAAATTTCTAAAAAGATTTGGGTCCGTTATGAGATCTACATGTTAGAGTTACAATGTACTAGTAAGTTGTTTATAGTATATCGTAATTTATTACAGTATATCACTTCCTTAATTTGGCTAAATGGACTTTTATATCTCTATACATGTATGATCAATGTATACATGTAAGAGTGCTAGTGTTACATCCTGTCCATATCATCTTAATATATTTTTTTCAAATTAGCTAAATGTTGACTTGCTGAGTAAAAGAACTATGATTGTACATAAACTTGGAGTAAGCCTATAAAATAATGATCATTTAAACAATTTATCAACTTACTCTGCTTCTGGTACTGCAGGCGTGCTTGGTTTGTGTTCAGCACTTTTCATAAACTGAAAACAAGATAATATATATATTCCTTAAAAAATATCATTCATTACCATTCTGATAGTATCTTAATATGACAATTTTTTCCATCATAAATAACAGCATTATCTCATTACATTTTAAAGGGATAAAAGATTTAAGACAAAACATTCTTATATAATTATTAATTTACGTATGTTTGTAAATGTCTGATAAAATGGGTTGTACACAAATTATTTAAAATCATTGTTTAATCTACTAAAAACAGCAGCGCAATAATTTGTCTCTAAAACAATTTTGTAGTAAAGTGCAGTTTTTGAAATTTGTGAATCACATTTTGCCAGATACAGCTTTAAACACTTTCATATGTATGAATATTTCATACAATTACTGTAAAACACTAGGTTCGCATCGCAACATATTTATCTTAAAATTAAGATTATTATTATTATAAGTTATGAAAATATTCTGAAGAAAACATTTCTATGAAAATCGATTAATTAGAGTAACGTCATATAGCATTAACAGTTGTAATTAAAATTAATTATTAACTGCTACACGGACATTTCAAATAATTTAATAATTCACATCTGTGCTTTATGTATTTTTAGATGAATTAAAGGGGCTCCACTAAAATTTTTGACATGAATGGACTGGAAATTGGAATGAGATTAGTCTACAATGTAAAAATTTCAAATTTTCAGTTTTTAGGGACTTCAATGGAGCACCTTTAAGCCCTATAATTGCTAATATTTTTTTCAAGCAAACCAACCATATTAGTGTTATAGTAAAATGATACTGCTCTTAACAATAATTATAATGGAACTTAAAAATAAGTTTCTTCAAATGAAGTATTGATAATCATTAAAATAAGGACCTATACAAAACATCCAATCACCAACAAACAAATAAACATTCTATTGACTTCAAGGCCACCAGTCCATGCCAACATGTACATTTCACAATGTGAGCAGTATATTCAATAAATGATTATGAAACATATTCACTATGCATAGATTAGATTGAAATAAACCACTTAGCATATACAATTACAATCAACAAACAATTAAAATTTTTACCAATAATCTGTTATACAGGGTATTAAGGATTTTCGTTTTTTACAAATGTATGCCTAGTTTTAAAAGATTTAAAGAACATTATTGCTGTATTTTCAACAACATATTCATTCCTACTAGACATAAGCGCATTAATTTTATTCATATCTAATATTTTGATATCGCCCATGCTAAATTTCTAAATTATGAGCAGAACATCGGAAACAACTATATATATTATATAAGATGTTTTATACCCAGAGTAAGAAATTAGTTTTGGACTATTTAAACATTTATTGGTCCATATTTGTATATACTGATCCTTAAGTCTTTGCACATATTCAGAAAAAAAGATTTCAAATACTTTTCACAAATTTTATGATTTTTCAGACTATAATCATTATACAGGAAACTTTAATCAACATTATAATAAATTTGCTTAAAGATGACTGTGTAAGCATTTATCAAAATATAAGGACTTCCATCACCACCCATGTAAATAAGGAAATCAAATTATCAAGTGAAAAAAATTTCCCCTCTAGAGAAAAATTTTGACCTTAAGCACTCGATACGCGTTACTGATTTATCTATAATACCATATAAAGCTAAATAATCAAATATACTAACTGCTAAACTGAAATAGTTTTTAATTACAGAAGAATTCTAAATTTGTCAAAGAAAAACCCAAAATTACCCCAAAAACACAACAAAATAACGGGGTTTTTTGAGTCGTTAAGTCAGCTGTGTGTTACAATAGATGCTCCCTTGCACTGATTTAAGCAGAACTCATCATTTAAACATAATAATAGTTATGTTAAATTAAGAATTTTGAAACATCTGCCTGTGATGTGTTGACAACAAACTTAACCCATTACTTCATATACACGCCTTTTAACGCCTTTTTCACCCCTCCCTTTTTGTTGTCTCAAATGATGAAAAAAATGCCTTATTTAGGCCCCAAACACTTGTTTTTGTTTGAGAAATGTTGTTAAAAAAAGTGACCTCTTTTTCGGCGCGGCCCCCCAACCAAAAGATACATCAGGGGGTTGCCAGAAGGGGGATGTGCCCCCTTTTGTTTGGGGGGGTTTGAAGGGGGGCGGAGTCCCCCTCATCGCCAAGAAAATTTTGGACTTGTGAGAGGCTGAAAATGACCCAGGTAAATCATAAGATAACGTGTAACTAACGCTAAAAAGGCTTCGACTTTATTTGAATCCACTGAGAAATTGCAGCACTTTGAAATCAATTTTGATGTTAAAAATCAACGCAAAATAGTGATTTTTGGCAATTTCGAGATGTCCCCTCGTTGCCATGGTAACAGAAAATTTAAGTCTGAGCATGTTGTTGCAAGGGCAATGGTCCAGTCATCATTTGTGCCAAGTTTGATTAGTGTTGAAGCAGTTTTTATAGTATTATAGCAATTTGAACTTGTAACGGAAGACTTTTCAATGAAAACAGCCATTTTTCACAAAATGCTCATGAAGCAATGGGTTAATGAAAAAAATAAAAAAATCTACAAAACAACAATTTTTCATCAAATTTATATGACAGGCCATGTTTAAACATGAAAAAACGCGATTTAGGGTAATTTCAAGTATTTTCATCATTTTCTGTTAACCCATTACTTCATATACACGCCTTTTAACGCCTTTTTCACCCCTCCCTTTTTGTTGTCTCAAATGATGAAAAAAATGCCTTATGTAGGCCCCAAACACTTGTTTTTGTTTGAGAAATGTTGTTAAAAAAAGTGACCTCTTTTTCGGCGCGGCCCCCCAACCAAAAGATACATCAGGGGGTTGCCAGAAGGGGGATGTGCCCCCTTTTGTTTGGGGGGGTTTGAAAGGGGGGCGGAGTCCCCCTCATCGCCAAGAAAATTTTGGACTTGTGAGAGGCTGTAAATGACCCCAGATTGATCATAAGGTAACGTGTAACCAACGCTGAAAAGCATTTGACTCTATCTCAATCCATTGAGAAGTTGCAGCACTTTGAAATCAATTTTGATGGAAAAAATCAACGCAAAATAGTGATTTTTGGCAATTTTGAGATGTCCCCTCGTTGCCATGGTAACAGAAAATTTAAGTCTGAGCATGTTGTTGCAAGGGCAATGGTCCAGTCATCATTTGTGCCAAGTTTGATAAGTGTTGAAGCAGTTTTTATAGTATTATAGCAATTTGAACTTGTAACGGAAGACTTTTCAATGAAAACAGCCATTTTTCACAAAATGCTCATGAAGCAATGGGTTAAGTATACTGGTTGATTTATTTAAGACAAAATTGTGCCAGAAATAGTAGTTGTTATTATCACAATCAACACTAGTGATGAAAGGTCACTGCTTTCTTTTACATAAAGTTTTATACAAATACAATAAGACTGATAATGTTTGTAAAGTAGCATTCAAAGACTGGGTTGACTGCACAGAAGAAAAGCTACAGATTACAAGCAATGAAAAGTGTTATCTATATTGGGAGAAAATACAGTGATTTAAAATCAAAAGTGACAAAAAGCAATGGAAAAGACTGGTTATGCTCAAAAAGTAGCATCCCAGAGTTTAATTCTATAACCAGTCAGGCAAGGTTAATATATAGTTGCCATGGAAACTAGCAAATAGAACATGCAGAGGAGAGCTGTTGTACATCTAACAAGGTCCATGCCTCTGCACCACTGATTGTATGTGTAGACCTTTATAAACAGGGCATCCTCAAGGTTAAAAGGGTCAAGGCATTCAGGTTTTCCATACTGTAGAAAATGATTTCTGTAAAGAACTTTCAAAATATGCTTTATAAAATTATAAATATAATTCTGTAATCATTTAGAAAAATTCAAGGTGAAAGAGGAATGTAAGTATTTACCAATTCAACTGATGTTCATGCATATTAGGTACAAATACCACTGCAATTAGAGCATGGCTGAACAAGGTGTTTTCAATAAGGTAAGGCAATCATCTGTGCTTTTAGGATGCATTCAAAGAAATTTCCTTAAAGAAAAAAACTGCTCCTTCTTGAACTTTTGTCTACGTAATAAACCGTGAAAATTAATCTACTTTAGATGCTTAACTCTGGCCAGATCAACTTGTATTTTCAAAGAGACTTGATTCTTTTTAGAGAACATCTGTACATTTTCCTCATCATTTAAAATAAACTATACATGTCAGCAGTGCTGATATTTCTACTAGATACAATTTTCCCCCCTTTTTCCTAAATAAAAAACCCTTTTTTAACAATAACTTTCACCCCACCATTAAATAATAAATTAGATTGATTTTCCGGGAAAAGTCATATACAACAGCGTGAGTGTTCTTTTTTATCATTTTTTATTTCAAAATGCATTTAAAATTTACAAAGGGCACATGTTAAAATTTAAAAATGTTGTCAAGAGATTCTTTTTGCCTTTTTTGATAAACCAGGTTAATGGGCATTTTTCAATTTACAATTAAAAATTTTTTTTCTTAAAGCTAAAAAAAGGGGTACTATATATCCTTTTAAATTCACTTCATTACAATGAAAAAAAATTAGGTGGTAAATGTACAATGTACTGCTACTTGAAATATTTTAAGTGAAATGGACAAGTAAATTTTGTTCACCATATTGCCAATATAGATATAAATGTGAACAAGTATGGAAACACTAGATAAATATACAAAGACAGTCTAATCAACATTCTTTTCCCTATTTGTATTATATATTTCATCTTGGTTAAAAAACTGCCCTTGCAAATATAGCACAAAACCCAGGACATGACTGCTTAGAAAATCAAAAGAAGAGGAAAACGAAGCTTTTATGAAATCCAGGATGTACACAATAGTACTGCATTATACTGAAGCAATTCTCTCTTTAGAGAATCAGACATTGCAACAGTGTGCACACCTGTACAAGCTATAAGCTTAAACTTGTCTTTGAGAAAATATCTTAAAAATTGGATGAGAATTGATATTCATTCTTTTAAAATGAAGCCAAATTTTTGTTTGATGCAGGGCAGAAACCGTATTAGATGAAGACAGCTTACATTGAGTATATCACTGGTGTCTACCTCGATGTTCTTCTCGTCACAATAACCAACTGCAAATAACATAATCAGTTATTAATAATGCATTAATATAATGAATAAAATCTGTCACTTAAAGGGACTCCACTGAGGTTTTTTTTAAATAATAAAACTGGGAATATTTCAGAAATTTATTTTTCATTTAATGTTGGTCAAGACCAAAAACTTGTGTGACTTAGTTGATCCACGAAAGTAAATTCAATTTTTTTGTCTTTAGGCTTTTGGAACTCAGTGGAGTTCCTTTAAAGAGGATTATTCTACAATGGGCACATTTTTCAGAAGTATTACATATATTGATAAAAACAAACAGAATGACAGAAGATTTATGTGATAAATAATTTTATTTCGTACTGTATAACATAAAAACAATGAATTTTCAGCCTTTGAAGCAGAAAGAAATCATTATCAGATCCAATCTTATCAATCTAGCCTTGTTTTCATTTCAAGAAAATATCAATATCAAAATTAATGCAAATCATATTCCAGGTAGCTTATTTCAATCCCTTATTGTACTTGAAGCTCTGTCAAAATGTCAAAAATGTGAAATAATGAGGTTGTTATAAATTGTTGAGAACAATACAGATTCTATTATACTAGAATATAGCTGCAAAACCTATATCAGACTCAGCTAATGCATTTGACAACTGTGTACTTGTTGAATAGAATTCAGTATTGAATATATTATGCTCTAGAACAATTGGTTATCTGCTAATATAAAGATAATGATGTAATACCAGATCATGTACCTCACGTTTAACAACAATATATATATATATACATATATATATAATTATATATATATATCTTCTGTGGCTTATTGTCAAGCATGATAGTAAGAACTACCTACATAATAGTTTATTTATTTTTAAGCATAAAGAACCTCCATTATGGACCAATTCACATTAATATCAAATGAAATAACATACATAACTTTCAATGGGACGCCATTTTCTGAAAATATGGCTAAAATGCTATATTTTTGTTGACTGCATTTAAACATTTTTGATGTTTTTTCTCTCTCTCAAAGTTCTATATGTATAAATGAAAAATGCAATACTCAGGTGCTATCTTTCTAATGTTTTCAAAGATATATTTTACTGGTACAACAACATGGAGCTGGTTTGTGAAACCAATAATTGCCTGTTACATACATTGAAAAACTCAGTCACAACTTCTTTGCTAATAAACAACACTAAAATAACAACAACAATAGATATCTGACTTTGTGGAACTATTTTGAAGATTTAAAAGAGACGTTACACTATTCTTATAATCTTTATCAGCTTCGTATCTTAACAATTTATTCAACAGTCATATTAAATATATAATGGTTTTCCTAGAAAAATTACACTATAGCTAATGTCTGAATATTAACAGAATGCTGTAACCTGCCATTAAACACAGAAGTAGATTATTAAACAAAACTTAAATTTCATGCATAATTATTAACCTTAAAAAAGATCTTACCTGCAAAGCACTTTCATACAGAAAGCATTAGAAAAATAAATTAAGCCATTTACTTTTAAATATATCAATGAAAATAAAAATCAAAGCATAAATTAAAAAAAGAGATGTTACAGAAATAAAAAAATAATAATTTTTAACTTCAAACAAAATAATTTCAGACATTGATTATTAAGGCATTAAACATTTTGCATTTTAACAATCACACATTTATAACCATTCATAGCAACAATCACAGCAATGCTTTATATACATCCATAATATTATCTATAAGCATTTATCTGGAAACAACAAGCATTTGATCAACCCTTTGACTGCTGACTGCAATAATGACCTATGATAACAACACTATTACAGTGACGAGCCAAACTACATCCGGCCAAAACAGAATAATGGGAAAATTTCTTTTGTTATTTTCTTTTGTTTAAAAAAACGGCCATTGGCCCCTTACTCTGTTGTTATGAACTGAACTCTATTGTTCTCTTTTGTTCTGTTTACAGTTATATGGCCCCCTATCCCAATTAAGTTGTGTGTCCTTACAGCCAGACCAATTAAACTACTATTAATGTTGACTGGTCAGTTTAGTATTTTGATATCAAAATTGACCAATAATAGCTATGGACAGTGTCATTGTCAAAGCAAAACAAGTCCATTATAAAACATTTAGCATTGGTAAGTGTTAATATACAACAATGTATGTTGTAAAGCCAAACAGTTTTTGAAGCCAATCATTTCATGAAAACTATACAAACCTGGACAGATGAAAAGTTACACTTTTGAACATGAAGACTAAATTACAAATTTAAATCATTAATTCTTTTATTTGAGTTTTTTTATGATTTACCTTAAGTTTATGTGACCATAGGCTCTTGTTGTATATAATTATAGAAATATCATGATTTTTGGGCCAATATACAGAGTAAACACATAACTTAAAGTTCAGACTGGAACCTAGTGACCTTATATTATGAACACCTAAAATAAATGAACAGGATTGACCCTAGGGTTTAGGTAGAATGCAGAATCTTAACTTTAAGAACAATTACAGACAAGTGTCCTTGTGCACTAAAGAATCGGTTTTGACAAACTAGTCTTGGTAAAGATAAAAACCTTTATTCATGTACAAAACAGAGCCCTTATTGTAGATATGCAGTGCAGAATGTAAAGTAATAAAATAGTTAAGAACCTGAAAATATTATACAGTGTAGAGCCTGAAGTATAATGATTTCTGTACAATGAAGAACCTAATAATTCATGTGTAAAATTAAGTCAATAATTGTATACTGTAGAACAAATTGTCCATGTACTTGTGTACCATAAAGTTATATTATTTATTATATTATGTACTGTATAGACCCATGAGTCTTGGTACTGTGTACTGTACAGAAAAAGAGTGTCTATGATCAACATGGTGTATGCTGATGTTATAAGAGAGGCCCGGAAATGGGGGAGGGAATAGTTCATGTGCTTTTCTACAGGTTACAGGTTTATCCAATCAAAATCATTTCCTAAACAATAGCTTATATCTATTTTAGACTTGACAAATTCCTAATAGACAGTGATTTTATTTTGCAGTTATATCATATCATATTATAGGCATAAAAGCTAATTACTTGAATTACAGTCATGCAATGTTGGTCATGTTAAAACTATCACAACTAATGTATTGTTTATCAAAACTAGGAAGATATAGATGAGTTTATTGTATTCAGAAAATTTTCTTAAACATTCAGGCATCATTTTTTTCATGCTCATATTGAAGAATAAAGATGCAATGATGCTAGGCTTTACAAGTAGGCTTTGACTCTATATAAATCAATATAGATCAATAGTATGACATTTCTTTAATTCATTCTTTATTTTCAACTGTTGTTATAAAGAGTAAACAAGAGCGATCAGTGATCACATGTGTCGCCTCGTGATGGCCAATTTCATGTTGGGACAAGTTTTGTGACAGACGGACAGTGCACAACTAGACTTGGTACTGATCATTCCTGTAAAGTTTGGATGAAATTGCACCAGTAGTTTATGAGGAGTAGTGGGGACAAGCTTTTGTGTATCTGGCAACACACAGAAAAAAACACCTTTTTATCAAAGGGCCATAACTCTGCCAAAAATCATTCAACCGGAAATCCGTGCAATATGCGCAAGGACTTGAGCTACAGATCAATCCTGTAAAGTTTCATTGAAATTGCATTAGTGGTATAAGAGAAGTAGTCCGGACAAACTTTAAAAATAAAAATTATTAAAGGGCCATAACTCTGACAAAAATCATTGAACCGGAAAATTCTGACAAAATGCACAACTAGACTTGGTACTGATCATTCCTGTAAAGTTTGGATGAAATTGCACCAGTAGTTTATGAGGAGAAGTCCGGACAAGCTTTTGTGTATCTGGCAACACACTGAAAAAAACACCTTTTTTATCAAAGGGCCATAACTCGGCCAAAAATCATTCAACCCGAAAACCCGTGCAATATGCACAAGGACTTGAACTACAGATCAATCCTGTAAAGTTTCATTGAAATTGCATTAGTGGTATAAGAGAAGTAGTCCGGACAAACTTAAAAAAATAAAAATTATTAAAGGGCAATAACTCTGACAAAAATCATTGAACCAGAAAATGCTGACAATATGCACAACTAGACTTGGTACTGATCATTCCTGAAAAGTTTGGATGAAATTGCACCAGTAGTTTATGAGGAGTAGTCCGGACAAGTTTTGTGACGGACAGACAGACAGACAGACAACGGAGAAGTGATCCCTATATGTCGCCACTACTACGTAGAGGCGACACAAAAATTGACCTGTGTATTGTTTGTTTGTTAACATCTTTCTTCTTAAACTCTTACTTATTAAGAACACCAAAATCAAAAAGACCCCTTTCCTGCTTTGTGAAAATAAATTTATTAGCAAAATAGCTAAACCGAAATCTAAATAAAACAATGGTAATAACATTGAACTAAACAAAGACTAATTCTAGGTGTTTTGGAATGGTATTAAGCGTGTCAGGTTTGAGAAATGTATTTATATGGATGAGATATTTACTCAATTCCAGAGGACTTTTAGGTGCATGTTCCAAGCCTGAAAGAATGTAGCATTTTATAAATGTATACAACCATAAATTCCTTAAATCAAATACCAACATTATAACATACCTTTACTACTACCAGTGCAGTTACAAATGTTAAAATAAACTGACCCCTTACCAGTAATGATCACATTTAAGTTTATATCACTTGTTCTGTTTTGGTAAAAATACAGAAAGATGTGAAAGTATTCAAAAATTATTATAAAATGATGTTTGATAAAAAATGTCACTAAGAAATAAAAAGCACTCTACGACAATTATGCAGTTTGTATCCCCTTTTCCACATGTTAATTGAAGTATTGAAATAATAATTGAAATTATGTAGCATCATCATAAGTACTGGTATGTCCAGTGGTGACTACATCAAACCATTACCTAAACTACTGAGGACTTTCATAATTCCAGATTTCAAGGCTTATTACAAATATAAAATTAAAATAGGCATACACTTCCTGTTTTTAAAAAGAATAAATATATTTGATGTATAAATATAACTTTAAAAACTTGCTTTATTTACTGGCAGATATTTTTATCCTCTTATATCTTAATATCAATAACATTGATTGTTAAACTTTAGAGGAATTAGATAGGAATTGTACCTTTCTGAGAGCTCAGGACACGCACAAGCCATTTTCCAGATGGATTATCAATCATACGTATTATATCTACTTCGTCTCCCTCTGTTAAAGCTAGCTCGCCAGTTTTCTCCTTTCCTTTCGCATTACTTTTGACTTTCCCTTTCCCAACTGATGTTGTGAGAAGTTCAGCTGTGACCTGAAAATTCAATCAATCAATTAATCAAATATTCAATCAATCAAATATTCAATCAGTCGTATTATCTTAATAATATGCTCTCATTTCATATTTAATTATCTATTGATACATAAATGTCTTATTATCAAGATAACTTTTTTGTTAATATTTAACCAATTCCCATTCCAAATACATTTTTATTACATGTGCGAATACATTATAATCTATATCTCTTTTCCTAAAATCTATAAACATTTCAAATTCTGGCCAATCTTTTAAATCCTGCCAACCACTTCTTTCATGTTCTTAAACTGTCCATCAATTTGTTTTTCAATAACATGTATAAATTGAAAAAGGTGGTAGGATTTAAATATCATCACCTTTGTGCAGTAATGGATTAACCTGTTACTGCACTAATAAGTTTTGTTTGTTTGTTTGGGTTTTACATCATACTGACACAGTATAAGTCATATGGCAACGTAAGCTTTACTGGTGGAGGAAGACCTAAGGTGCCATTCCATGCATTATTTCAGGCACATACAGGCACCTGTGTAGAACCACCAACATTCTGTAAGCTAGCTGGATAGCTTCCCCACATGAAAGAATCCAAATTCAAATCTACAACATTGAGGGGCAAGTGGTTAAAAGTCAATGACCTTAACCATTTAGCCATGGACACCCCACTCTAATAAGGCCATGATATGCTTTTTTTAACAAAATAGAATTAAATAGTTAAGTTCAACATAAGATTGCTATGTCTTAACTATCAGCTATAACATGTGTGATGTATTCAGTGGTTGCAGAGATAGATCTTGCATGGAAAACATATTTTTTTTACATCACAAAGATATATAATTAAATCCAAATCAGTGCTTGAATCATAGGTCTTGTCACAGTGATCTAAAATTATGGCCCAGGAGACTTGTTTGATGTTTCTTGTGAATTACTCTAGTCATTTAAGATCCAAACCCTTATCAAAGTATTATGAAGATGTTAACCCTACCTTTCATTGAAAAGTCAAGCTAAACAACAGCCGTCACAAGTGTGGACAAGTGTTGTTTTGTCCCAAGCATGAATCAAATTTGTCCATAACGTTTAGCAAATTATGTAAGAATTCAATAATTTGGTGGGACATTAACAAGTATTCTAAGTTCTAAAGGGGGGATGGAGGTTCAAGTAAGTGTACCACAGTTCTAAATCTTGTCGAATTCATGATGAAAGCATATCAATTTCATCTAAAGCCAATTTTATAATCATTTTCTTCCAGTTTATTTTGCTGTTACCTCAAATAAAAACTTTAAGGAGAAGAATTCTATAAGACTTGTCTTTCATTCTCATCCTTTTCCATTGTGTAAAAGTGTTTTGTTTGTTATGTATTTGTATGTACATTATATACTTTCGGGAATAAATATGTTTAAACCAAATAAAAACTTAAATATATAAATTCAATTCGTACCTTATGACCTAGTACTTTCAGTAATTTCTTCAACTCTTTCTCCTTGTTTTTCAGCATTTCCTGAATGTTCATAAATATAAACCAGTTTTAAACGTTATCAATGCATTTACAAACTATTAAATATTTGTTCCCAAATATTGATCTGTATTTAAATAGCTTTGGTAATGGTATTTTTTACATATAAAGAAAGTCTCAAAATAGAAAATAATATATCTGTTTTTTTTTTATTTTTATATTCAACATATGGCAACTTTATCAGAAGGGAGATATTATCGTGCAAAATGGTGACAACGAATTAAATCAAAATAAGACCATGACCAATCTAGAATCCAATCGTCAGCTCTGCATCGCTGTTGGCTATAATCCCAAATAACTCTTAATATATATTTATACTTCCTCAAATCAGGCCAATACTTATAAGTTGCAAGAAGCAAACTTGAAAATTATTTATATAAGTTGCAAGAACTTGTTTCACAATTGAGCTAAAATAAATACGTTTACACTAAACTACTATAATCTCACCTTCTCTTCTTTTTCTTTCTTTTTCCTCTCCTTTTCCAATCTCTTCTGTTCCTTGGCATCTACGATTTGTTGATTAGTCTTCTCATTTTCACTCTCAGATCTTTCTACTGTGGGAGCTTTAGGTAGTGGAGTTGATGGTGGCTCAGGTGGTTTAGGACCGACTGGTGGGGGCACATCTAGGCTAGACTCTGGTAGAGGCTCCCTAATATATATATAAGTTGATAAGTAATGATATATTTAATGATACAAGAGGACAGACCTACCTTTCCTAGATTTCTCTGAGAAAGTATCCAGAAATAACAATTTACCACAGAATTGTTATTGAAATATGCGTTCAATTAAAATAAAAGAAATAGCAAACTCAGCACTTGTTTGTCAAGTAATGTGAACAACCCCAATAATTTGTTAAACAATTACTTATATCTAACCAACCAGAAACACTAATAATCAAAGACAATGCAGGAAATAATCATAATTTATCTGTTAGTTGAATCCTGAAAATTTCTTGAAACAAGCAAACAAGAGGGCCATTATGGCCCTGAAGTCGCTCACCTGTATATAGGCCCCTGGAGCGGGGCCAGTTTAAACCCCAGGGCTTTTATTTGAACAAACTTGGTAGACACCCATTAGAAGATGTTTCATGCTAAACATCTAAGGTCTAGCTCGTTGGGTTTTTTAAAAGAAGATTTTTTCAAGTTTTTTCTTTACACATATAGATAAAAACAATGACACACCTGGGGCAGGGCCAGTTTTGACCCCAGGGCTTTTATTTGAACAATCTTTGTAGACACTTACTAGAAAATGTTTCATGCTTAATATCTAAACTCTAGCTATTCGGGTTTTTTCAAAGAAGATTTTTAAGTTTTTGCTATACACATATAAGGAAAATCAATGTCCCCCGGGATGGGGCCAATTTTGACCTCAGGGCTTTTATTTGAACAAACTTTGTAGACACTCACTAGAAGATGCTTTGTGCTTAATATCTTAACTCTAGCTATTTGAGTTTTTTTAAAGAAGATTTTTTAAGTTTTTGTTATACACATATAAGGAAAATGAATGACCCTCCGGGCCGGGCCAATTTTAACCCCAGGGCTTTTATTTGAACAAACTTGGTAGACACTCACAAAAAGATGTTTCATGCCAAATATCTAAGCTCTAGCTCTTTTGGTTTCTTAGAAGAAGATATTTAAAGTTTTTTCTTTTGGTTGCCATGGCAACCAGAGTTCTGCATGGAATTAAATTCTTTGAACAGTTTTCAAAGGTGACCACCAAAGGAACATTCCTGTGAAGTTTGGATGAAATTGGCTTAGTGGTTTATGAGGAGATGTCATTTAAAGTAAAAGTTTACGGACGACGGACGGACGAAGGACGGATGGACGACTGACGGACGCTGGACGAAAAGCGATCACAAAAGCTCAACCTGTCACTTTGTGACAGGTGAGCTAAAAACTAAATTTCATTTTCTTTTACTGAATTACCTAACTAATGGTTACACAAGGTTGAATATGATGTCCCCATCTTGATTTGGTAGACAAAAATCATTTTTGTTTTTAAGATGTCACAAAGTTACAATGTGGGCTATTTTCAAGCCTCAGCAATTAAGTTATGGAACTTCAAATTGATATCTGTTATATCATGGACTAAAAATACATGTAAGTATGAAATAATAGAATGGGCATTAATTCTAAAATTACGTGAAACAGAATTTTTATTCTTATACACTTCAAGACAGATAGATGTTTGGACAGACAGATATAAGACGTAAATGGCATATGGGGCCATTTGTTCTATTTAATGCAGGGTCATTCGCCTTATGTTCTTTTGTTACGGAATGAACTCCATAATGTTCTCTTTTGTTCTGTTTACAGTCAAATGGCGCCTATTTACTTTTTGTAGTACGGACAAACAATCTGATGGACAATGCCAAATCTATATCCCTCTGCCCTTATTAATAAATGTAAAAATGACTCACTCGGGTAATTCTTCGTACATTTCATCCTCAACTAAAACTTCATCCTCAGGTACCTACAATAAATATAATTATGATTAATATTGCATCTCTATAGATGTTCTGTCAAAAAAGTCTTGTAATCTTATAAAATAATATAATATATTTTATCATTGTGACAGAGATGTTACAATTCTTCTATGACATATAAGTATGTATATGTAACATAATGATCTACCAGTTATACTTATTACTGAAGTTGGGGAACGGCATAAGGTGCTTTATTTTTGTATAAGATTAATTATATTTTATACTTCTATGGTTTCTGTATGTACATATTCCGACTTGTAATACGCACAGGTGCTTTATCATATATCTATCACCATAATGAGGAAGAATCAACATATGGCAAAAAGACAATTAAAGAACGGAGACATTTTTTACTGTGAAATGCTGTTTATTAAAAATAAACACAAGTTGCACATGGTTCCATGTAAAAAACAAAAGGAAGTATAATTCATTTTCTTTTTTCATCTTAAAGCTAAACATTATTATTTGCACACCCCCCCCCCCCCCAACACACACACTCTAGGGCCCAGATAATTACACAAAAGTTTGAAATATTTCTTACCGCTTCTTCTACACCAACATCATCATAAGTTTCTTGATCATCTAACAACTCTGAAACATAAATGACATAATATTGTAACATACATGTATTTTTGAAATATAAAGAACATAATCATCATTGATTCTGTTTAAAAGCCACTCTTTCTGTTGCAATTTTGTACAATTTTTGTATAAAGCCACAAAATCCCATTGGAACTGTTACTGTCATAAGTATGGGGGTCCTGCAAAAAACTCTCTCACTAATGGGCTATTTTTGACTGCACTTCAAACAAATGACGGACAAGGTTCATCTTACACATGACATATATTATATTGTGTGGTATTCTTAACTTTGTCAGCTTTCTCCCATGAAAGAATTCAGTGTCTATTATTGTATTACAATTTAAGCTGAGGTGAAGAGCATGTACTGAGAAGCTGTACTTTTTTTTTCTACATTTATTAACATTTTCAAGAATTCATAACACCAGATTTGTTATTTGTTAATGTCAACTGTGTTATGGTAGGGCATTATTACAATTATAATTCTTATTGTTGATCAATAAATCAGTATTAGCTAGTTGATAATTTTGGGGGATTACTTGTGAGATAAAATGTCAGAATCAATGCAACAAGGAAGAGAATTATTTGATTTATAAACTTATAATATCTATATAGATGATTGCAGATATATCCATAAATATTGTAATATTTTATGGATAAGTAGTATTTTGTGCACATTATATTTTTGGTCTTGAGTATAATAATGGATCCCCATAACACCAAACCCCAATAAAATTTGAATCAAAGTATTTTCATCATCTAATACTCTATATATATTATGGCATTTAAAACTGTTCAATTATCATTCTTTCAGAAACCAAAACAGAAAATCTTGACGGAGTAGTTTTCAGTTTGTTTTTCTCATCAAACTTTCTCATTAAAAAACCCTTTACATCTACTTTATCCCTACACTTGAAAACTTCCCCATTTTCTTACAAACACAAAACAGGTGATAGGGATACATTAAAACATTTAAAAACTTTCCTTATTTCTTTGTTGTCATACATGTATATACATGAATCTTTTCATTTGCAAGTTGACAATTATTTGGGTTGTTATTATATCTCACACGATTAAATCAAATTTCACATATCTTCAAGACATTTTTGTTATAAAGATGGTTAAACTTTGTATCACAGTGGTTACATTTGAATCATCCTATTACAATGTCAATTAAGGAAACTTATAACATTGTCAAACAATCTTCCTGGTTTAATCTACTTCAAATCTACTTCATCTATTATTATTTTATCACTCCCAGCTTTTGATCTCAACTAGTCTTGATACATCTTAAATAAGAGCTGTCACAGGAGACAGCAAAGCTCGACTAATAAAATACTGGACGCAGTAAGAAAGACAAAACTATGAAAGAAAAATCAATTATGTATAATTATGTATTAAGTTATAGTAAAAAAATGACAATTGTTAACATAAATTCCAAGATCAAGGGGAATAATTCTGGAAATAGTCATGCTAGAGTTATGACCCTTGTCACACAACATGTGTGTAATGATAAGAAATATATATTTGAAGCTTGAAGTAGATACATTAAAAAGTAAAGAAGTTATTATATTTCTTATATAAAATCCTAAGTTCAAAGAGAGATAAATCTGTAAATATTGCTTCAAGAGTTATGAACCGTGTCACATAAAATGTAATTGATGATAAGGAATAAGTATTTGAAGTTTGAGGTAGATACACCTTTAAAACTAAAATAGTTATAGTAAACAAGAATCTGTGTTTGATAAACACAAATGTCCCCGCGCTCACTGTTGTCAATAATTTAACTTTAGAGAGTGAAGTAGCTAATTTGTATGGAAGAAAACCAATCATGTGTAGAAATCTGTAATTGGCACCCTTGACCTTGACCAACTGACCCCTACCTCTATCAAAAGGAAGAATATCATGCAAGTTATTTTCCTACCAAATATGAAATAAATCTGTCAATAAATAAAGGCTGTATGGGCAAAAGTGTAAAAAATCTATTTTTAGCACTGGTGACCTTGACCCAACTGACCCCTAACTCCATCCAAAGGAAGAATATCATGCAACTTATTTTCCTACCAAATATGAAATAAATCTGTCAATATATATAAAGGCTGTATGGGCAAAAGTGTAAAAATCTATTTTTAGCACAGTTGACCTTGACCCAACTGACCCCTAACTCCATCCAAAGGAAGAATACCGTGTAAGTTATCTTCCTACCAATTATAATACAAATCTGTCAATAAATAAAGGCTGCATGAGCAAAAGTGTAAAAATATATTTTTAGCACTGGTGACCTTGACCCAACTGACCCTACCTCCATCCAAATGAGAATACCTCAATTTTATGTTCCTACAAAATATACAAGACATCTGTCGATAGAATAAGGTTAATACACCTGTAAAAGTGTAAAAAATCTTTTAACATTGGTGACCTTAACCCAAATGACCCCTTACTAAAGGAAAAGGAAGAGGACCTCCCTTGGTATGACTATTATAAACATGAAAGACATTAACTTAAAAATAAAGGCTGTATGAGCAGAAATGTTTAGATTTATTATTTTACACAAGTGACCTTGACCTAGAGACGCCTTAAGCCACAAAAAATTAGAGGACCGTTAAAGGTATCCACCTACAAATATGAAAGATATCATTAAATAAACTAGAACTATCGCTGAATGCGATTAATACCCCCACCAATGTCCTTGACAGAAGACCACTTGGAAAGGTGGTTAAGGGAATAACTTATGTGGCACAAATACATAAAAAGAAATTATCTCTGGTGAAAAAAAGACTAATTGTACAGGTAATAGTATAAATATATATTATCAAATCATGTTCGAAACAGTTACAAATAACCTTTCATTTTCCCAATGTATTAAACATTTTATTTATAAGTCAATTTTTGACCTTCAAGTGTGGCCTTGACCTTAATCTGGCACAAGGGTAAGATGGGTTTTGCACATCACCCAGTTTGGTTGAACATTTGAGTAAAGTTTGAAGAAAATCCTTCCATTAGTATAGAATTTATAGAGTAGACACAATATATTATCTAGTATTGGTTGTATGTAAATTTGAAGACTTAAAAAGGGGCATAACTTTGTCAAAAAGCAATACAGAGTAATGAAACTTTACCTGCATATCTTATTTGCCACACCTCATTTATCTTTTAAGTTTCAAGCAAATGCCTGCGCTAGTTTCAGAATTATTCAAGTACATGTTAAAATTTAAGAACATTTTCTAAGTCAATTTTTGACTTTCAAGTGTGACCTTGACCTTAAGCCAGCACAAAGGTGACATGGATTCTGCACATAACCTTGTTGAGGTGAAAATTTGAGTAAAGTTTGAAGAAAATTCTTCCATTAGTATAGGATTTATAGAGCGGACACAACATACCCGGTATTGTCTAATATTTGATTGTATGTAAATTTGAAGACTTAAAAAGGGGCATAACTTTGGTAAAATGCAATACAGAGTTATGAAACTTGAACGAACAGCATATTGGAATTGTGACCCTTCAAAAATATTTTAAGTTTCAAGCAAATACCTTTTCTAGATTTAGAAATATTCAAATAAATGTTAAAATTTAAGAATATTTTCTAAGTCAATTTTTGACCTTAAAGTGTGACCTTGACCTTAAGCCAGCAAAAGAGTGACATAAGTTCTGCACATCCCCTGGTTGAGATGAAGATTTGAGCCAAGATTGAAGAAAATCTTTCAATTAGTGTAGGACTTACAGAGCGGACATGACATACTGTGTAATATTACATTGTTCTATATTTGACCTTCAATTATGACCTTGACCTTGAGCTGACACATGGGCAACATGGATTCTGCACATCCCCTTGTTGAGGTGAATATTTGAGCCAAGTTTAAAGAAAATCTTTCAATTAGTGTAGGACTTACAGAGCGGACACAACATACTGTGTAATATTTGATTGTTTGATATTTGACCTTCAATTGTGACCTTGACCTTGAGCTGGCACATGGGCAACATGGGTTCTGCACATCCCCTTGTTGAGGTGAACATTTGAGCCAAGTTTGAAGAAAATCTTTCAAGTAGTGTAGGACTTACAGAGCGGACACGACATACTGTGTAATATTTAATTGTTTGATATTTGACCTTCAATTGTGACCTTGACCTTGAGCTGACACATGGGCGACATGGGTTCTGCACATCCCCTGGTTGAGGTGAACATTTGAACCAAGTTTGAAGAAAATCTTTCAAGTAGTGTAGGACTTACAGAGCGGACACGACATACTGTATAATATTTGATAGTGTTTGATATTTGACCTTCAATTGTGACCTTGACCTTGAACTGACACATGGGCAATATGGGTTCTGCACATCCCCTTGTTGAGGTGAACATTTGAGCCAAGTTTGAAGAAAATCTTTCAATTGGTATAGGAGTTATAGAGCGGACACGAAAATGGAGACGGACCGACCGACGCGACAAAGCGAATCCATTATAGCAGCCCCCCCTTTTTGTGGTGGGGGTATAATTAAGTAATTAGGTGAAATTTTTTGATAAATCCAACTTGGCGGAATAGGTTAACCATACAAGGCCCTATTTTCAAAGTGATAAAAAGGGAAATTACTGGGAAAATGGATGGCACATTTATATAACTTGGCAATATCATGTACATTGTATTGATAAGTAAGTGTGAAAATTATTAAGCCATTAGTTCAGATAGAACATAAGATATTTCCAACTTGCCGGTTGAGGTTATTCATTTTCTAAGTGCTGAAAAGGGCCATAACTTTGTGCAAATGGAAGCCATAGTTATGTAACTTGCCCAGATCATAAACTTTGTATGGATTAGTAAGTTTGTAAATTATGAAGCCATTGGTACAGGTAGAACTTAAGAAAAATCCAACTTGCCGCTCTAGGTTAACCTCGTACGGACAGACGGATGGACGGTTCAATTACTATATGCCCGGGGGCATAAAAATAACATTTTTCAAGTAAAAAAATCTAAGTTTATGTGGACATAATTCTTGCAATATTGGTGCTAGAGTAATGACCCTTGTCGCATAACATGTGGTTAATGATAAGATACATATATTTGAAGTATGAAGTTGATCCTTAAGAAATAAATAAGAGACAGTAAACAATAACATTTTTTAAGGAAAATTCTAAGTTCAAGGGGAGATTAATCTAAAAATATTGGTGCTAGAGTTATGAACCTTGTCACATAAGATGTGATTGATAATAAGGTACATATATTTGAAGTATGAAGTTCATCCCTTAAAAAATAAAGAAGTTACAGTAAACAAGAGGGCCATGATGGCCCTGAGGTCGCTCACCTGTATATAGGCACCCCCGGGCCAATTTTTACCCAAGGGCTTTTATTTGTTTATTTGAACAGACTTGGTAGACACCCATAAGAAGATGTTTCATGCTAAACATCTAAGTTCTAGCTCATTGGGTTTTTTAAAAGAAGATTTTTAAAGTTTTTACTATACACATATAGTTCAAAACAATGACACCCCTGGGGCAGGGCCAGTTTTGACCCCCGGGCTTTTATTTGAACAAACTTTGTAGATATTTACTTAAAGATGTTTCATGCTTAATATCTAAACTCTAGCTATTTGGGTTTTTTCAAAGAAGATTTTTAAGTTTTTGCTATACACATATAACGAAAATCAATGACTCCCCCCCCCCCGGGCGGGACCAGTTTTGACCCCAGGGCTTTTATTTGAACATACTTGGTAGACACCAATTAGAACATGTTTCATGCTAAATATGTTAGCTCTAGCTCTTTGAGTTCTTTAAAAGAAGATTTTTTAAGTTTTTACTATATGCATATAGGGAAAATCAAATACCCCCTTGGGCGGAGCCAATTTTGACCCCAGGGCTTTTATTTGAACAAACTTGGTAGACACTCATTAGAAGATGTTTCATGCTAAATATCTTAGCTCTAGCTCTTTGGGTTCTTTAAAAGAAGAATTTTTAAGTTTTTACTATATGCATATAGGGAAAATCTATGACCCCCTGGGGCGGGGTCAATTTTGACCCCATGGCTTTTATTTGAACAAACTTGGTAGACATTCACTAGAAGATGTTTCATGCCAAATATCTAAGCTCTAGCTCTAATGGTTCTTAAAAAGAAGATTTTTTAAGTTTTTACTATTATGCATATAGGGAAAATCAATGACCCCCGGGGTGGGGCCAATTTTGACCACCAGGCTTTAATTTGAACAAACTTGGTAGACACTCACTAGAAGATGTTTCATGCTTAATATCTTAGCTCTAACTCTTTTGGTTCTTTAAAAGAAGAATTTTTAAGTTTTTACTATATGCATATAGGGAAAATCAATGACCCCCTGGGGCGGGGCCAATTTTGACCCCAGGGCTTTTATTTGAACAAACTTGGTAGACATTCACTAGAAGATGTTTCATGCTTAATATCTAAGCTCTAGCTCTTACGGTTCTTTAAAAGAAGATTTTTAAGTTTTTACTATATGCATATAGGGAAAATCAATGACCCCCGGGGCGGGGCCAATTTTGACCCCAGGGCTTTTATTTGAACAAACTTGGTAGACACTCACTAGAAGATGTTTCATGCCAAATATCTTAGCTCTAGCTCTTTGGGTTCTTTAAAAGAAGATTTTTTAAGTTTTTACTATATGCATATTGGGAAAATCAATGACCCCCCGGGGCGGGGCCAATTTTGACCCCAGGGCTTTTATTTGAACAAACTTGGTAGACACTCACTAGAAGATGTTTCATGCCAAATATCTAAGCTCTAGCTCTTAGGGTTGTTTAAAAGAAGATATTTAAAGATTTTTCTTTCGGTTGCCATGGCAACCAGAGTTCTGCATGGAATTAAATTCTTTGAACAATTTTTAAAGGTGACCACCAAAGGAACATTCCTGTGAAGTTTGGATGAAATTGGCTCAGTGGTATATGAGGAGATGTCATTTAAAGCAAAAGTTTACGGACGGACGACGGACGGACGGACACCGGACGAAAAGCGATCACAAAAGCTCACCCTGTCACTTTGTGACATGTGAGCTAAAAATAGTATTTTTTAAAGAAAATTCTAAGTTCAAGGGGAGATTAATCTGAAAATATTGATGCTAGAGTTATGAACCTAGTCACATAAGATGTGGTTGATGATAAGGAACATTATTTGAAGTTTGAATTTGATACATTAAGAAATGACAAAGTTACAGTGAAAAATATTTTACTGCACCAAAACTTTAATCTGAAATCTGGACGCGGACGCCGACGCGAGTAGGATATATAAATCATAAAAAGTACATGTTCTGCCATGTATAAATCATAAATAAGTACAATATTCTCACATATATAAATCTTAAATAATTAAGTACAACCATGTTCTCACATATATAAATCATAAAAAGTACATGTTCTGCCATATAAAAATCATTAATAAGCACATGTTCTCCGATACAAATAATTCATAAATAAGTACATGTTCTCTCATATATAAATCATAAATATGTACATGTTCTCTCATATATAAATCATGGATAAGTAAATGTTCTCCTACATGTAAATCATGGATAAGTAAATGTTCTCCTACATATAAATCATGGATAAGTAAATGTTCTCCCATATATAAATCATAGATAAGTAAATGTTCTGCCGTATATAAATCATAAATAAGCACATGTTCTGCCATATATAAATCATGGATAAGTAAATGTTCTGCCATATATAAATCATGGATAAGTACATGTTCTGCCATATATAAATCATAGGTAAGTAGATGTTCTCCCATATATAAATCATAAATAAGTAAATGTTCTGCCTTATATAAATCATAAATAAGCACATGTTCTCCGATACAAATAATTCATAAATAAGTACATGTTCTCTCATATATAAATCATAAATATGTACATGTACATGTTCTCCCATATATAAATCATGGATAAGTACATGTTCTCCCATATATAAATCATAAATATGTACATGTTCTCCCATATATAAATCATGGATAAGTACATGTTCTGCCATATATAAATCATAAATAAGTAAATGTAAATCATAGATAAGTAAATGTTCTGCCATATACAAAATATGATAATTTCTATCCATATATGATAAGCATGATAAGCTAGCATCATATAATGGTCATGTGATGATAAACAATTTTAACAATGCTTGTCATTGATGAGATTTTATACATAACCAAAGTATGTGAATTACACCATAAAATTAAGTGTATCTCTCATTTATACATCATTTTAAAAAGATGAAAACTTTTCTTTTCCATATACAAAAACATATGAATAATGCATAATGTACTTGAATACTTCATAAAATATAATTTTATGAATTATATGTACTGCAACAATTCATATATGACAACTGAAAATTGGAATAAATTATGCTTCTGAAAATATCTTTCCCATAAACTGAAGAAAAATAAGAATTTGTAGAGAATCATTAGAAATGATTGTCATAATCATAAATATTATATAATTTTTGTCAAAATGATGGTGATGTATGTAAACTATATAAGCCATGCAGTCTGTTTAGGCATTTTGTAAAAGATAAATAAAAGTTTCATAAGCTAACTATTGAATATACTGACTAAATAAACCTGTATTCAAATATTTACCCTTAGGTTGGTCTCCTAGACAAGTATTTGACAATAAGTAAATTATAAACAACTACCTTCAAATGAAATCACATTATTAGTATATGTACATTTTATACCATACATGATTAACTTGAATTTACTGAAAAATTTGAATTTACTGAATTTGTGAAAAATCTGGGTAAAATGAACTTTTATAATAGAAACTTTAAGCTAAGGATATTTCAAAGTGTTTAATAATCAATAAATTTAACTAATAAAATTGAAATGGTTGACTTAGAATCTCTTACCCATCAATAATGTGGATTTAGGTTACAAGCAAGGGACTTTGAATTTTTTTATTTGATTGCATGAGTAATCTATCTTTCCAACTGATCTTGGCCTGCACATAGGTGACATGGGTATATTCAGTCACCACCTAGCAGGCGGAGTTATAAACAGATGAAACTTATTTCATCAACAATCTATCATTTCATAGACTGAGATAGATAAAGCTCACCTGGAGGTGGGGCAGGAAGATCAGCTGTAGAATCAGAGACACCGTTAAAACCAGCCTCATTCCATTGTGCCTCACTCAGCTCCTCATCCTCGGTCATAGGCTCACTGGAAATATGATACACCATAATCATAGTAAGAGGCTAAATAATCATCTTAAAATGATATTTAAATTAATATATATATCATTGTTAGATTAAATCTGATATAAACCATGGCCCAGGAATGAAAACAATATTATGCTAGTGTAAAAATATTAAATATTTGCATTATACAAACAATATTGAACTTGCGTAATATGATTTTATTCATCTCATTCAATAAATGTATTTTTGAACTAGTACACTTATTCAATATATATTCTATGTATCTTTATCTTTGATGTTTAACTAAGTGACATTCCATTGACATGAAATAATATCACAAGACCTTATCTAACATGTCATGTTTAGGTTGATCCAATATGCTTTGTTGACTTTTTTTTAAAACAGCTAGTGCAAGTGATGAAAAATACCCAACATTCATAAAAATCAATTAAACTTAAATAATTATGATGGACACATTAATTAATTCTAATTCTAACTTCATTTAAACTTGTTAAACATTTACACATTAAATTGTCAAATATACAGTATCTATTGTAATCTAAAGGCTTTTAAATGTTGTTGTTGTAATATCTGTCAGATACATGCATGTGCAGTGTTTTCATTTGTTATTAAATTATGCATAAATCATAACAAATTAAATAAGTAAAACATAAATATTTCAATCATTCAAACAAATCATAAATTGTGGTCATGAGGACATGATCATAACAATATTGTTGTTTACAACTTTATTTAAAATATGCAAGTTTGTCCACACTCGTCTAATTTTTTGTGAAGTCAATTGACTTTTACCCGATTTTCAACAGCATACTGACAAATAAAACTAATTTATGACCAGAATTAAATGTTCTGTGTGGATAATCCAATAAATCTACATTAATTCATGACTAAAGATAAAGTAAATGTAAAATTAAGTACCATGCAGAATAAACAAAACATTTTCATACACATTATTTACAAACAAAACTTAAAAACTATAATAATAATCTACTATAATACTGGAATTTCTAGCTTAAACAAAACATTTTAGATACAAATATATTTACATACATGTATCAAAGTATATAAACAATGAAATAACCATACAGCAGTCTTTCACATAACCCCTAAACTTAAATTGCATGAGTGCATAGCAAGCAGTGCAGTGGGAAAACAAAAATCATGAAAAATTCCCCTTTCTCTAAATACATTGAAATTAATCTTACTAAACAATCAACATATTTTTACTATGGTAACAGGTTGTAAATTATACACAAATGATTATATCTTTGTCAACACAAACTACAAAATGGTAAAAAAAAAAAATGAAAATAAAATTTTCATGGTAATAATCTAAAATGTGACATGCTTTATTTTCTAATAAAATAAATATCATAATGCAAATATATATATAACAGGAATTGCTTTAACATGGTTTAACCAGATCTTGATATCAATTGTTAAAGACATAATTATATATTGTTTACACTTGTTGAATTTTTGTGACCCCTGGTCTAAATTGTTCATGATAATGTAAGATTCTGAAATTTCAATATTAAAGCACCTTTCTCAGAGATTAATATGACAGGTGCACCCTCACCACACTTAATAACTTCACAGTGTTCATCATTTTTAGGGAAATTTTCAAATTATGTACTGATAGAACAGCCAACAGTGCAGACCGTGATCAGATGGCATGGGTATACTGGCTGATCTTGGTCTGCACTGATCACAAGGGTAGAATTTTTTACCACCTCAGGCTAAGGGTTATTGACAGTTTATAATTGACACACACAAAAACAATAAATAACTGGTAAGCTCACTATAAATTTTTATATTTTTTTCTGTATCTTTATAAAATAAAGCACTTCAGGATCAAGATCTGGTTTTACATGTACAGGTACTTTGGGGTTGGATGTATGTTGCCAAATACTCACATTAAAGGCACTTTTTTACTTTTGCGTGGCTTAGGTTTGGGGCGGTTGCCCCTGAAAGGTTTACAAACATACAAGCAATTATTATCAATATTACATTTACAATTTAAATTGTAGAAGCAGAATTAAAAAATAGTAAAAGCTTTGTTTAAATTCTGGCATATTCTACAGCAAAGAATACAACTACCATCACTACTACAATGATATTTCTTGTCACTTTTTGTCTATTTATTATACCAGTCTATCAAGTGATTTTATGTTGCTTCTATCATTGTCATAATTACTGCTAGGTGTACATAAAAACATGACAGATGAAGAAAATTTAATAAGATTGACTGATTATTAATAATTGTTTAAAACAGTCTATTTAGAATTCAATCACCTGTAGAGAAGTATGGGATGATTGCAGAATTTTTCAAACCAGCATCCACTAAAGATCATGATCCATTACACATATGACAATCAATGAGATTTATAAGACAATGAGATTGTATAAAGACAGTTTCTTTGTTAAAAATGCACTGGTATGAACCTATAATCTAGACCCAAGGCATTGATTAAATTCTTGTTCCATCCCAATGTATCTTTTATCTTCACAAACTTTTTCAATGATTACTTGCAATTGTTTTTCTCCACTAGCCAAAACTTTTAAATTATTCCTAACCTGCCAATTATTAACCTATCTAGAGTACATTAACACAGAAATACCAATATTCACACCTGTCAAAACACAATAAAACAGAATTTGTAAAGAAGTTATGAAAGTTTTGATACCATAGTTGTAATTTATCAGGCAGTATTATTCAATCATACAGGTATAAACATTTAGTTACTGGCAGACAATCAAAGGAAGCTAACATCAAAGTAAATATATCATAATTCTCTATCATCTACCTTTATTACCACGAAACAATTATCACAGAGGTTCTTTTTTATTAATTTCATTGTTAAATATTTTCAAGTAAATGTTATCAATACATGATGCTGTTTAGGTCATTAAGTAATTATTATACTCTCAATTTATGCTGGCTTTTTATCATCATAACTGTACACTTCTTACTTTCCAGAAAACTGAAAAAGGTCATAATCTTCTTGACATCAAGGATGAGGAAAAAACTGAAAACTGTTACAGAACAATAACTTGAGTTGATTATCTAATACATCTACATTGCTGCTGTAACAATTAAACTTTAAATTCAAACACAAAAAGCTAAGCAAATGATTTTGAAACATTGCCCTAAATTAAAACACAAAAAGCTAAGCAAATGGTTTTGAAACATTGCCCTAAAGTCAAACACAAAAAACTAAGCAAATGGTTTTTAAACATTGCCCTAAATTCAAACACAAAGAGCTAAGTTAAATGGATTTAAAACATTGCCCTAAATTCAAACACAAAAAGCTAAGCAAATGGTTTTGAAACATTGCCCTAAATTCAAACACAAAGAGCTAAGTTAAATGGATTTTAAAACATTGCCCTAAATTCAAACACAAAAAGCTAAGCAAATGATTTTTAAACATTGCCCTAAATTCAAACACAAAGAGCTAAGTTAAATGGATTTAAAACATTGACCTAAATTCAAACACAAAAAGCTAAGCAAATGATTTTGAAACATTGCCCTAAATTCAAACACAAAGAGCTAAGTTAAATGGATTTAAAACATTGCCCTAAATTCAAACACAAAAAGCTAAGCAAATGGTTTTGAAACATTGCCCTAAATTCAAACACAAAAAGCTAAGCAAATGGTTTTTAAACATTGCCGTCAATTCAAACACAAGAAGCTTAGCAAATGGTTTTGAAACATAATGCCTTGTTCTTTTACTTGAGGTAGACAGAAACTGTGGTCTGAGATCCATAATGAACTCTATTATGAGATCTACTATTCACTAACAGATTTAAAGTAACCAGCCCTACTATTTGTTATTACCAATAAATAATTTCATATACATGTATGTCGGATGACTTCCATTACAAATATATAATGTGATGTGAGATATTGTGGTAACTAAAATGATAACTAGAAATGTGTCATCATGCCACGGATGCCCCCGCATGCAGCCAAAATTTCAGATGGTGCATTAATTTTTTTTTTTCATTTTAAGTTCAAAGCCCTTAAAACTTTTCAATGTTAACACAAACCATTTCCATACAACGTTCAAGGCACTGAAATTATTCAGTCTTAACCTTTAGAAAAAGCATATTGCATATTTGTAGCCAAAATAATGGCTAAAAGAATGAGTGCTGAAACTGAAAGTTCAAAATTTTTCCAACATTCAGGAAAGATAAGTTTGTCTAAAATCATTGAACCATGACCAAATTCAAACTTAAACTGCTTATTCCTAAGATGTATCTATATTATTTTCAAAGTGAAAGGGACATAACTCTGCCAAAAAACCATCAAACCATGACCAAATTCCAACTTGACCTGCCCATTCCTTTGACATATCCATATGTCAAATTAAAATTGAATATGTAACACTGTTAGGTAGATAATGAACAGAAACTGTAAATTTCATATTATTTTCAAAGTGAAAGGGGCATAACTCTGCCAAAAATCATTGAACCATGACCAAATTTGAACTTGACCTGCGCATTCCATTGACGCATCCATATGTCACGTTTGAGTTGAATGTGTTGTACCTTGAGGGAGATAATGAACGGAAACTGAAAATTTCATATTATTTTCAAAGTAAAAGGGGCATAACTCTGCCAAAAATCATCGAACCACGACCAAATTTGAACTTGACCTGCGCATTCCTTTGACGCATCAATATGTCACGTTTGAGTTGAATGTGTTGTACCTTGAGGGAGATAATGAACGGAAACTGAAAATTTAATATTATTTTCAAAGTGAAAGGGGCATAACTCTGCCAAAAATCATCGAACCATGACCAAATTCGAACTTGACCTGTATTTTCTCATGACATATCCATATGTCAAGTTTGAGTTGATTGTGTTGTACCGTTGGGGAGATAATGAACGGAAACTGAAAATTTCATATTATTTTCAAAGTAAAAGGGGCATAACTCTGCCAAAAATCATCGAACCATAACCAAATTCGAACTTGACCTGTATTTTCTCATAACATATCCATATGTCAAGTTTGAGTTGAATGTGTCCAACCGTTCTTGAGATAATGAACGGAAACTGAAATTTCATATTATTTTCAAAGTAAAAGGGGCATAACTCTGCCAAAAATCATCGAACCATGACCAAATTCGAACTTGACCTGTATTTTCTCATGACATATCCATATGTCAAATTTGAGTTGAATGTGCCCAACCGTTCTTAAGATAATGAACGGAAACTGATGATGACGGAATGACAGAATGACGGAAGGACGGAAGGACGGAAGGACGGAAGGACGGAATGACGGAACAGGGTAACACTATATGCCCCGGCCATTACATGGCGGGGGCATAAAAACATATTTGTGGCAAATTTCATGAAAGAAATTGTTTTATACTGTGTGAAGGTGTATGATAACATACATTATACTGTGGTAACAAACATGAAAGACTCATACTGTGATATCTTACACGTGAAAAATATGTACTGTCGAAACTTACATGAAAGAAACATACTGTGATATCTTACATGTGAAAAATATTCTGCGGTAACTTACATAAAAGAGAAATACTGAGGTAAATTACATGAAAGGAAACATACTGTGCTATCTTACATAAAAGTAACATCCTGTGGTAACTTACATTACAGAAACATTCTTAGTAATTTACATACAGAGAGAATGAAAAAACTTATGTGAAAGAGAAATACTGAGGTAACTTACATGAAAGATCGAGACATACTGGGGTAACTTATATGTAAAAGACATAGCAGGAGGACACATTATGTGGTAACTTACATGAGAGAAACTGCACGTGTAGATTGTAGATTCCCACAATCATCATAAGTCTCCTCCACCTCTGTCCATCCATGCTGTTCCTTCTCTGTGGTAACTATAAACAACACAAATAACAATGGTAAAATGTTATCTTAATTTAAACATCAAAAACATAACTTTTTAAAACCAGTTATACATGGGGATTTTAATATTTCTCCTTTTATGAGTGCCGACATGCAGTAATCATCTGATCATTTTAAAGGAATTAAAGCTGAAATATTCTGAATGTAAATTTTATAAAACAATTTTCAAATCAAGAGGACTATATAGGTCAAAGCAACTTTAGTTACAAGTATTACTAGGACTATTACCTCTGAACCTTTTGAGGGTATAGAACAAAATCGCAGTCTGCAGAGACACTATATGATACTTTGTACAATCTTTTTAAAAATCATTCTAGAATTCTATTAGATTTAAATCTTTCTTTTACATCTATGACAATTGATTTTTACAAACTTATGTTCAAAAATATGTAAATGGCCTACAATATTTGTACCACTGCTTATAATTTCAATATGTGGAATCATGTGCCAGGGTTCTATGATATGAGAAATAGAGGAACTAGAAACATGGTAATTTATAAATAATCAGACAATAATCATTCACTAAAACAACTTCTGTTTTTCTTCTTAGCACTCAAACTATTATTTATTTTTTACAGTCATGATCACTTTTAGACTTAATTTATAAATGTTACATAATTATAAAATAATGATTCTTTTCTAAACAGATGGAACAAGTTATTTTAAAAGACAGACTTGCATAATATAACTAATTAAGTGTATACTTTTGAGACAGGAAAATTCTGTATATCAATTTTGGTTCTAAATTTTTAGCCTAGAACAGTTTGATTAAGATAAATCAGGTGTTATTTACTTAATGGTATCATTTCTAATGATTGACAGAATGACCAATTACTGACCATAATATACATGTAATTTGTCATTAATGGGACGATATGACATTCAGGGAATGTACAAACTGGTTGTAAAACAAACCACTTGACATTTATATGGTGCACAAATAGTGTATCCTTGTGAACATGAAACATAACAGTCCCTTGTTGTGATAACTACTGCTGCAATATTGATACAGTAAATATCAATTAAACATTGAACACTTAAATTATACAGATACATGCAAAGTAGTAACATTCATTTTATAACTTGTTACAGACATTTATATCATCTTTAGTAATTAATAATCTCCTACTCAATGTTAAGGATATTGGAATAATAATTATACCAATATCCTTAACATTGAGAAGGAGATCTAAGGGGCCAGTTACACAGACGGTCGGTCCCCAATCGGTCATTTAATTTTAAATTTACACGCTGTTATGATCGGTTGTCATGCGTGATTTTATTTCTGGTTTTCTGTGTAAACGGCCATTGGTGACAGAAAGCAAACTCAAACGGGGTTGGGTCGGTGATGAAAATGCTGAAATACTGTCGGTTTTCATCGTTTGCAAATCGGAGCTAAATCGGGCGTAACGCTGATTAATCGGTGTTTGATAGCTAGTCATCAGTGGTTAAACACTTAAATTTCTGTCAGATATGGCCGGTGATTCATATTTGGTTATCTTTGTCCGATCGGCGATATCGGTGATTAAGAGCTTGCATATCTCGTGATATAGGTTGCTGTCGGTTATTTGTAAAATATTTTCACCGATCGAGAATTTTAAACATGTTTGAAAATCCCAATCGGTAATTTTTCACCGATGAAACTTATCTTTCCCCAATAGCAGTTGATAGGTGGAAAACAAGTGACCAATAGGTGATATCGGTGTTAAATACGTTGTCATCGGTTCACTCCATAATTTGGCTAAAAAAACTACCGATCAATCACCGATGGCTCTGTGTAACTGGGGTGTAAGCTTCATTAGTGTTTTATACATTGACATATAGCTGATTTATATGTATATTTGTAATATTCCCCTTCCCATGTTTGAAACAGCATCTTATCCCATAATAATCAATGAAAATATTTTAACTGAGAATGATTTTTGGGATGATAAGATCTTTTAACATACATGTAATGCATGTTAATTTTTTTACAATTTGATCTGAATTTGCAAAATTTGCAAACTTATAATTTGAATAAACACTGTACATAATGTACATGATATTTTAAGCATTGTAATTAGGTGGTTAAATTATACAGTGAATAGAAACTTGATCATTGAAATAAACCATTTAATGACATGGGAATTTCCCATTGCTTTAGGTAAGTATTCTATCACATTTCTAAATCTTTTATGGTTTAACAAAAATGTGAACAGGTATTCCCCATACAATTTAACATAATTATGGCTACTAGGTCACAAGAAATATTTGTTTTGTTTCAATTACAGTCTAATATTTACTTCAAACTTATATTTCATAATTATTGCATTCATGTCGTTTGACTTAAATATATGACATAAAGTATATTAAATTTTGCAAATTTTGCAAATAATAATCATGATATATTATCATAATAATAACAACTTGTGTTTTATCATTTTGTCATAATTTTTTATTTGATTTGTATATATGTTTAAACAATAACAAGAGGGCCATGATGGCCCTGAGGTCGCTCACCTGTATATAGGCCCCCCACCCCCGGGCCAATTTTTACCCAAGGGCTTTTATTTGTTTATTTGAACAGACTTGGTAGACACCCATAAGAAGATGTTTCATGCTAAACATCTAAAATCTAGCTCATTGGCATTTTTAAAAGAAGATTTTTAAAGTTTTTACTATACACAGATAGTTAAAAACAATGGGGCAGGGCAAGTTTTGCCCCCCGGGCGTTTATTTTAACAAACTTTGTAGATATTTACTTAAAGATGTTTCATGCTTAATATCTAAACTCTAGCTATTTGGGTTTTTCCAAAGAAGATTTTTAAGTTTTTGCTATACACATATAAGGAAAATCAATGACCCCCCCCCCGGGCGGGGCCAGTTTTGACCCCAGGGCTTTTATTTGAACATACTTGGTAGACACCCATTAGAACAGGTTTCATGCTAAATATCTTAGCTCTAGCTCTTTGAGTTCTTTAAAAGAAGATTTTTTAAGTTTTTACTATATGCATATAGGGAAAATCACTGACCCCCTTGGGCGGGGCCAATTTTGACCCCAGAGCTTTTATTTGAACAAACTTGGTAGACACTCATTAGAAGATGTTTCATGCTAAATATCTTAGCTCTAGCTCTTTGGGTTCTTTAAAAGAAGATTTTTTAAGTTTTTACTATATGCATATAGGGAAAATCTATGACCCCCTGGGGCAGGGTCAATTTTGACCCCAGGGCTTTTATTTGAACAAACTTGGTAGACATTCACTAGAAGATGTTTCATGCCAAATATCTAAGCTCTAGCTCTTACGGTTCTTTAAAAGAAGATTTTTTAAAGTTTTTACAATATGCATATAGGGAAAATCAATGACCCCCAGGGGCGGGGCCAATTTTGACCCCAGGGCTTTTATTTGAACAAGCTTGGTAGACACTCACTAGAAGATGTTTCATGCCAAATATCTAAGCTCTAGCTCTTATGGTTTTTTAAAAGAAGATATTTAAAGTTTTTTCTTTTGGTTGCCATGGCAACCAGAGTTCTGCATGGAATTAAATTCTTTGAACAATTTTTAAAGGTGACCACCAAAGGAACATTCCTGTGAAGTTTGGATGAAATTGGCTCAGTGGTTTATGAGGAGATGTCATTTAAAGCAAAAGTTTACGGACGGACGGACGACGGACGGACGGACGCCGGACGGACGGACGCCGGACGAAAAGCGATCACAAAAGCTCACCCTGTCACTTTGTGACAGGTGAGCTAAAAATTTCAAAAGCAAGGTCAGTCATTTAATGAAAATATAAAACACATCAGTGGATCAACATTCAGTCTTTTCAAATCTTTCACTTGCAGTATTTTCAGGACCAGTACCGTTGGTCTAACATGTGGTTAAGGCTTCCTCCTTCGGATCAGGAGTTTGAAGGTTCGAGCCCCACAGGGAGCGTTAATTGAAGGATGAAATGTTTCTCGTGGAACCTGTTCCAAAATGGCTGCTTTGTGAGCCGCAAGGTAGGTAAAATGAATGGTTACCGATTTCTATCCGCCTCAGGCGCCTGGCATAGTTGTAGGAGTTGGGAGGTACCAGGTATGCAAGCAAAAGTCAAAAATGGCTGGCCCTTTTAGTAGGGGTGACACTATAATAAACAAGAGCCATGTCAACATGGCCATCCCCCGCCGAATGTGTTTGCTCATCGGAAGAATGTATATGTAATAGAGCGGAATAATTCCATTTTAAGAGGTCTTTTGGTAATGAAAACTGATGGCTATAGTGATTACAGATTTGAAACCTATGTGAATACTGATGGCTGAAAATAACAAAGGGCAATTACTGAAAAATAATGCAGGGTAGGTTATCATTGTGTGCTGCATCCCTCCTCAGTAAAATCTATCCACCTATGAAGTTTCAAGTTGATACCTCAAATACTTTTTGAGAAAAAAATTGAATTGAAAAATTAAGTATGAAAAAGAACAAAGGGCAATAACTCAAAAATTATAAAAGGTAGAGTTATCATTCTTGTGCAGTGCACACCTCCTGAGTGAGATCTATGCACCTATGAAGTTTCATTTTGATATCTCAAAGGCTTTTTGAGTTATGCTCTGGACAAAAATTAATTTTGAAAAATAACAAAGGGCAATAACTCAAAAATAATGCTGGGTAGAGTTATCATTCTTAAGCACTGCACTCCTCCTCAATGAGATCCATCCACCTTTGAAGTTTCAAGTTGATACCTCAAATACTTTTTGAGATAAGCTCTGGACAAAATAGCATGAAAAAAAAACAAAGGGCAATAACTCAAAAATTGTATAGGGAAGAGTTATCATTCTTGGGCACAACATTCCTCCTCAATAAGATCTATCCACCTATGACATTTCATGTTGATATCTCAAACACTTTTTGAGTTATGCTCCACTCAGGTGAAAAATTAGGTATGAAAAATAACAAAGGGCAATAACTCAAAAATTATGAAAGGTAGAGTTATCATTCTTGTGCACTGCACACCTCCT